CCTGCTAAACTTCTACAATGTTCCCATGACCCCAATCGGATCCATCGCCCGAAGTAGATATTCTAGCAGCTGATCAACGGATGGCAAGGTGATTTGTTGGTACCTTCAAGGAACGAGAAATAAGGAAGAAAAGGGCAAGGAAAAAAACGAAGAGGCAAATTATTCTCAGCCACAGACCAGTGGGCAAGGGACTGATATGCAAGTCGACGAAAACGGATGGTCGGGGAAGGCAACGGGACACACAAGGGAAAAATGGAGTGCATGATAGACAGCTCAGCACACCAATATGGCAGCCAACCTTAGTATGCAAGGTGGGCAGGTCGGAAAGGTGAAAGTGAGGGTACAGTATATTGGCGATCCAATCTCGGTGTAAAACCATCGGGACATCCGCAATGGAGGGTGAGTTCGCTCATTCGTTCATGTAACACATTCATTTGATCGTGAAGTTGAGTTGTCCATTTCCCTTTTTTTCCCCGGCAATTTCTATTTCATAAAACCGGCGACTCGACGCTATCACCTACTATAACCAGTTATATCCCCCATCAGAGGCAGCATTAATAGAGGGTCCGTCTGCGGTTCCATCGCATAGGCCTGCTCGCCAGGGAAAGCAAATACTAATACTAGATTCTAACAATACGCAAAACCGCACATAGAAGAACACTGCAACTCCACGTGCCTGGCGCATTTCGAACTACGGCTCGGGAACTGATTTACGGGTAAGAGTTCTAGAGTGAGGCTCCTGATCGACATACCGACAGACGTCCTCTCTTCCTACCATCAGCCACCTCGAACGGGTGAGATCTCGGGGGGTATCCGTCCACGGTAGCAAGAGATTTTCCCCTGTCGCACTCTCCCCCTGCAGGCGAATCCCAATGAGGAAGTGATTACGATTCCCGGAAAATATAGCTGATGCCATCAACTCGTCTTCGGTGTCCCAAGACCGTCTTGAAGCAGTCTTTGGTAGTTATCTCTTACGTATGAGAGATGCTAGGGCATCGGGAGTTCCTTCGTCGCTGTAGAAATGATACGTAGAAAAGGGTCAGTTCTATGCTTGAGAGAGCAGCATCTCCGGAACGAATTATATGCGAGTCTGCACCTCCTTATCCACTCCTGTGGCCACCATTCTACCACTGTGGTCAGCATAAGACCGACACCCATTGCCGTTACCTAAAGCCAGAGTAGTATTTTTTTTTTTTTTTCAACCACCAAATCAGCTTTTAAATAGTCGCACATATCTCATATTCCATCTTACTATTAAAAGCACGGTGATGAGAATTATGCCACTACACTTACTAATGAATCTATAACCTGTTGTTCAGGGGTTAAATTATGTACATTATTCTTGAGCACAGTCGCATATTCTTGAACGAACTGACTAAGTCTCCATTGTATTATAATTAGGATACAGACCATCGCACCCAAGGATTAAGGATGAGTACGTAATAATCACCATTTGTGCGGTCGCAATCGAACACTCCCTTACCTCGCACACTTCGAAGTTAGGGGTTACTACAATATTCATGTCTCGGTCTGCTAGCGCAGAACTCACCAATAGTTTTTTCGACAATGAACTGCAGACGAGTAGTTCGACGCAGCCCGAGCTCCTACAGGATCAATACGCTCAACAATAGTAATATGCCAAACCTATGTATCTTACAGCTCTTATTGGAGCCTATTTCAAAACAGGTAGGTACCTATCTACGATGTAGTTTCGAAGTAATCAAATTTTATAACGAATGAGATTAAAGGTAAAGGCATAGTTAACAAGGGACCATCTGCTCCAAGGGACACGGCGTGCTCCGACTCCGGCACCGTACATATTCATGTCCCCGAGTGAAGGCTCCATCTTGGAAATGGTAAAGTAGGTTGTTCTTATGCGGGGTCGTCAATCTTAAACACTTAGCTATACCCAAGAGCAACCTGTTATACTTAGGGATATCGCTAGCCGAGAATCTATAACTCAGAGATACTACCACTGGGTTACAAGATCGCATCTGCAACGCAATTGCATGTAACGACACCTACTCATTTCTGGTCTTGGATATATTATAAATACGAGAGACAACTACCTAACCAATACACTAGGTTCTATAGGACCCTTAACATTTGACTAGAACGTCTATAAGCAGGTTTACGCTGAGGGGGTAATCAAGGTAATTACTCGTTTGGGAAGCTTATACATACGCCTTGAACCTGCATATCCTACCCTTCGATGTATGAAGTCGTTCTGTTGCAGGGCGCAACATGTATCACAAGCATTAGGCCAGGTATATACGTATGTTTTACCCATGTACCAACCACTTCGAATGTCTTAGGACTAATTCGAACACGCTAGACGCACCGCGTCTGCCCCATGAAGATATCCGGGTTGACACCATGCTGTGTTGATCCAGGAGCGCATCAAGGGTCTATCACTACTTCATAAGTACCTACACCCTCTGCATAGGAGGACGATCAATCTAACGACCAATCTATATGAACCCTGCCTCTTTAACCTATAAGTGGTGTTGAAGTCTCTGTTGTTAGCATATGATAGTCGTTATGTCTCTGCCTTAGGGTCGTTGGAGCCCGGTTTCGTACCCCCTTTTTCTTCGCTTCACCCCCACGCTAAGATGAGACATCCTTGAATGAGATAATAGATTCTAGTCAAACTATATCGTAAAACTTAAGAAATATTTTTTTCAGATTTATCATTCGAGAATCGCGTAGTCTTTCCTAGGGAGCGCGTTTGAATACCTGGTGGACGGGATAGGAAGAGCATCATTACGCGACGGATTGAATACCTAGGAGTGTCACAAGCTAAGCGCATGCTGAATCCTGAAAATTTGAACCAAATTCGCGCTCAAGGAAGGTAGCCAAGCTGTGCTTTGACCATCAATGGAATATTTTGGAACCCAACTCGAAATGCAGGTTCTGACTTCGCGAAGTGTAAAGAATATCTCCATGACATTTCCACGGTTAAGATGGATGGTCCATAGGCAGGGCTTGGAGAAGGCTACGTTCTCAACTAGCTCTGTAGGCAAATATTCCTACACCTACGAGCATGATATGATTACTTCGTAGCGACGGCATTTCTGAGTTATACCCTGCAGACGTCTACCGGCAGTATGGCGAAGCACAAGACGATCCAAGGCTACCAACCCAAAACCCCATCAATCCAGACCCTTAAGATCTCCCTAATACACACCCCTCGAGTCTCAAATCCACGTTCCAACCCACAGCCTACCTCCCATCCTCCAGCCGTGTACCAGGAACCAATCCACTTCGGCGCATTTCAGCTGCCCAGCAGAACCCTCGGTCGACGAGTCCGGCGTAGATCGTAGACACATCCAAAGCGCCGGGCTCCGTAGCGATCCAAGCTTGCGTCGGATATTACCCGCAGAGTGCCGCCCGAGGCTGCCGAGAGAGGATACCCAGGGTTTCGGGGATGTCCGAGGTTTACTAACCGTGGCTATACCAACCACCCAGATCATAGGTATTACGTAGAAATCCCATCATGTAAATCTCTAAACAATTTCGGTCTATGTCTCGCCCTTGCATAGACTCCTCCCGTGCTGACGAAAAATCAGTTCGCAAGCTGACGAGGCTCGAGCTTGCGGACAAAGGGATGTAAGTAAGTAAGATTCGTAGCCTCGGTCAGATACTAGTACTTTAAGTTAGAGATGTAGTGATTGGATCCATATATGTCTCACAACCCAATCTATCTTAAGCAGTGTAGCCTCGTCTCATGAGCAGCTGAAGCATCGACTTATCTGTGCATGTCATAACCACCCGGAGAGGACTCCCTTCCATAACTAAATTCCCCTATTCGTGGATGATGTGGGAAATCTGTCGATCCTTATCGTATGAATCAGCATTCGCATTATATAGCCGGCTTAGCGAGTAAAAGAAAGAAAGAAAAAAACCGGAAATCAACCTTACCTACGGACTTGGCTCCGTAGCGCTTATCATCCTCTCCGTTTTATCTTCGAGAAACTGCCCCATAGTGCACAACAGGTATGTGATCTAATGACTAGTATCTATCGTGATCTTTACCATAAAGGGTTTTTTACCCTGCCTGTCGGAGACACAGGTGATGCCAACTAGATAGGGGTAAAGGGTAAGCAGCTTCTGTCCCGATCAACCGAAGTTCTTCGACTAATCTACGAAATGTGAGGAAACGTAGGTGAAATCTGCGAGAAACGGTTTGCAAGAGGGTGCTACGGCGTCTCTACTACACTCCCTAACGTTAGCGTTGGAAGAGTTACCGCACCAACGCGGGATAGTCACAGCTTTATGTCGTACTGTAGTACGAAACTGCTGCATCCTCTAAAAAGCCATATAGGTTCTTGTCGAAAGGAAGCGGTTTAGATCTTGCCCATTCAAGACACATCGGACAAGACGTGAAGATAATGCAGTCAGAAACCAAGACAAGACAAGTTCCATGGCGCCAAAGCTTTCTATTAGTTTTTCATTTCGCGTCAACATCATACCCAGAGTCTATTCGACCTTGTATAAGGGCGGGGCCAGTTTCTCAGCTAAAGCCGTCCACAGCTATATAGCTCCTGGCCAATTGTTGTCCGTCGCGCCCTCTGGCATACCGTCAAGTGCTTCTTTGTTTCATGGCGCTGGAACAAAATGCTTCCTCACATCGCCAGCTCGCACACTTTGCCGTGCCCATCCCAAAGGTGATATCCTTAACAAGCGCTCGTGTTATCCCCTGTGTTGCGCTTTATATTACCGCCGTGTAGCTCTTGCTACTGTTTGTTATCCATCAGCAGCCGAATGCAAATCCTCATATATTCCCATCTTTCTTGTACTCCTGGCTGATGACCTACCCCCATAACCGTTATGATGAAGGAAATCGTGCAAAACGCAGCCTAAGCCATAACCCTGTCTCGAAACGCCCGGGGATGATTCAAGTCTGGGTCGCATGCATATCATTTTTTTAACCTTGGTATCGTCGCCGTACATTATGCTTGCTGTCCGTCTGTCCTGTCTTCTAAGAACTATAACGCTTTCTACTGGCCGTTGAATTGGTCGTCAATTCCCACCGCGTTGGACTCCATATTATGATAATCAAGAATCTCCGAGTACCTGTTGCCTCGATTATGTTAGTCGTCGACGTCGTAGGTGTGACGCTCCATCGGGATTGTGTTAATGAGGGAGCTGCGGAAATACTCACATCATGATCTTCCACGTGTCCACTGGCAGGTCAGCATCATTAAAGCTCCAATCAAATTTCTCCTCAGCAACAGGCTCGTCAGTAGGGTCGTGGTAAGGAGCGAGATACTCGTGAGCTAGTGCGTCAGTTGCTGTAATTCGCTTCTTGGGATCGAAGACAAGCATTCGTTCGAGTAGGTCAACAGCTGATAAATATTAGTTTCATTCAGGGAATACACTAGTATACGATGAGTATGATACGTACCTGCTGGGTCGGCATTCTTAAATTTGTTCTTAAGTGGTTGTCGTTCTCGCTTAGGTAATGATTTGACGAATCTTAACGTCTAGATGATCCCAGATTAACATAGATTATTCAGCGACAACGACGAAATTGACTTACATTCTCGCTAGCAATCGTATTAATAACATCATCGGGGGGTGTACCAAGAAGCTCGGTGATGATGGAGAATTGGTTGACGTGATCCTTTCCAGGGAACAGCGGTTTCCCCTCTAACATCTCAGCGAAGATGCATCCGGCGCTCCAGATATCGACTTCAACGTCGTATTTCTGCCAGGTGAGCATAATCTCGGGGGCGCGGTAATATCTTGTCGAGACATATCCAGTCATTTGGGGGTCCTGAATTCGTGCAAGTCCGAAGTCGCAAATTTTCAAATCACAATTCTCGTTGACCAAGATATTACTGGGCTTGAGATCGCGATGGACGACACCGGCGGAATGGACATATTTAAGCCCTCGCTATTATTCAAATCCATCAGCCTTCTGTTTTTTCTCCATAACCCAGACGAGGACACGCACCATAATCTGATAGAGGAAATATTGGATAAATTGTTTTTCCAGAGGTCTCGAGGTGAGCAGTCGGTGCAGATCGGTGCCGAGGAGTTCCGTTACGAAGTAGCTGGTAGAACAATTAGCGCATTGTAGTACAGCCAAGACTTTGCTTCTGGAATCCATACATGTCTTCGAGAGGAGAGATGAAAATGTCGCTAAGGGAGATAACCTAGAGAAAGGCGTGAGCAGTGCGTCCTAACTGTCTTTGACGAGTAGATCCAACCGACATTTTCGTGCCTGAGGTGTTTCAGTAGCTTTAGTTCTCGGTAGGTTCTCTTTGCCAAAACGGGTGTGCTGAAAGGCTTCATAATCTTTTTGACGGCGACATTTTGGTTGGTGAGTTGATCTTTAGCGGAGCTGCGCAGCGGCAATTCGCCTTTGGTTAGTAAATTTGCGTTTGCGTGTCGGGGATCGTATGAAGCGCTCGGCGCGGTGATCGAGGCGGTTGAGGTAACATACCAAACCAGGCCAAAAGCACCCATGCCCACGGGTTGCAGATCCGAGTATCTATTGAAATCACATTGCGTCAACTGAAGCGGCCCGGCATGTTGCGTTGCGAATAGCCGGCATACCTAGATGTGATCTCGAAGGTCGTTCCGAAGATCTGGGCTCGCACGAATTCGGCCATGACGAATAACGAGCTGTGTTTTGGAGGAGGCGGGGTGCGAAAAGTTTGGATGACGATCAGTTATTTTTTTTAAAAAGTTGTTGCGAGAAAGACGGGTTGTAGTCAAGCTATCGAGCGAGGGGGCGGAAAACGAGGGGCAGAAGACAAGCCGCGGAGTAGATAAACCGTGTACGGTAAGGTGCTGTATAATTCCTTGGTTGGTAAGGGTGTAAGCAGGCTAAGACGAGACAAGACAAAACAAGACAAGGTATGTAAAGTACGTAGTAGAGCGCAGGCAGGATATATGTGAGATATGAATATAGTAGCGGGTGAGGTATGGTAGGACAGGCAAATAAAAACAATAAGCAGCCGCAAATATTTTTCCCTTTCTCTCTTTTGCTATAATTTTGCTTTTCTTCCCTTTTTTTGATTTTTTTAGGACGAAGAGAAGGGAGAAAAAAAAACCAAAGGAGGCGTTCAAATGAATGGTAATCTTGAAAATGCCCGTTAAGAGATGGGAAAAAAGTGGGATAAGAGAACAGGATTTTCCGAAGATGAGAGTTGGGTAAAAGAGTAAAAGGTTGCGCAGTGGATAAGGTTTTCTAGGAAAAAAAAATAATACACGTACCCGGGACAGCGATTCGAGAAGGCACTTTCCTTCCCTCTCTTCTCTTTCCCAGTTGCGGTGGCGATCGCGATCGTGGATATTCTACCTAGTATCTAAAAACTAAAGAGCTAAGGAGCGTAGGGTGCGTAGGGTGTGTAAGGTAGGTTAGGGAGGTACATACGCTACGGCGCTATGCACCTATTAAGGCTCCCACCCCTGAACAAAATGCGGCGTGCGGGCGTTGCGGGCAGTTGTGACAAGTGGCTGATGCTTGCTATCGGGAAACACTAATTGACATGCAGTAGTGTATTGTATAGGTACCTTCTATAGAATTTACAGTTTATGGACGCCGCTCAATTCATAAAGTAGAGTACTCGTATTGTACATCAGGAGTAGTCTGCGTGTCAGGGAATTGAAGCCAGACCATAACTCGCAGCTCCTCAATGTCATGTACTTGAATCACTAGTAACAGAACTAGGCCCACTTATACAGGACTATCCAGGTACCTAAGAGTACTACCTAAACTCCCCTAAACAACAGGTGTCGTTTTCAGAAAAGAAACCCAAGAAATAACCAAGAGCCTCCAATTAACCAAATGGATGCGTTATTAATTTTTTATTTCGCTGTCAACTGTTTGTTGTGTTGCAATTGTCTACGGAAGGAATATAGGCTGGAAAATAAGTCTAGAAAGATACCATACTAGGGCAATTAATTAATCTATAAATTATGTAAAGAGTATCTCAAGAATGGTTGGTTGGTAAGAGGTATCGTATTGTTTAGATGCTAGGTTAGATACATCTTAGCTTGATGCAGACGACTATGTGATGTTTCCCATTTCTGACACCTAACTTGCGTCGGTAGCCCCAGGATGGCAAGTTGTTATGCGTCTTTTCTATAATAAAAGTCCTTGACTTAGACGTAAAGAGACTGGGAAAGTGGACACAATAGACAGGCATGTTATAAAAGAGAGATCTATGAATAGCAGCAGCATAAGAGGATTGAAACGAGCAACAAGATCCAGCGCTTACCCGCTAGAATGGAAATACCAAAACACACATGGGTTAAAAAAACAAGAAGATGGGAATTGATAAAATACCGTGGCAATTATCCTACCTTAGGAATGTCAATGTTGAACCTGGCCGCACGTGGTGGGAAGAACAAGAATGTCGATCCCCTGCTGGCATCCGTTGATAGGCAATGAGACAATTAGCAATGGGACAACCACAATATAAATAGGCTCAGCGTGCCGTCGATGAATTGAATTGGTGGGATGAGATCCCGGACCAGGTTCACTTGATGTTGCACAAGGATCGGCCCGTTAAAGCTAAGGAAAAAAAAAGTGCTATAATTTCTGTTGTCGCCTCGAAAGTTATAGCCAAGAATCTGAATTTCCTTTGCCTGGGTAAGACATTGAAATATTAGAAAAACCGAAGATGTTACTATAGCCATGATGGTCCGGTAGCCATTGACTATATGTATGTCTCTTCTCGATAGGGGACGAAAAGTTTTTGAAAAGAAGTTAACGTCGGGATGACACGGCATGGGGCTCTTAATTCATGGGTTACGATTGTGACTGAGCCAACAGGTAAAGCCGGTATCATCTATTTGACGTGCTGCCGAACTCACTAATCATTGCCCATTTGTGACGGGAGCCGTCTCGTGTTTGGTTCGCAACTTGCACACGTCCCACAACCCAACACACACGGGGTACTACCACATGTAATACGACAGATCTTGCAGGTAGTAACCAACTGCGTTGATCCAACTGAGCCGATGGTTTGTTGAGTCGAAAAATATGAAGAAGAAAAAAGACATGTGCCAGCTTGCTTGGTGAGTGTCACCCTGCTGGCAGGCTAATAACGCCGACAAGTCTGGGTACTCGGCAGTCCCCTACCAGTTACAATCCGATAAATCTCTACCGGTTCCAGTAGCCGATGAGGATTCGGTAGGAAATGGTTAAGAGCGGCTAGGATGGTATCGCGAAATGATCCCATGAAACATATCTGGCTATAGACATCTTAAAAGAGATAGATATCTGACATACAGGACATACAGGCAGCCTGCATGATGTGTCTAGGAACCAATACAAAAAGGGTAAAATGCTTTTGTAAAGATAGCCAATCAGAGTTTAGGAATTTTCTTCCCAGAAACAGATGACGTCACTTTATAAATGTTCCTCCTAGCTCGGGCCTCTTCTATCTCCCCCTTTTGTGTAAGTCTAAGTCTACGGGACATTGTAGTCGGAGACTTCATAAAATACAAAATACTAGCCGCGTGAGTATGTTAGGAATGCAAGGAACCACGAGGAACTCTTAACGGGGTTCATGCTAATAGGCGCCTTACTTCACCGAGGGAGCCACTAGAACCAATAAGTGAGACGGCAGAGGTCAGGAAACTACATATAAGGTATAGGAATGCACTTGAGGATCCCACCGCATGCACGGCATACCTTGTAAGATATCCGACAATCGAATTCTGAGTGCACCATCGCCGATGCATATACCTAGATAAATCAGCTAGCTTTCGACCCCCCCCGTACATTCGAATTCACTTATAGGGTATAACCCAAGGAGAAAAGGGGCGCGTGACTAGATTTTCCAGACAGCGACTAAAGGCATTGGCCCTTTAATGGCCCTGAGGCTAGACCGAAGCGGTCTGGCAAAATCCGATAATACTATTAAGTGCGCCGAGCTAGAGGGGTACTTCACGATCCGTCGCAAAATGTTCTCGGCTCACCATTGCCTAATCGGGTAGGTAAATAATTTGGGTAGACGGGCTGTAAGGAGTTTAGTTCCGTTTCGTTTCTAACCACATCAGGGGTTAAAGCAACGAGAGAATGCGCAATGCAGAACAGAACCAACACGTAATGACGTATATAGGAACTTTTCAACACTCAGTCGGAGGAAACACCGAGGAGTAATGGAGTCGGAGCTAGAGGGTTCCATTTGGAAGCAATTCCGAGCGATTGAGAGTGGATGATAGTTTTTTGAACTTTGGAGTTTTAATATTGCAAGCCGGAGCTTTCGCTCCTCGCCCACCATAATTCAGATAAAAATTAGGTAATCACTAACTTAGTAAGCATTGGAGAACCATACATCCATGCATGTGTACCTAGGTACCTATGTATTTGGCTTAATTAAATTGATTCTACTCCTTTGACGTCATCATCTCAAAGAACAAAATTCAGCAACAACGATTCTATGCATAACCAAGTCAAGGCTTTCATGATTGCGTTAGCACTTACGAATATGTCAAGTTGTTTTCTTTAGAAGGTATAGTGGAATTACCGTCATAATTCCATCATTTGGCACAATATCAATATCATGTTACCTAAGAAGAAAAAAACCCTTGATACCGTCACGACATTCTCTCCTCAGAACTAGACCCTGAAGATACTTTTCAAGCAAGTAAACATTGGACCCTGAAGATCATTCTCCTGTAAGGCTGGGGACCTCCTGGAGATCTTCCCGATAATCAGTTAATAAATCTGAAAATATCTGCTAAAATTCCCGGTCAACTACCCAGTTGCCGTCAGACTGTCAACACAATCAGCAGTTTCTGACATCAGATATATCCCGTAGCTTCTCCCAACTGGACCCCCATCGGAAAGATCTGAGAAGAGCGTGGGTTGGTATGGACACCCCTCACATGACCGACCCGAGCGGAAAGATATCATGCTCAGTGACATCACTGTGTCGAATTCCCTCGTGGGGTGCAGAAACCACCGACCTTCTAGACCCGGGGTCTATTCCTAGGAATTACTAATTAGTAGATGTCCGTGTCAAGATGGACGGAGAATTATCTAGGGCTAGGGTTAGTGAGAAGGCTAGTCGCCCTCATCGAATGTGCACATGGCTATTATGGGGGTTTTAGAACTGAAAGAAGACTATTTTGATTAATCCTCAAGTAGACACTACACTAATTTTAACTAAACACCTACACGAGATACGAGAAGAGCCTCTGGATGCTTAGAAGTATACAAAGATCATAGCTTTGCTGACATACACCAACCCGCTGTTTCGTCGGCTACCTTAACATATCAAAACTGAAAACCACAGATGCAATAGAGTTAACTGACAAGTTAAGTCGTACCTAAGCTATGGTAGAGTATGATATCTACGAGACACCATAAGACACGTAGAACCTTAAAATAAATACCATTTTGACCAGGCTTGGAGGTGTGATAGATTCAGTCGTTAAATGTGTTATATAATGGATATTCAGAATGCTATTCACTCATCACCCATTCTCTCATTCCCATAATCATAATGCCCCACCCCCTATTCTCAACCTCGCCTCAACTATTCCCAATTCTCCCTCATCCAACCTCAATATCCATTGCAACGTTCCCCTGAGTTCCCAAATTCCGTATACCCGAACTCATCTTCAGCTGAACCGAATCGCCACCATATGCACAAACTACTTCGGCTATACCCTCTCACAAATTCGCCACACCTCCCACCCATCCACGCTAGCTAGACCCAAGCCGACCATCTAGCCACTCTCCACCGCCAAAGGCTCCGCATTCCAAATACCCTCAGCATACTCATTAATACACCTATCCGAGCTAAAAAAGCCCATGCGCGCGACACTACGAATAGTCTTACCAACCCACTCATCCTGATTGCGATACTCTTCATCGACCATCTTCTGGGTATCGATGTACGACTGGAAGTCATCCGACACTAGGTAGTAATCCCCATGATCGCGCACAGCGGAGATAAGAGCGTTGAAATCTTGCGAATCGCCGAAACGACCGCTTTGGATGGCGTCAAAGACTTGGTTGAGTCCGGCGTCGATGGCGTGCGTGCCGTAGGTATGCGCGTGTCGTAGGTCTTCAACGTCTTCGGAGAGGTTGCCGAAGAGGAATATGTTTTCTTGTCCGATTTCGCGTGTTATTTCGATCTAGGGGGTATGTTAATATTTGATGTGGGAGAAGTGGAGGGGTGGCGAGTGACTTACGTTGGCGCCGTCGCAGGTTCCGATGATCAACCCACCGTTCAACACGAATTTCATGTTGCTAGTTCCGGAAGCCCTATTATACTGTTAGTTGTGAAATACGCCCGTTATCCTTAAAGCACTTACTCGGTACCAGCCGTCGAGATATGCTCGCTAAGATCAGAAGCAGGAGTAATCATTTCAGCCTTGCTAACATTGTAATCCTCCAAGAAGACAACCTTGAGAAGGTCACCAATATCAGGGTCCTTGTTAACAATAGCACCAACGCTGTTAATAAGGTGAATAATCTGCTTAGCCATCCAGTAGCCGGGGGCAGCCTTGCCACCGAAGATCGATACACGAGGCAATTGCTTCTTTCTCTCCTCGGGGCTCAATTCCTTAAGTTTCAGGTATCGGTAAATGACACCAAAGATGTTGAGTTGTTGTCGCTTGTACTCGTGAATTCGTTTGACTTGAACATCGAATAGTGATGACGGGTTGACAGTAATGTCTGTGGTGCTCTTGATGTACTTCGCAAGGCGCAGCTTGTTGGCGTATTTGATCTCAGCCCATTCCTTTCGGAACTCCTTGTCATCGACGAATGATTCCAATTTGTTGAGAAGGGTGAGATCTTTCAAGAAGTCGTAGCCGCCAAGCTTGCTAGCAATCAACTCTGAGAGTCTGGGGTTCGCTTGGTGTAGCCATCTTCGTGGCGTAATACCATTTGTAACATTTGTGAACTTGTCGGCGCCAAATATAGTAACGAAGTCCTTGAAGATGGTAGTTTGGATGAGGTCGGAGTGAAGCTCAGCGACACCATTGACCTTGTGAGAACCGACGACTGCTAGATATGCCATGCGAACCATCTTAGGCTGGGATTCTTCAATAATTGAAACCCGGCGCAACATGTCGTGGTCTTTGGGGAACTTCTTCTCTACGGATTGTAGGAAGAAGAGGTTGATGTCGTAGATGATTTGAAGGTGGCGAGGGAGAAGGTGCTGCACTAAGCCAACGGGCCACTTCTCGAGCGCCTCAGGCAAGACAGTGTGGTTTGTGTAGCCGAACTAAGGCCAAGTTAGCAAATATACGCCATCAAATTCATCATATAGCGCTTACAGTTGCAGTGACTATCCTCCATGCATCATCCCATTCTAGGCCTTCAATATCTATTAGAATGCGCTGAAGCTCTACAATAGCTAGCGTCGGGTGAGTGTCGTTGAGCTGAATCGCAACCTGGTCAGGGAATTCACTCCAGGCGCGCTTCGTCTTCTTGAATCGGCGCACGATATCATAAAGAGACGCAGCAACCCAGAAATATTGTTGCTTAAGACGCAACTCCTTTCCTCGGTCTAAGTTATCATTGGGGTATAAGACAGCGCTTATAGTCTCAGCTCTCTGCTGGTCGGCGACTGAGCTTTCATAGTCACCGCTGTTGAACTTCTGGAAGTCGAATTCACCACTGGCAGCTTTGCTAGACCATAATCGCAGGTTATTGGTAGAAGGTGTGTCGTATCCGGGAATTGGCATGTCGTAAGCGACGGCAGTGACGATTTCACCACCCTCCCAGTGGGCCACTGTCTTTCCATTCTCATCTTGAGATTTGCGGACGTTGCCGTAGAATTGAATCTGCATTAAATATTAAGCAATTATGAATATCGCATAGGAATTTCTAGCAGCAATAACTTACGTCGACAGTCACATCATGCCTCGGGAATTCCCAGGGGTTGAAGTCGAGCCAGTAATCAGGTACTTCCACTTGATACCCATCGATAATCTCCTGCTTGAAGATACCATAACGATATCTCAAGCCGTAACCCCAGGCGGGATAGTTCAAAGAGGCAAGACTGTCGAGGAAGCAAGCTGCAAGTCGACCCAATCCACCATTACCCAGCGCAGCATCATGTTCTTGACCGATAATATCCTCGATGCGGAAACCGAGATCCTCAAGACCATCTATGCGCGAGGTTAACTCAACATATCACATACGTGGGAATCAATTGGTCATTATACCTTTAGCAGTCTTCTTGGCACCAACATTGAGTATCGCATTGTCTAAAGCACGCCCCATCAAGAACTCCAAACTGAAATAGTAGACACGCTTGCTATCAGTGAAGGTCTGACGCTGTTGAGTTTTATTCCATTCTTTAATTAGGCGATCACGGAGCGCTAAACTGGTAGCTGAGTATGCGGCCGACTCGTCGCAGTTGAACATGCTACGAGCCAAGGTAGTTTCGACATGGCGAACGACCTCCCTTTCGAACTCCTCTTTTGTCTTGAAGCCTTCAAACTGATGTTTGGTCCATACTTCGCGTTGAGGCTCGGGGATCGCCGCTGTACAATGTAAATACGATCAGTATGCGGGTTGGCAGATCTATAAAAGACGATAATTCCAAAAATAGGAGCAACATAAAAATCACTTATACGGACCCTCTACGCTTTTGATCTCACTAGCTCCGAAACCTGTAAAAGTCCGCTTATGTTTCGGGCGGGAAATGCCTGCGGGGCTCACTGAACCGACAATATCGACGATCGGCGCAGCTGTAGAGGGGCGGCGTTCCCTGGTTGGTAGACGTTGTTCGGTCGAGGCCATCTTGGGAATATTTGGAATTGGAACTTATAATTCGAAGCTACCCCTAAAATTAAGCACAATTGAAGCTCTGGAAATTCAACAATTAGAAAGAGAACATAGAATTAGATGATTATACTTCATTTTACTATTTAAATAGAACAGACAAGGCAAGCAAGACCGGTTTGCGACTTACATGCTCGGATTCCGTAGACAACCAATAATAAGCAGAAGCAAGGGTGATCGATGATGGTATTGGAATGAGGGAATGAGGGGGCGGGGTTCTTCTTCTCGTTGGGGGATGGGGAAGAGAGCTCTAGCTTGTGAGAGGACGCAACGAGGAGAGCTCTGGTCTGGTTCCTGGTTCGGACGACGATCACCGCGGGGCAAACTATTTCTCTTTTCTCTTCTCTTCTTCTCCCTCGACACACTAACCTTCTTTTCCCAATAATTTGAGGTATAGAGGGAGTAAAGGATAAAGAAGATACCTAGGTTAACAGGAGGAGTTAAGAGGTAGAAGAACAAAGGACAACTTATAGTAAACGACGAGTCAATAGATAGGTAAAGGAGGTAAAGGTTGGTAGGTAGTCTATTTATCTAACTACCTTGTAGTTCAATTAGCTACCTAGGTAGGAGGCACCTAGGCTGTGAAGGGTCGGGCGGTTCCCTTCGACTCAGTGGATACCACAGGGGTAACGGAGAAGTTGTCTGAGAAAAACATGCCATCTAAAGCACGATGACGAACCTGAAGCTTGTTCAAAGCTGCAAGCGCCGCGTTCCTAGCAAGCAATAGGTTAATATGTTTAATCAATGGCAAGAGAGGTGGTTGGCGAAATGAAGCTACTCGATGCGCGCCTACACATCCTTGGATGGACGTCCATGTATGTACGTACGCATGTGCCCACCCAATGGTAATATGTAATTGTTACTTGCATGAAGATTAGCACCTACCAATGCCTATAATATCATACACGACATACGTACATGTATGTGAATATGTATGTAGGTATGTAAGAAAGGAAAAGCAGCTACATGTCGATATCGGAACGGATGGAGGTGGAGGAGAGAGAGCTGCGAAGAATCCAATGTGCGGGGTTGAAGACTTAGGTACCTACCTAGGTACATGTAGGTAGGTACTAAAGACTTAAGGTCAAAGTCAAGTCAAGTACTTACATAAGGTAGTTCAAGCCAAGTTAAGTCAGAAAGTCATTCGACTAAAAGTCTATACTAAACACTAAACAAGTAATGTTTTTAGCTTTCTAACTTACTATTGCTTAGTCTCTAGTCCGAGTGAGCCGTTCAAGCTATAAAACTAACGTGATAGTTTCAAGTCCTAGAACCACTTCGTCTCCATAAACACTCGAGATAAAGTTCTGGGGAAAAATCGCGAGACACGAACGCAACCGTGCTATGTACAGAACATAAACCGGGTAAGGATTAGCAATTTCTGGCCAGATCTCTCCCTCTCTCCCAAGGACAATGGAATAAACAGGGTGGGAACACAACGGAGCAATTCTCTTCGTCGGCATTCGGGTTACCCAAAACCAAACATTTCACTTACGGATGCGACCAGACCCGCAGCTCGAGACCCGTTCCTCGACCGTTCTCTCCCAGCCTAGATTCCCCATGGTTCGAGGTGTTCGAAACGACTACCTGCCTGACAGCGGCTCTTCTCTTCTAGTAGCAGTGCATACAACCTAGCATCTTGCAATCTACTACCTTGCTACCATCCCTGTGTGTGATTTGTTGCACTTTCGAGACGGGCGATGTCATAACGCTTCTCAAATGCTACCTTTTACAATTCCCTCTCACAATTCGGTCGCCTGACCTGACTATATAGAGATAGCTCTGCAGCAGCCCAATATCAATCATCAATTGCCCTCTGCAGCACATCCTCTCATGTCGCCAATTCGCAAGTAAATACCATTATAAATAGAATCCTTTGACAAATTTCAACACTGTTTTTTCTCAGAGGTCTAGATCTAACCCCCCTCCTCGGGGTTAAAACAGTCCGCAATCCTTGTCCTTTCGAACCATTAGCATCCAGATCGATATGCCGTAGCGTCTGTCTTGGCACTCAGGATTTAACTGAAGAAAACAGATGCATGTGATACGAGGTTCTCGCGTCTACAATAATTATAAAGGTAGATGATGAATTGCCGTGTCGACCTTGACGGTAGCATCATGTCGCTCAAGTAAGACGATATGATCGACCTGGTATTAAACCTCCTTTACGCACCTTCGCTAATCCATGTTGGCCGGGATACCACTGATATGCGCGAATTGATGATCGAGAATCAAGGCTTGATCTTTTTTTTTTCTCGTCGTCTGGAACATGATTAAAGAGTTGCAATGGAATTCCCTGTATCGACCGTGCCTGTAATTTGCGATATGGCGTGGTGCTACTTCTGGGGAGTTGGTTAAGGAGGTTTACACCCAATGTAACACATGTACACATACAGTCCAGCACGTATCAAAACCATCATGTAGTATCAAATCTTTAGCTTCATTGTTTCTCGCACCTTGAAAGATGCCAATTTTCATTGGTCTACATTGTAGATACCTATTGTAGGTAGGTATTTACTGATAACTATCTCGTGGGAGGGGGGTAGACTATGAGCTGCCAGCCTCTTCAATGACCGGCTCTCGATAAAACTCGTCTCTGCGAGTTATGCCAGTCGTGTCCTCCCCCTTCTCGTCCATAATCGATCTTATATCGATTGTTATATCCGGTGGCTCTCAAGCATTGGGCAACACCTTCTAAGTAGAAACGAACATTAACCGTCTCTTGCCAGAACTTATGGCCACTGAATTTTTCTGCCCGCTATTCCGCATCATTCCATATGCCTTGAACATATTAAAACTGGTGAAATTGTCGAGTCCCTGACGCCTTGCCATAAAACAATAAAACAAAGAAAGAAAAATGTCGCAAGAATCCCTGCCTGAACTCCTTCCCAATGCTTTTTTTGGTTGCCGCCTTCAAATTAGGCAAGATGGGCCTTATGGGGCCCTAAACATCAAGAAAGTCGAAATCACAAGATGCCAGAATCCTTAAGTGCATTATTGAGTATCGTTTCTTTCACAGCCGCAAACACCAAACGGATGTTGGAAGTATCCGTGGCTTGAGTCAAACTAGATAAGCAGGTCAGCAACTGAAAATTAAAAATCCGGTTAGTTGGATGGATGATATGACGTACTGAGGGTATAGGTTTAGGTGTGCCCTATTTACTTGGTTAAACCTCCACAATAGGTACTTTGCCGCCTTGTTGACGTCGTTACCGCCAGAATAGTCCGGGAAGTAATTTCCTAGTGGTGATTTTGGAAGCTTGACTTTGAATATGTCGACTTTGTTTAAGAACAATATTATACTTGTTCTCATAAACCACCTCGAGTTGACGACCGAATCAAAAAGTAACAAGCTCTCCATCATTCGGTTCTGACTACTTTCTTCAAGTAGTACCTGATCGTACTCGCTGAGCGCCACGCAGAATATGATTGATGTTACATTCTCAAAGCAATGAATCCACTTCTTCCGTTCGCTTCGTTGGCCACCGACATCAAACATGCTAGATTTAAAATGTTAGAACCTGTGTCGCAAAAAAGGAAGTTGGACCAAGCTACTCACTGAATACTGAGGGCCCCCATCTGAAATCGAGTCTCGTAAATACCTGTCGTCTTCGTTCGCGCGCGGAGAACGTCCATTTCATTTGGTAGGTAATCTGGGGCGCATATTCGTGATGCCTCGTCGAAGAAGCTAGAGCAGTGGTAAGCAACATAACATAAGCATCAGTACTCCCTTCTACTCACTATTCAGCCGAGTCCATTAGGTAGAATTCGGTGGAATGTTGCATTAACTGCTCGATAGAAGGATCATGCCATAATGCGTTTACTGCCGTAGAGACCTTCTGTTCGATATGCGCTGAGGGACCCGACTCGACCGTATATGCTAACAGGTAATCACTATAACCCTTGATTTCTTCGCTATGCGGCTCGATGTCAAACTGGTCCATTGCGATAATAACGGCTTTGGCGCATTCGATCAGGTTCTTAAAAACGGTCGCGCGGTAGTTAAACAGTTCATCTTCCGAATAACCTTTCAAGTGGATAATCTTCATTTGCTTAACGATTGTTGACTTCCCGCTCTCGCCGGAGCCTAGCGAACGATTACCGTTAGTACCGTGCGCAGCTAGTTATGCGAGCGTTGACAACTCACCAAGCAATAGAATCTTGCATTCTCGCCGTAATCTCTTTGAGTCCTCATCAAGCGCGCGGTCGATAGCTTGACTACGTTTTTTCTGCTCCTCCTCTTCTTTATTTGAGCTCATACAGGCCCCCATCACGTTGCAAGGTCAACTGGCTTTTCCTAAACCAACGCGTAATACGAATAAGGTTGGTGACAGGCGTTAAAGACGTTCTAAATTGTATCAAAGCGCCCGAGCGATCAGTGGCCAAAGTCTATAGGCGCATCCTGATTTCCGAAAATCGTCGGCAGTAGCTCCTTTGGTCGCTGCAATATTCTGGCGCGGCAAGTAACTCGGTATCGGTGCGCGAATTGCTCGATCGGGGTAGGAGTAAGGAGTAGGAGGAAGCTATCCAGTTATGTTTGCGTCTCTTTGTTCAACAAAGCCGATTAGCTAGCTGCGTTTAGGTGTTTATGCAGTAGCAAAGAAGCGCCGCTTCGATAGGTTATGTTTTTTTTCTTCTTTTTCTCTTTTGGGTTGCGCCGTATCTGCGGGTCGGGGCGAAGGGTTCAACGGTAGTTCGAAGGTCCGAGGCAATATGACGAAATTGATTAACAGGAAATATCTGGAGAATCTGGAGAATGTCGGCTGTTAGCGCTAACTATGGCCCCTAGCCCTTATTAATTCAGTTAATTTCAGAATTGAATTTTGGAGGCCCATCGAGGGTTGAAACGGTTTCTAGTCAACCTCGAGATGAGGCGGAGCGGCGCAAGTGTGGTGCAGCCAAGAGCGACCATTACTTAACTCGAGTCGGCTGAGTCGGGGGGGAAAGCATCGTACAAATAAAATTATGCAATTGGACTCTGGGTGAAAATGGGTGAAATGCTAACTGTGGAAATGTTCCAGAAGGAGTCGGGAGGATCAAGTCTTTCCCATTGCCCTCCCTGCTTGAATGGTTACGTACAAGGTTGTTGGCAACGGTCTCCCTACCTACACATATTAGGTAGGTGAGGTTCTCCGATATCTTGGTCTGCGAAGCAAGTGTGCAAGCCTGCAAGTCTCTGCAACTCTGTAAGTTTCTGGTCGCTTGACGATTGTGTAACGGGCGAAATGGGGAAACCCCATAAACCCGCAGGCGTAACAAAGCGATGGTCTCGACAGGGCAACGGGTAACGGGCAACGGGCAACGGATAACGGATAACGGACAACGGAACGGAGACGTACTTCCAAGGTTGCGAGTCCAAGGTAGGAGGGGTGGCGGGTAAGGGGGGGAACGCAGTAGAGAGAACTCCTCCAAAGTGGGTGAGATAGCTAAAGGTATGAAGAGAGGTAGACAAAAAAAAAAGAAAGACAAGACGAATGAGGAGAAAATTGGTTTAAGGGTTGTAGTAGAGTGCAGTAGAGTGTAGTAATCGGGTAGGTGGTGTTTTTAGTTTAGGTAAAATTACACAGAAGGTGCTGTGAAGGGTAGCTACATAAGGTACATGCAGTACACCATACGCGTAACTGAGGTGAATAATACAAAATGGCAATAACGATTGGACATTGGGCATTGAACATTGAACATTGGCGGTGGTGGTTGAAATGTTAAATATGACGTAGGAAACTGTTTGGAACAACTTACCGAAAATAATTAAATATCCAATTGTACCAGATGACCGACAACACTGCTGACGATGATGACGATTATGTAGTTGTTAGAGAGCTTTTTGAGATTCGGGGGAATAATCGTTCTAGAATCGATCGAGGATGAGGAGAGAGAATTATGAGATGACGAGATTATGTGATTATGGGATTATGGGAAAATGCGGGCGTTCACGGCAATCAATCAATTAATTACCAATAGACGAATAGACGAGGCTCCTTAGCAATTGCGACCTTTCAACTCTCACCTCTCACACAAGAGAAATTGCGAGAAGGAAAATAATTAGTAGCAAGTAGTATTGTAGTATCGTGGTATTATTATGACAGAATAAAGTCAATCGGTCTGAATTCAGTCAATCATGACTCTTGAATTTTCTTGTGTAAGGTCTCGGGCGGTCAGGATTTCTTTTACCGTTCTTTGCATTTTTTTTTTGATGCTTCGACCCATGTGCAGGTGCAGGTGCAGGTGGTTCTAGGTACCCAAAACCACGAAATATAATAGAAGTGTACATATAACGTATACATATAAATGGATACCTAGACAGCAGGTACATAACGGATATGTATAATAGAGCCCCAAAGGGCTGAATAGTTTTGATTGTTACAGGGAGGTACATGCTTTGGACCCTTGCAGACCCTGGTATTGTACAATACTTAGCGCCACTCTCGTTCGAGAAGTGCCTGTCAGCGAAGAACAGGGACCATGGTTCCGTACCTGTACAACGCATAAAAGAAATATTGGATTTTCTAATGGGGGGTGTCTGGGTGTCAGTTTACGAAAGAAAAATAAAAGCAAAGATACTGACGAGAAAAGGGAAGAAAAACATACATATCTTGTATGCGTCCATGTCTAAGAGGTATACCCAAAGCGGGTTATATATGTATATTAACGTATTTTATTATAAAGTACCGTACAATTATGTTATTTGGATTCTTCAAATTCAAATGTTACTCGGGGATTTTGATCATGCTGCTGCCATGTTGCCATGTTATCTGTAAGGTTTATCCATCTATTTTACACTTTCAATTTGCATGGAATCCATGTATCAAGTGGATCTCTCTTAGTAACGGGCTAGGTATGCTTAGCATGGAGCCCTCGGTGGGAATTGAATTTTCAGGTGCCCTAAGGAAAAGAGACCCACATGAGCTCTTCATTGGTGTACAATTTGGGTCTTTCAGGGATCATGCCGTCTTGTTATCTCCACGGGTTGCGGTCATCGAACAAACACAATTCGCGGCAATCCATCACGGTCTATCAATACGAAGAGTTTTGTCGAACTTGTCGAGTCAGGCAATACACACCTGCACTTATACATCCCACATTATCCCACATAAAATTCAACTTTTTTTTTCTTTTTTTTCACATACCGACAAAATAGACTAGGGGAAATACGCCGGTGGTGGTATATGTGATATAATTCTTTCTTCACATCGAACTTATCCAAATTCGGCAGCTCTTCGTCACTCAAGATCATCAGACTTTGTCTCTCATTGGCCTGGTTACCTTTATATCGTGTCTTTTCTTCGTCACCTGCAGATTTACTTGTGCGAGAGAATTCAACATTATCATGCAATGCCCTAGTTGACAGTTACCACTTTCCCAACCGATCCGAACCAATTCGAGCCAACCATTGCCCCATGCGTCCCGAACGGCTACATCCAGCAGTAGGCCCGGCACGCTTTAGAAAGAAGAGCGAGGGTCGATGGTCTATAACGTCTTAAAACTCGGACATATAGGCGGCTCTAGGTAGGTATTATGAAAACAACCCATCTTACCTTATAGATTTAACATGATCATCGACATAGCATGGTAGTAGTACTAATACGGCCCCCATTGTCTGAATCAAGGCTTCATAGCATAATCCATCGTTCTATAATTAGGGCAATTGATCAATTACCTAATGTATACATAAGACGGGACCTTCGGCTCTTTAAGCAAGGGGAGACACAACTGACATCACTGCACCTCATACGTACAACTCTTTACCAAAATGGAAGTTGCATATATTCCGAATATATCATCTTTATCTTATGATCCTAGGGACAGTTGCCGTATTAAGTGTCCAGTTAAGGACTTCTGACACGAGACGTCACTCTCAAGGTGGAGTATATATATACGGTGTTTATAGCTGGGTAAGTGTTCTTAAGCCTTAATAACAATATGCTACAGGTTTACATTTTAAGTCTTTGTTGCCTAGGTGCTAATGAATCTCGCAAGTAATTGCCCCTTTTCTCATGTCTAGAGTCAGAGAATCGACCGCTTTTTGCTAGGCATTTTTCATTTTTGGCATTGAAGTCATCGAAAATGAAAACTGCGCCTGTTATGTGCATTAAAGGAAAGTGGACCGTATTGCCCCGAGTATTTTGGCTCTTGCAATTGGTTCAGTTAACAAATCTCACTTGTTTTCTAAGTATGGATTCAAGAGTCATCTTATGGTATCCAATCACAACCATTTCAACAGCTAAACCAAGTGAGCTGACCTTAAGTTTCGATCCTGCTATTATACTATTTCAGCTAGCCTCTCTGTACTAAGTGTATACGCAATACAAATGCTGTATACACGCTATGTAAGAAGAGGCTGGCCTTGCTCTTGCATTCAGCTAACATAGTCGCCAACAGCTTAATCTTACCTCTTGTAAATGGCACTATGATTTACTGGTTCCCCTTGTAAAATGTTTGCTGCCCACGTGTTTGACGCACAGCGGGAAAAGCCCTTACTTAATGTAAGTCAGACATGTTCGGACTATCGGTACCCAATCTGCCTTGAGAGTCAATTGTATGGCTAAGATGCGATATCCTTCACGTCGATTTTGGGGGGGTTTATATGGAACGTATGTTTGAGAGAACGTTGATTGAACACATTATCTCCGCCTCTCAAGCCTAGCGGAAATATTGTGTCCCCTTTCAATTCCATTATCAGCCAGTATTGGCCAGCCCTCTCTCTTCTAATCGAATGTCTAAGCTAAGCAACAGCCCTACCTTAGTGTTCTCATCATGTCAGAACTTTACATTAGGACAAAGACGAACTCATCAGCTTAAGGCCGTAAAGGAATACGGACAATTAATCTGTTGCACGCGGAGTCGTGTTTCATCTATCCTCAGAACCCGTGGGATTGCGGCAGCTTCCCGGTAAGGGGTAATGACATTGGTATAAATATGCATTAGTTACCAGGTTCACAGCACAGCCCGAATACCCAGATGCATGGCATTCCTCGAAAACTTCTACATTTTTTCGAGAAACCTTCAATGCCGATCTACTTGATCCGGGGGTTCTCTCTTTCCCCCCCTTCTTTATGTCCGAGCCCAGCCTTGAGGTCAGATTTTGTACAGTACATCCCTAACCCTTCCCCCTGACCCCCTTGCGAATTACTTTTTATTTCCCATCCGCAGGGAAGTCCTAAGATCCCCTGCGGCTGAATGCTTCCACACGTGGCATTTTCCGTCTGTGCTTTTATTTGACAAGGAAATCAACCATGGTGCTCGCCACGTGTCGACCGATTGAAATGTTATTGCTGTCATCAGCAATATTACGTACTTCGTGCTAGTCGGCGCGCAATTCTATGAACCTCTTCTAGTAGATAGACGGTGACAGAAGCGATTCGGGGGACAATATGGATACATATAAAGTAACAAGCTCCCGTCGAACGGAGTTGTTCGGCTCCGTAAATTCTTGTCTTGAATCCCCAACCCCCTCCATAAGGACCCCTTACTGGCTTGTCATATTTTGGATAATAGCGGTCTACTTAATTATACCGTAGCTTTCTTAAGACGCGTCTTTCTGGCAAATTCATATAATTCGTACATCGAAGTCCCGGTCCGATGTTACACGGCTACCATCTCTCGTGCCATGCCATAAGACGCAGGCGGTATACCCAGTCGATCGCAATTTCAACGCCGGGGTAATTTGTGTGGATATAGGACAAGCAACTTGAACCTGGTATTGATATCCTAAATCTCCGTATACAGTGCGCGCGCGAACCCTACATACTTTCTTCTCTAGCCCATGACGACGGCCAAGTTCAAGCAAACAAAAGCGGTCGGGAACGACGAAAACCCAAGCAAGCAATACCTATTAACAAGGTAATCCATAACCCATCATAATCCTCTCTAACTATCAACCTACATACACCATTTCTTTTCCTTCCTTCCCTCATTCTCTCCACCTAATCCCCCAGTCGCCCTTTGCGAAACTAGGCTCGACGACCTTCCCTTGCATAACGGCTTCGCATTTCCTCTCGCCGGCGAATCCGAAAACCACGAGTCTACGCGCAGCACTCCTAACCATTTCCCGCTGTTTCGCTCTCCGCTGCCCCTCGATTCGCTTCCGCGCGTTTTCTTCGCTTTCTTGCGAGCGCTCCGCGCGCCCCTTTTCCCCGCCTACGCTGCCGTTTACGAGGAATGTGGTTTGTGATGGGCGGATCCGGGTTCCGCTTCGCACGGCCATGCGCGCTTGGACATCGCCGTCGATCGAGGAGGTATCGGAGTCTGAAAGACTGAGTGCTATGGCGCTATCTTCGTCTCCATCGTGAATAAATTCGTTTTGGGTAGGGGTACTACCGTCTTCCTCGGCTGCGGGTAGGATTCTTGATGCACGATTCTTCCGCCGTCCAAATGTCTTCTCCGGATCCGCGCGATCACCGAATATAATATTTTGGACTTCGTCACAGGACACGATGATGCGGGGGTCGCCTTTCTTCGCTTTTGCGGATTTTCGCATTTTGTAACTACCGCTGCCATTGTTACCTTCCTGTTCCTCGGCAAGTAACATGCGTACAAATGTGGCCTCGATCTCGCGATCCAGCTTTCTAGGCTTGGTGTTGCGACAGCGCTGAGAGCAGTAATTCGGTGCGCTACTGCCGCCATTGCTAGTGTTACTGGAGTCGTGCGCACGCCGTGAGCTTATAACGCGACCGCAAGAGCGGCAGTATGGTGTTAATTCGCCGCCTGGGAGGAGGTAGTATGGCACTGGTGTCGCTTGCGACTTGCCCGGGCGCGACCACGAGTCCATCCACTGATGGAAGAAGTTAGTGATTACATTCTAGGTAAGGAGTCTAGGGTCATAGGAACGAGCTATGACACTCGGAAATGCTTCTTTTAGAAGGCATTGTTCCGCATATAAGCTTAAAGTGCCAGGGCGTGTGTTTATTGCTGCGTACGCTCATGGTTGTTATAGGACTGAGGTAAGGTATAGGTGATTGTAAAGATACGAGTCTTAGTAACGTAGGCCCTACAAGTCGCAATGTTGGTGACGAGAAGCTTGCAGGACAACGGATAGGAATAGCTCTTAAGTCAGATACTAAACATAGTAAGCTTCTCTTCATAAAGTAGCCAATTAGGAAACAATCTGTAGTATCGTAAGATGAAGTGTCGTAAGTGAAGTCAGTTCGGGTCTCAAAGCACCACAGATACGCAAAGTTAATGACGTCACTAGATCTAACCAAGGTCTACTACAGCTCTAGATCGAGACTTAATCGTCTAATTCCAATGTTCAGGATGTTGATCCTGCTTAGATCTGGTGAATGGATAAATAGAGTGCTAGATCGATTCTCCGATATATCCTTGACTGGTGGTCACCTTGACAGCTCTCCGAGTACGCCGATGGTTCGTATTCATAAACTTCATTGATAAGTCAAGTATCGAGCCTCCGATATTGATGGTATTAGTAAGGAACAGGAGTACGATATGGTCACGAGGGAGAGAAGATGATAACTGGTTGGAGGGGACAATGGTCCCAGATCCCAGTACCATCAAGGTTAGGCTGCTGTATGCGACGCGATGCGACCCGTTGGATTCAAGTAGTCTATCCGAAAGCTCCTAGTCGCCGTCCCATGTCCATTGCATGGTTCATTCCAAGGTCTTCGATGCAATGCCCACGAGGCCAAATTTGTTGAGCTTATCTTCTATTCACTATCTAGATTCCTAGTCAATATACCCTGTCCTTCAGCTGGTATCCACAGGGAAACGTCTAGACTTTCACTTCTACGCTCAGACGATGTTTTGGGTATGAAAAAGGAGAAGGCATTGATTATTATCAATGGGGATTCTAAATAGTCTCGCGCTATAGATAATCTCGATGCTCAGGGTACATAGACCCAAGTCCGAGCACGTCCAGGATCCCATACCCTTTATACCATTACAAAATGTATTTTCTTTTCGATAGTGAGATACATATCCTAGAATCCCACGTGGGCGGGCGATGTCGTGATGCACCCCAATTCCGATAATATAATTCGAATCCACAGTCGTACGTCTTTTTTAAGGTAGTATGGAGAAAAAAACGCCTTCCGGTTCATCCCCAGATTCCGCTTAGGGACAACCTGATTCTCCCAGACCATAGATATAAGGCACTACTACAAACGAAAAGGGTATATGCAAAGTGTGATATCGTACCGTCCCAACCATATATCATTATAATTTCAGCCTCAACCATCTTGCGTGTATCTTATATGGAGGGTGATATAGTAAAAAAGCAATGGTGATGCGCGAGTTCATCGACGCTATCTGTCTACTTTATGGAGTTAGCTCCAAGTTCCCACCAAGTTATTCGAGGTAAGACATTAGCGCGTACATCACCTACTGAAAAAAGACCTCATTACCATTCTCAATCCGTAAGGAGCCCACGTGGGGGATTAATGGTTTCTTTATCGTTACCCCAAAGGGGAGCTAGGAGGAAGTGGGCTAGTACTAATACACACCCGCTCGACTAGGCACGGGCGGCGTCTCGCTAGTGGGAGTCACTGAACCGAACGGACTCAATTTCCGGTCCGCGTTCTTTCGAAGGGAGGAGAGCTGGAATCGTAGCGGTCCCTTCTTTTCCCAGCTCGACACGCTAGCTGTATCTCCAGGTTGGACAGTCCTGATCGAATTGGGATCGAGGTGAGACTGCGGAAATATTCCCCAGCCCTTTGATGTAGTGCCAGACCAGCACCAGTGGTCCGTATAAGCCCCTATAATTGTAATACGTAAGTGTCTTGCTTCGGATACTCGGATTGACTAAACAGGCAAGAGAGGTTAGAGAACTTACAGCCAATGTTTTTAATGATATCCCCCTTGTCGAACTTCAGCCACTTCTCGTCGCCTTTCTGACTCCACTTCCATCGAGCTACAGCTTGGACGTTGCTCGTGCCCTGCATCTTAATTTCGTTCTTCGGCGGGGCATCAATTTGGACAGAGTCGGCTTCGAATGCGGCTCGTACTCCGTCATGCCAGCCGATACCCCATTTCCCATCGTACTTGGCAGGGAACTCGATTCCGACTATCTTGGCCCCGACTGCGTAGTGGAGGACCGGTTCTCGACCAGGGGGCGAGCGCATAACTCCATTTTGGATCTTCCTCGTTTCCGTTGCGACAGCCGAGGGTAATCTAGAAAGCTCGCGTGAGAGTCCGGTCATGACGGATTGCATAGGTGGGTGTGGTAGGTGGAGGTCAAAGTTGTCTCTGAAGGCTGGTGGGATATCGGTTGATTCGACTACGGTAAGACCTGGGATTTGGGGGAGTGGTCGAGGATGTCGCGCTATGTGAGCAAATAGCTGACTTTGGTTGAAGAACACGGTAGAGTCGCTTTCTTCAGTAGTCTTTCCTTGTTGGATACAGAATAAGCATCCGTAAAGTTGTTCCTCCACATGTCGGATTTGCAAGTGGCTCTTTTGCAATATACGCAATCGAAAGCCGATAGAATTAGATGTGAAACTTCCAGAGGCTAGAACATGTATTAGATAAAATCCATATCGAATTGAGAAAGAATAAACTCACAATCGTTGTTGAGATCCTGCTCGACTGACTTAAAGTCGATCTCAAATAGACAGTGGTTGCATTTCGCAACAACGGCCATGGAGAAACCCTAGTTATATTAGCATTATTCTTGTGATGGGGTTTGGCGCGAGACCGACTGTATCATCACTCACACCAACGGGTCGTTTAATTTTCTTGAAGCCTAGCCGACCTGCCATAACTTCCTCAGCACCCTTACAGAAGCCTTTGAGCTTGTAGAAAGAGCTGAACGGTCCTATAGTACAATCGGGTTCCCGTGCTGGCGTCGTTAAGCCATCCTCCATATCGACGGGGATCAAGCCTGAGTCCATACCTGCGGGAAGTTGACCTAATACTCCACCAGGACGGACGGTAAGAGTAGATGATGAATTGTTGTTAATTGAGCCATAATTCGATGAGGTCAAGCTGGGATTGCGTTGGTATACGGGAGGGTGGCCGATATACTCTGGCGGTTGTCCTCCAGGGCTAACTGGTTCTACCGATAGTATCGAGTTTCTGTGTGTGACCGCCGAAGAGCTAGGGTTCGCAATACCCATACAATCGACTATATCAAAAACAGAGCTGTTAATAGACTCTGTTGATGGGTGGCGAGTAGAGCGGCGACTACCTGTTGGTTTCGGCGCCAGCGAAGTTTGCCTCGGCGGAAAGTTGGGGATGGGAGGGAGACTAGTTTGTGGGCCTTGGGTGGTGACCGCACTGTTCTCGGGGATAGAGGGTGTGCGTCCGAGAACAGAAGATGTATCCGAAGGCGACCGACTGGCCGAGGGATCCTGGAATTGCCCTGGCCATCCAGAACCCTCATTAGCAGGCGACCGGTTGGCGGAAGTAAAACCGCTGTAGGACCTATACGTTGAACCCTGCGTAGAGTTAGTCCAACGTTTGCTCTTCCCAGGAGACCGAGATCCATCACTAGCCGTCCCGAGGCTCCGTGAAGCCGCGCGCATTCGCCGGTCATCTTCGTCCCTCTGGGCTAGGTTCAGAGGCTCGTCGATCCGGCTTCGAATCCGTAAGGGGGTCGCAAGAGAACCAGGACTGACCGGTTGTGTTTGGGGAATTGTCGGGGAGTCGCTCGGTACGGGGGGGCGACGTTCCCATCGGTCCGCTTCCCCTGGCTGCTCTATGGGACTGACAGGCGGGGCTGAGCCGACTCGCCATGGGTCAGTAGAGGGAGGTCTTGGCGGAGGGTCCGAGGTCACATCGGATACTTCAGAGCGGTGCGAGTTGCTTCGGTTGAGGCCGCTGCTCATAGATCGAGGAGGTAGGTTTGCGTCTAGACCTTCGTCGGGGCCTGCCACCGCTCCCATCATGCTGCTCAGTTGCAGCTCTGTCTCTTCCATCAGCTTATCTGTCGATGAGGACGCCGGAGGGTCGACGACAATACTTGTTGGTATTTGTTCATAATGTGAATTATTATCAGCATGATCGGGGGCACTTGATGCCGCTCCTCTTGAAGACGAGGATCGTACTGAGTTTCGCGTTGGTGCAGACGTAGGTGCAGGCGCAACTAGTTTCATTCGTCTCAGTATATCTAGGATTTTCGGCGCAGCTTTTCTCGAGGCTTTTTGTAATTCCTCAAACTTGCTTTGATCGAAATCGTCGGGTTCGACATAGTCGTCAAAGTCCCATAATAAGTCTTCTAGTTCGGATCGGTACTGCGCGATTTCGTCTAACACGTACGGTAACGAGTCAATTTACCAATTTTTAAATAATTATGAGGACCCAAGGGGTAAACTAGAAAAATACCTTACCGTTCTCTTTGATCGCATCGACAAAGTTTACACCGTATTCGTCGAAATTCTTAGTGCAGAGCGGCTCGATCCGCTTCAGTGCTCGGTCGCCCTCCCTCACTAGGCTCTGCGCTGCCTTGAGCATAAGCGGCGATGTTTCTTCGTCTGCATTTGCCGCATTTTCAATTGCTACATTTCCTTTTTCTACAATATCTCTAAACGGCGCAATCGCGAGCCGCTCGACTTCGTCCGCCATGATAGCTGGTGTGTTGGTTAAGTATTTGACAGATGTCGTCGAACATGCAATAACCGCGGGTGTTCCTATTGACCTGTGACCTGTCCAGCCCGGTAGGAGCGTCAGAGGCTCCCAATTTAGTATGTAGGATCGAGGGAAGGGTGGAGCAGAGAACCGACAGGCTGGAGTCCTCGCAACTCAGCCCTCGCAACAGTTGATGTCAAAGTTGCGCAACGACGATGATGTATACGGCAGCACATAACGCGAAGAATCAAGGATGAGGGAAAGAGAAGAAGAAAAAACGACGAGACCGGAATATGAGAGATTGGAAATTCCACCCCACGAAAGGCTGAACTGCATCAGTCAAAATGCTGACCCAAGTTTCGCTAAAGCGTGCAGCGATAGCTTACACCCAAAGTATCATCGATTGCCCGGGGCATAACGGAACCACTCAAGGGTCTAGTGGCGTCTTTTGGCCAATGCAGAATCGAATCGAGCAGTACTTACGATGTATATGTAGTGCTGACCCTGGCTTGCGTGGGCCTTTTTTCCTCAGGGTACCTCAGGGTATATTGTCTACTCCATTCTGTTCCATTGCCCGCGTTGGCTATCGACCTTTCTACTTTCTAGCGGACACCGCCTGTCAAGGTCTTGATTGGCCCCGAGGCTTGCGGTGTACCCTAGTGTTACCCCCCAGCAAGACCCCCAGCAGTTCGACACGGACAGGGGCAATGCATACGTTCCACTGGACTACCTTAGCGCTTCCCTGGTCTCCATCACCCACGACGAGGGACTTAGTCTTGCGAATCTAATGTCTTAGATGGCCCATGTTACGATCACTATCACAATTGAAGGGCTCATTGGTAAATTTACCCAGAGCGAATGAACTGTTCTATCTGGACGTTGGATGTTGATATTCGATATGGTAGGGTCGCAAGGCTCTAAAGACCGATAAAAAAAAGGTAAAAGAAAAAAAGGGGCTACGCTGTCACAAGCTTCAAGATAGGGTACATTATTTGCTTACTTACACACATACCTTAGTAACTAATTACTACCTTTACAGTAGGTCTTCAGCCAACGAGGCGGTGCTATGCAAGACTACCACGTAGTAATAACCTCATATGTATACATTACATAGATAGGTAGGTAGGTAGTCGAAATCGCTCAAGTGAAGGTAGTGATCTTCAGGTAACAGTGTCACCTACTTCATATGTACATACCGTACGTACATTACATACCTACCCTCTAAATCTACTTATTAGTAACCCAACCCAAAGAAACGGGTTGGGGTAGAAGGGGGTGGGACGGGATGAACGTCTCTACCTCGGCCGTATTCGCTCCTAGGCCGACCAATAGTCAGACAGACCCAAAGATTGTCCAGTTGCTTTTGATATCAACTTTCCCCTGACTGAAACCAGGAAGGTCAGCGAACATATGGTATGGTTGAGATTCGGTTCGCCAATTGATACCTAGCCGATTTCCGGCAGGTTGGAAATGAGCTGCGTGATGTACCTGAGAGTGCATCAAGACAGGCTGGCAAGATAGGGCGGTAGGGTTCGCGATGGATCTGAGTCAACCCACCATCGGCAAATGCATCTCCACCGAATCCTACGCCGTTATAACGAATGAGGGCTGTCAGCCCGTCTACCAAGAGAGTAGGCTTCAATTGCTGGCTGATTACTTACCATTTCTCCGTCGCATTCAGTGCATTTCTGCGAGGCGATCTGAGACGACTTCCATGTTTACCTACTAGGTCTGCTAGGTACACACTGTAGAAGTATGAGACATGCATAGCCTACACTGATAGAATAATATACGATCGATTGCCATTAATAGCCCGCGGGATCTAGCGTACGTCATGGTATTGTCTCAGGGGAGGACTACAAACAGCCGTTGCTTGCTGCTGTGAGACCTCATGTTTGTATTTTTCCTTTCGAGCATCCAGCAGGGTTATTGTCGTCATCGGCAAATCAGTAAGGTCAGATCGAAAGAGGAAGGACTTTCAAAAGTTCTCCGTTATTAACCACCTAGGGAGTCTGCTAGTACCATGGGAGTCCTGCGATTGTCGGATTACTTACCTACCTACCCAACTTGAACTCCACTTAGTTAACAGGGGATAAGGGGGGGCAGTGGGGGGATGGACCAGATGGGGAGATATTCACCCCGGACATGCAACTAATACTGCGAATACCCAGCACGTTCGTGCTAGGTACGTGCTGGTATGTGCTAGGTAGCCTACAGCACCACAACTTCTTGGCACCAGGGCTGATGTCCCAGGACTTCTGGGCAGCTGAACGAATTATGACAGCACTACGCTGTGGCTTGGGAAGATCTAAGTAGGTTTGTCGAAATCGGCTGAGGCTCTCAACGAGGCATATTCTATAAAGCCTGCTTCGCCCTCTGATTTAAGACACTTTGGGTCGCGAAATAGCTTTAAATGACGTCTAGCGGCTATTTCTTTATTGTGATCTGTTGCCTCGTCGAATGAAGCGGCTGAGATACTGTTGCCTTAGCTCATTGCTTAGTTGTCTTAGTTGTAATCGACACAAACATACCTAGGTAGTGGGGAAGAATAGGAGCCAGGTTACCTTCGCTATTGACGCAGCAAACCCGTAGCTATAGTGTAGGTACAGTACAGTACTTCACTAATTATTAGCAAGCAAGCAGATCAAGATCCATCGTCAAACATCAACACGTTTGCCGAGTCTCCTCGCCATCGAATTTACTTAGTTTTGCACCACACAGCTGGGCAATTCTAGGGGGTAAATATTCTCCGCTCTCTGATTTAATGTCCGAGATCATGGCCGCGTGTTATTGATTCTACGCCAATCGTCAATGGTTCATCCTCGCTTTTGTGTATCCAGGAGCCTCAACGTCAATGAGGTGGATTGCCATTGGATTTGTGTAGGGTAGAAACGGTCCCTCCGTCAGCCTTTATTACCTCGGCTTTAGAACTGTGATACCTAAAACGACTTCTCGAGATACTCCGACGAACCGAATAGGATATTGCTCTGTTTTGATTCGAAACATCCCGTCCTGCTTGTGTCTCTTCACCACGGCGCAGGTTCGTTCACCATACACACGGTACAACGGATCCTTCAATCGGAGCCATCCGACCTGCCGACTTACATGGACTACATGGTTCTCCACTGATTGCTTCCCACCTTAGCTACTTGCTAGGGTCCTTTGCTCAGGGGTCGCGCAGTCTTATCCTACACTATCACTTTCACCTTGACAAGTTCACATGCCAATGCGGTCAAGACTCCATAAACACACATAGATAGTCTACATAGTACACAAACAAGGTGACCACTCTTTCCAATATTACCAGGTCCCCCTCCTCGTCGCCTTCACCCCCCTTCCCCTTCGATGCCACCATAGCATTCATGAAACGCTGCTTTAGTGTAGCTCCCCTTGCATTCTTAATATTTTCTTTCGCGGACCTGATGGATATTTTTTTGAGTCCACTTGATGGATTCAACGTAACATACGCTATAGGTCGCTACTATCGCAATCTATACTATGTTCGCTTCTAATTAAGTCCAGTTGTTACCAACATCCTAGAAGCTGGTCTCGTGCTTCGGGGTCCGAGAGTTGAGGCTTCAAAGAGCATAGCGACAAGATAAGTGGAATGGCCGGTTTGAGGTAACGGTCCCGAGTCCAGTGGAGATAGTAAGAAGCAAGTTGATATCAGAACAGAAGGAGAAACGAAGCGAGTTCGAATTTGTGGTTGGCTATCGAGTCTCTTGAAACATATCCAATTAGAGATATCGTAAACAAGATCGCTACCAACTGAAGGTCCTAGACGGATAGGCCTAATATCTCAATTTAGGTACCTCTTTAGGTAGGTCAATAACTGAACATGACTGGGTGCGGGATCCCACTGCTGAGGCCCAATGTACGACCCAACAATACGGAAAACAATACGCGACGTCATTTTATTTCGAAATCACAATTGAAACCTACAACCCTATAAGGAGCCATATAACGCGACAAGTAAATCTAACATGATTAATTAATTATATTAAATTCACCTCCGAGTGTGCCTAGACGCCTAGGTAGGGTGGTAGGTTAGCTGCTACCCAAGTACCCGCCTAGGCACACGCTATAGGAGGGTCTAGACAGACAGTGTTGTATGGTATAAGCATCAGTTCAGTTCCAATCGATGTCCCCCAACTACATTTTCATATCCGTACAAGTTAATATTAGGTACACACTTACAACCTCAACCTTTCATCTGCCCATATCAAAGCGTACCTATCTCCTTTGGTATAGGACTCTCAGATAAAAGTAACGTTAGAATGACACAGACAATAATGTCCGAAATCATTCGTCTCCCCCACAAACCTGATACCCCACTATCGTACCGATTCCTACCGGGACAAGGCCCCTTGTCTACCACCCATCTCGTCGTCTTCCTGAATGGTCTTATCGTTTCCCAAGCCGGCTGGGAGCTAACCATAGAGCACCTGCAGAAGAGATGGACCGAGCACAGCCGCGGTACCAGTTACCCGTCACTGCTCACCTATGACCGTTATGGACAGGGTGAATCCTCCCGTGATCCGACCGACGAACAGAACGGCGGAGTTCACGACATCCGCGAGGTTGTCCGCGACTTGCATGCCTTAGTGCAGTATATATGGGAGACTAAGACGAGGAATATTCAAAATAGAAGCGGGGTAGAGCAAGCAAAAGAGGCGCCTCAGCCGAAGTTGGTATTCGTCTCTAATAGTATCGGATGTGTCATCGCGCGCCTTTATACTGAGACTTACCCAGGCATTGTTGAGGGTTTACTGCTACTAGATAGCAACATTGCTAATAGCGACCTTGTCTCCGTCTTCCCAGACCCCGATGCCCCCGGATTCGACCCGAAAGTGCTGCCTAGTGATGCGACGGTTGAGGAGCTACGGCGCACCCGCGCTGCCTATGATTCCTACTTCCGCCCATCAGTACCAAATCCGGAACACCTAGACCGAAGGAATATCGCTGACCTACTACCACTCTCGGATGCACCACCGCTGCAAGGCCCGGGGTCAATAGGGCCATGGATTACAGTTGTCGGGCATGACTGGGAAACCTTCGCCGAAGAGGGAGAGAAAGGGTTCATGAATGTGCCCAAGAGCTTAACCAATACATTCCTTAACCCGGAGTGGTCTAGGTACAATGAGGGACTCGTGCGGCTGACACAGCCCGAGAGAGCGCGTGGTCCCGTGATAGCTACGGGTTGCGGACACTTTATTCAAAGGGATGATCCGGCATTTGTTGCGGAGCTTACGGAGAACCTACTAGAGAAGGTTAAGGCCGGCACTACAAGGTAGGATATAGGAAATGGTGGGTAGTATTCGAAGCTCTACTCTATGTCTGTGCTCGAGCATACATACCCCACGGGTACCGGCGCCCTGCGTCGTGGTGTATCTACTATAGAGGCATTATACAATGAAAGCTCACCGAAACTACTGCATAAAAATGCGAAGATACTGAAAGAACGACTGTCTTACAAGTGGGCTTTATCACACGATGACGTCTCCCTGCGCATCTGTTCTGATAACAAGTGACGAGGCTTGCTACAGTCGACGAGGGGTTACGAGCAACGTTTCGGGTCGGAAAATTTATTGTTGATTATTATCATTCGACGAAGGCTTAGTTGCATGATAAACAATCAGCATTAATGCCAGGTACATGGAAACCGACCACACTTGTAAGTTAAGTTGTGTTACAACGTTGCTGTTGCCAGCCACGTAGTATCATCATCCCTAAAGGGGTTCTAGTTCTAGTTCCAAAACCCCCTATTCTCCGAAATATAAACCGACCAGTCAGATTTTCATCTCCGAAATACCCCAAGAAAGTGTTACTTCAGCGCAAAGGACCGAAATTTAAAGGACTTCATATTTAAGGAACTTTTGAAAGGAAGACGTTGACATGCATGATGTCAATAATCGAGAGTCACCTCATATAGACGAATCGAGTATCCACCCGCCGAGATGACGCGTGTTTCTTGAAACTAACAACCATAGGATGCAGGACAAAAATTTAACAGAACATCATCTTCATCCTCTTCGGAACTAACGGGTACACACCCTTCGCTTAGGAAACCGGCGACGCCCATGAAAGAGTGGGAGTTAGGATGTGGTTACACAATCCATCCTAACCTTCAATCCTCTTTCATAGGTCCGGGTAGGTACAGATTGACACGAGATCGACGAAGGGTAGATTGATAAGGACACACAATTTTCAGCTAAAGACAGAGAGACCATTGGTATGATCTTGTTCTCCGCTTGAAGCTCCTGATAACCTTGCATGTTGAGGCTGCTGTACCACATCCTAATAGACATATTGTAATTGCCATACCTCGCGACTAGGCGTGTCCGAGATCCTGTAGGCTTCCGATATAGCCTTTCATAGTCGCACAATGAATAGCGGTGAGACAATTTCCCCAAACGTTGTCCATCCGGGTCCTTTCCTCTGTGAAGATGGATTGCACAAATATCACACTTTGTTGCTGTGCGTTGCTGACATAGTCATGACGGATGCTGACAATATAAAAACCCAGCTAACACAAGAAAATTATGGATGAATTATCTAAGTATCCAAGCACTTAGGCTGCCCAACGCCATGTTTTGGATTGGGCATTATAACATATTGATCTTGACCGAACAGAGACCTCGGTAAGACGAAAGGGGGCACGGCGGGGAGTCGGTCGAAACAGACGTGAGGCACAGCAATATCTGCCGCGTTAGCTTGTTCAATAGTCTTAAAACCTGGGGAAGAACGTGCCGCTTTTTGCGATATTTGGTTTTGGTAGGTAAGGAAATTTCTGTAAGCGGTCGCTTGGGAAATAAGTCTCTATGCGCGCAAGTAGTTGAATGCATGCCAACTATCGTAAGTACCTAAGATTAGGTAGGTATGCAATAATAAAAAAGCCAGCCTAGACATACAAGGACGATATGGCTTCTTTGGGGGCGCTATAATGGTTCACGCCTTATGCTGGCATGTTATACTCTGGGACAAGGGAGAAGAGGACTGGTATGGCTAAAAGTTGAGTACAAATAGGCTGTTAGCATGCCCAACTGAGCAATCTCTAACAACAATGAAATTTTTCTTGCCATTAGGTACATGTTAGTTCTACTTCTAGTTAGACATAATAGTACCATGCTTCCGCAAGCTTCCAATAGAGGCCATTGCCATCCGCACACGTACATGCTCTGTTTCGACGTTGCTATTCATATCATTAAGCGCGGTGACGAACGTCTTTATTGATGCTGCTTGGCTATCCCTTCGAGACGCAGTCGCCAAGCAACTAAACAAGAAGATATAGACATACTATGTAGTTGCTTACTCGCCTAGACAGCTAGGCAACCATCTTTGTCGTTGAACATATCTCTCACATCCCTGGGGTCTGTATAGCCGGGCACCTAGTCTATAGCTTTTGCTTTTGCGTGCGTACGAGGGGACAGCGACTTTTATTACGTTGAATTTTTACTGCTTATTTGTGGTTTCATTGTCGAGTCAGAGAATTGATGAATGATTTCCAAAACGCGATATTAAAGCACCGGCCGCGAAAGACGCGCGAGAGCTTGTTCTGAATATCTCTCCTTACCTACCTAGGTACCCAAGTAGACAGGCACCAATACCCCCAAGACTAAGCTGGGTGTAAGAAGCCCTGTTAGAACCACTATTATATGGTACCTCAAGTGATGCTTGTGGACTTGCCCTGGTATTCCTGATTTGAAGATAGTCTTCTGTTCATGAAGGGTTCGAGAACCTGGAGTATTATGAATACTAGACACTACTATGTGTTGTGGAGTTAAATGCACCTAGGTCTCAACGAGTAGCAAGTTGTTTAGCTCGTAGGACCATGTAATTATGCCTCATGGCGTATACGAGCGCCCCGATAGTGATCGTTCCAGGGAAACAATTCTGGACGGAGTGGTTCCGTTTGACCTAAAGTACGATTAAAGGCCATTTCATGATAGCCAAACTCAGTTCGAATCCATTTTGAGTTATAATCAACGTGCGAGTGCCTAAACGACTGTGCGTTATATGCGATGAACTTATCGCTTTTCTACAGGTGGTCTTGACTTGAAACCTTCATACCTGCTAGGGCGGTCATCGAGCGCTCTTCCAAAGCCGAGTAGGGATCGTGCTTAGTCTTTTATCTAGCATTCCCCAGCCTGCTAGAAATATGCCTAGGTGAACAACTACTCACCTTGCGACGAGAAACAGATACCGTCTGATACCATCGTGCCCAGACGGGGATCAGGGAAGTTGGTGATAAGTGATACACCCTTACTCGTAACATCTTCGTGCGCTCCTTGCTGTGAGAATCTACTCTCATTATCGCTATAGCTGTCAACACCACCTGGGAGTCGTGGCTTGGCGTGGAAACGAGGCAGTGGAGTCGGGTCCAACATGTCTATGTCATATATCTGCTGTAACCACTTAGCCCAGATTGAGCTTAACTGAACCAAGACCACGGTTTTTATATTGCTCGCCTAGTCCGCAGAACGTGTCCTTACGGGTGACCCTTGGGCATATCCCATTCGTATCAATTCTGGCATGGCTCATAGTCCCATCGATGGAGATGGTACGCCTATTGGGGATGTCCGAGCGATAAGTCTAGCTCAGCTTGAAGTTACCAAAGCTTTCCATCGCCATCTCCGCTCGCGAAATGTCTTTAGAAAATAGCATTAGAAACCCTCGACTGTTTCCAATCTACATAACTTCCTGGTCTTCATATAACCCGATATGATTATCTTATTTATATTATAATCCGGAGTACTCGATCGCAACTAGGTTGAAGATGGATGGGTTGGTATCAGAGGTCAAGCCACAATAGGATTGTATCTTTCAGAATGATGTGGCGGTGTTCTTTAGCAGCTATCCCGATAAGTCCGTGTCTCGGCTTAGATTGGATTTCGGCTAATTATATGTAACAAAGAATTGAGGTCGTTCCTGCTTCAGTCTTTCTATTCGAGAAAGCCAATTTAGGACGACGTGACACACTTTATATCAGACCGAGACTGCCTATTAAAGCTTAACGCAGTGACCACCCCACATCCATTGATTCATTATCCCTGGTCCCATGGTGCTTTCTCCACTTTACGGCTTTCCCAAATGCAGGGTCCGATGCTCGGCAAGTGGTTCGATGCAGCTCAAGTGTCGTCATTGGTGGCTGGCCCGTCAGCCCGTTAGTTGCTTTGGTCCGCCCTAGCATAGCCAAAGAAAATGACATGGGATCCCTAAAAAATTATGACAATGTAATAGTGTGGGCGGTCTACAGAATTGGTCTCTGCTTTCTCCTCTTCTACTCCTTGATCTTTTTCCCACACAGCCTCCGATGCGTCAAGACGAAGTAAATCAATTTCGAATTTCCCCCTTGTTTGGCCAATTTTATCTTGTTGTCTCTTGCACGTGTGCATCTACAAGCCTTGGAATGATACCCCTGGATTCAAGCATAGCTTCCTTATTATCCTCAGTTCTTTGATCCAACCCTTCAAAATGCCACCGGCCAAGTCGAAAGCGAATCAAAACCACGACGACTCAAAATCGGAGACGGCAAGCGTCAAAGATCGAAACGGTCATGGACCAAACCATCATCAGTCGAATGGAAAGATCCGACGAGTTGCTAGTTCTACAGGTACACAACGAGACGTAGCGACCGTTAACGGCAACTCGTCAACTACATCGGCGCCCGGGAATCAAGCAGTCCACGCCCCAGGAGTAAGATTACTTCCGCCACTACACCTTATTATTTCATACCAGCTAACATTACATCTTCTATAGTTGCAATGGCCGTCCTTTGATCGAGACATCCTACACGATTACCGTCGCAAATACCTCCTCCCCACCCCGACAGCTTTTGCCAACCCCTACCACCACTGGGTACTTTCGCGACCGGGCATCGGCTTACGTTCGCCCACAATGGCAAGAAAACAAGAGTACCGACGCCAGAGTAAAGAAGACCTTACGAAGGCCGTCAGAAAACATTTCAATGCGCTCGGTGTACAAGAGACGGAAGTCATTGTTGACTTCGTCCACAAGGTCAGAAATCCTGGCGTTGTAAAAATAAGGAGGAATAAGGATGCACCACACTCGTCTCCGTTACCATGAGACGTACACAACACATATATACCCCCAGAAAGCAGGAACACTTGCATACATCGCTACACTGCTTCAAATGCATTATTGTCATCATGATTATTATTATCATGTTATTAGACCCGTTTTCGAGTTCTTGCATACCCTATGGCTTTTTCGCATTTTTGCATTATCCTGGAGTTTTAGCGTTGGGTGGGACTCGATCGCGGAGGAACAAGGGCCGACGATTTATCATGAATGGGTATTGTACATACAGGCATGCTGGATTTTTACAGCGACTAGGTACATATGTTTTTCTATTGAATGGGAATTTCAGCTCCTCAGTTTATAACAATATAGATATCATCCTTTTTTGACGATTTCCTTATCGTTAAACAAATCTCATTTAATATTATTTTTTTAGTTGACCTACCTCGGCAACTTCCATGTCTAGCGTGACTGTCACCGTTTTTTTAGTTTCGCTATTCTACTAAGGCGATGGGCCGAACCCCTCACGCGGGACGCGTGCTCAGGTGCTAAATCCTGTACATAACCTATTCCTTTTACTAATGAATTTAGATTGGCCGCACTCCCGTGGTGGCACCGCATCTGCTGCAATAAACTCCGAACTTAATTGTACCTGATTACCAAATTGGGAAGACAGTATATGTATGCGCTCTAAGTGTCTAATGGGTTCTAGTTAATTGGCTAAAGAAGCCCACGATATTTATTCAGCGCATTCCAAGAACATTATGCGGTACGTAGATCCGGGGCGGCCAAGAGTTGATTTCCATGGCATCGTACCCATAGCATCATCCAAGACAATTTGTGTCTAACTAGGGAATATCCACGTGTTATTCTTTGTCTAGTGCTAGACTGGAAAATTTTGGGATAATAAGAAGATATAATAATTATATGTAGGCTAGGCGCCAGAAAATATGCCAAGATCCTGGTCATCTACCATACTTCTGTGTGAAATATTGTGAAGAAATCGCTCTAGTTATTTTGTCTAGCCCGGACCTAAAAGAAATGAATAGTCTTAAGTATAGAATTCAATTGCATAAAATGGATGTGGCTGATACACCGCTAAATTGTGGCTTTCGCACAAGTCGAAAAAAAACCTTATCCAGCCAACCGGGAGTGGGGGGCGTTGCAAAAATCGAGAAGCTTCCCGTTCGCTCGGCATCGGTTCTTAGCGCATAAAAAAAAAGTTGCAGCGTCATTGCGACGAGCTACCCGATTTATCCTCAATCCTTATATTCATAATTCAGTGTCATACATATCATGAGGAATTTCAAAAGTTTAGTCGGGTTTCGTTTGTGATTAGGAGCAGTCAATATGAATTCCACCATATTCACAAAAGCAGCGATACCCTCGCGCATCGTCTCTCCCACCCAGATTTATAGAAGGCAAAGGATACGAGGCAACTTACGAAAACGCTCACAGACGCAGAGCAATGCCATTTGCTATTTTGCGAAAAGACCAAGTAATACGATAAGGCGACCCATATGTCAAGAAATTTTATTTAAACGAGTTAGTTATCCATCCCATATATACTTCAGTTGAGCTGTTGTTAACCGGCTTCGATCTAGTCTTTCCATACCACCCCCAATGCCCTCGCGATTAAAGACCCGTATAAAGCCCTAGGTGTTGGAAAATCTGCTTCGGCGTCCGAGATCAAGAAAGCCTACTATGGGTTAGCCAAGAAATACCATCCAGATACCAACAAGGATCCGTCGGCCAAAGATAAATTCGGCGAAATCCAGTCCGCATACGAAATCCTATCCGACCCGAAGAAGAAAGAGCAATATGACCAATTCGGAGCTGCTGGCTTCGATCCCAGTGGCGGACCCCAACCAGGAGGTGGTGACCCATTTGGAGGCGCGGGTAACCCTTTCGCAGGCTTTGGTGGGCAAGGTGGTTTCGGTGCGAACTTCAACTTCGACGATCTCTTTTCCGCATTTACTGGTGGACGAGGTGGTCCTTTTGGTGGGGGCGGCCGTAGCGGGGGAAGGAACCCATTTGCGCAGGAGATCCTCGTCGGCGAGAACATCGAAGTACAAACGAGCATATCTTTTATGGAGGCAGCAAAAGGAACGAGTAAAACAATGACGATACATCCTCTAGTGCGATGTAACACTTGCTCTGGTAGCGGCCTCAAGCAAGGTGCCAAACGAACCGAGTGTAGATCTTGTGGTGGCACGGGCACACAAGTACACTTTATGACCGGTGGTTTCCAGATGGCGTCTACCTGCGGAACTTGCAAGGGTAGCGGTCAAGTTGCGCCTAAGGGATCCGATTGTGGCGCATGTTCCGGGGCCGGTGTTGTCAGGGATAGAAAGACTATTACTGTCGATATCCCTGCAGGTATTGAAGATGGAATGAGATTGCGATTAGACGGAGAGGGTGATGCGCCCGTCACTGGAGGCACAACAGATGCGAATGCCAAGACAGCTCGAGGCGACCTCTACGTTTTCGTCAGAGTTGCGTCGGATCCAAAGTTTAAGCGGGCTGGATCTGATATACTTTACACAGCAACTATTCCGTTGACCACGGCGATGCTTGGTGGTGAGGTAACGATTCCTACGCTGGATGGCCAAGTCAACGTAAAGGTCGCCACAGGTACAAACACTGGCGACAAGATCACGCTGCCGGGTATGGGTATGAAGAAACTAGGTGCTCGACGCAGCAACTCCGGAGACTTACTGGTCGAATTCCGCGTTGGTATGCCGAAGTACCTTTCCGCCAACCAAAGAACGATCCTGGAGCTATTAGCCGATGAGATGGGTGATAAGACGGCCAAGCGAATAATGAATGTTAAGATGCCTAGGTAAGTGACCATTGACCTTCGATTCACGCCTATGTAAATCTAACTAGAACCCGCAGCTCCGATGGCTCGACTCAAAAAGCAGCTTCAAAAGACGACGATCCCGCGTCACATAAGAATGAGTCATTCTTGAAATCGATATGGCATAACTTAACAAATCACCCAGCTCATCAAAAACCAGAAGACCAGGCGCCTACTAGTCAAAATAAATCCGACGAAAAACATAAAAAGAACTCAGATTCTGGTTCGGGCTAAACTCAACACCGATTCCAACCAAAAGACATCCCCTCGATGAATTGAACAACATACGCCTCCCTACCTAGTTAGCGATGCATGACTGATATATACTCTCATGGCTGCGATATAGGCAATAGGTGACAAACATAGCACGTGAAATAATAGATTTAGAGATTGGAATTGCATGGGTGGTGTTGAGGGTGGTTTGGTGAAATTCGGTCAGGTCATCCCAAGTGAAAGCGAGTCACCGGCGAGGCATAGTAGCTTTTTGCATGCTTTAATACCTGGCTAGGTATTTAAAACTGGCGTGTATGTATGTATTTGGATTTGTATACTACTACTAATAGGTGCAGCACGCAATGTCAGATACCTAGGCGCGAGGCCACTCTCCTCAATTCAAAAATACACGATGAAACGAATAACGCACCAAGTATCACGGTCTATGATATATATATTTTTTCTTTTTTCTTCTTCTAAATATATGAGAATTGCACTTCTCATGTACCTTCGTACAACCACCAGAGATCCAGAGCATTAGGTATCTTATCGAGTTAAATCTCACAGGCGGTTGCAGAAATGGCCTCGGTTGGATGAGCCGCGAGGAAAGAAAAGCAGCCTTATTGAGTTTAAGGTCACAGCAGCGGCCCGCTAGGCGCCAGCACCCCTTGCTTGTCTTCAAAGCTAACCGCCATAAGCACCAATCATGGCATATTTAGAGTTGAAGAGGAATGCCGGTTCTAGCCAATGACGTATCATAGAGGGGTCTTTCGCCCTGTCTGGACGAGTTCGTCACCTGCATAAGTGTCGTTCTATCGTGATGACTATTTGTTTAGGAAAAAACCAATAAGGGATTATATTGTTTATTATATCTGTCTTTTGAGAAGAGGGGAAATGGAATTGAGGGATGCTTGTTGTTTCTGCTTTCCTATTCTTCGTTCTTCCGTTGTGAGGGGTATAAAATGTCGCTACATTAAATACATGTCTTTAACAGCTCTGCTATCACGCTATCACAGCTGAATTGACAGTACCCACGTACCACGTACGTACCTGTCATGTCATATTCTTATAGGTTATAAAGATAGAATGCGTCTCGTATTAAGCGCTACGTTACACATTAAATAAGCGAATTGCCCAACCTTTGAGTAGGCAGCCCATACATAATTCGGTAGGGCATCGGTGAGATTGGGTGCGATGTAGGTACAGGTAGGTTAAAGAAGGTAGGACGACGATTTTAAAGGCCAACAATTGCTGACGACTAACTGGAACCTTATGCTATTTCTCCACCGACCGGCCCACTGAATAGGTATGGGTACCTGGGTACAATACAACTCTATGGATTCCCTTGGAAGGAAGTCCCAACTACGACTGGCTAAGACCCCACCGTAGATACTTTCAGTGCAACTAGTCTACTAGTGCTACTTGTACATAGCAGCCATAGCAGCCTTAGATCCCTCCTCCGGCGGCTACTCCCTAGACGCCAGTTCCGATGTTCCAAGTTCCAAGACAAACCCTCTGACAACGTCTGTACCTATCGCCTGTTTATCTGAACATCTGCTCGCATGGACATTTTCATGCGCCTGACTTAATTCGCAAATGCGCCGCGTGTTACCATACTCATGCGTCATCTAAGTTAACTTAGGTATCTAACCAAGGTATTCAACCGTTGTAAGCGGCACTTTTGGGCTACCCATTCTACCTCGTTCGACTACACCGTTTACAACATTGCTTTTCAGCGACAGCATGTTGGTTGATACCCCGACTTTTAGTACGAAATCGCTTCCGGACAATCGACCTGGGACGTATTTTCGGTCTTAGAATTGGCGAACCGTTTACCACGCACAATTTCTTATTTTAACAAAAGTGATCGTCGTCAGCATAGCTTCGAGTGACATCAAACCCCCACACCCACTGCGCCTTCGTATACGCGGCGATAGACTTCTGACAGCACTGCCTGATCTAATGCGAAGCGAATACTTAGAGATTTTATAAGCAAGGGAACTCGTTCAACACACCTATTCTCTCCTGCGACTCGCACCACCCACCATGACGCAGACCCCAATGATCTCGGTGCCTTTAAAGGCCACTAACGAGATCGATTGGATTACACCGTTGAAGACATACATCAGAGATACATATGGAGACGACCCCGAGAGGTATGCGGAAGAATGTGCGACGCTCAACCGTTTGCGCCAGGACATGAGAGGCGCTGGCAAAGATAGCACTGCTGGGAGGGATCTACTATACAGATATTATGGCCAGCTCGAGCTATTAGACCTCCGATTTCCGGTCGATGAGCAGCATATCAAGATCTCTTTTACCTGGTATGACTACTCCTCTATAACTATGACAGGCGTCAATATAACTATAGTGTTCTAACTTCAAGAAACAAAAGGTTCGACGCATTTACTCACAAAGCTACAGCCCAATACTCCCTTGCGTTCGAGAAAGCTTCCATAATCTTCAACATATCTGCCGTTCTGTCCTGCCATGCCGCGAACCAAACCCGATCCGAGGAGACTGGTCTTAAAACCGCATATCATTCCTTCCAAGCATCCGCTGGCATGTTCACCTACATCAACGAAAACTTCCTACACGCGCCCTCATCCGACTTGAGTAGAGAAACTGTAAAAACATTGATCCAGATAATGCTTGCGCAAGCCCAAGAAATATTCCTCGAGAAGCAGGTGGCCGATCAGAAAAAGGTCGGCTTATTGGCAAAGTTGTCTAGCCAAGCCGCCTACCTATACCAACAAGCGCTAGAAGGTGTTCAAGAAAACGTCAATAAAGCTATCTTCGAGAAAGTCTGGCTATTCTTTACTCAAGTAGGTTTGCTATAATCTAGAGCGCGAAGGAGTAAGGCTAATTCATATTTAGATCAAAGCCAATTTAATGACATCAAATGCGCAATACTACCAGGCCCTTGCCGATGAAGATGCTAACTCATACGGTGTAGCCATCGCCAGGCTCACATCAGCTGAAGTCCAAGCCAGAGAAGCTAATAGAATGGCTAGCAATTTCCCTAGTACTATGCCACCTAGCTCGAACCTGAGTGCTGACACGGGGGCTTTATTAACGGAGATCACAAAACGGAATCTAACCACCATTCAACAGAAATTAAAGGAGCTAATCAAAGACAATGATTATATATATCACCAACCTGTCCCGGCAGAGGCCAGCCTGGTCCCAGTACCGAAGCTACCGGCAGCAAAGCCAATCCCAGTAAACGAACTCTATGCAGGCCAGGATATTCAACGGATAACTGGCCCAGACTTATTCGCGAAGATTGTCCCATTTACAGTCACCGAATCAGCGAGTTTGTACGATGAGGAGAAGGCGAAGCTGGTGCGTGCGGAAACTGAGAGGGTCAGCATGGCTGACGATGAGATGGCTGCCAGTTTGGACTATCTCAAATTGCCAAACTCCTTATCCGTGTTAAAAGGGGGAGTGGATCAAGATATCCGACCAGACAAAGACTTTCAAACTTGGTGCGACGATGTTGCGGGCCACGAGAATCCGATATCCATATTCGATACGTTACGTATAGACAAAGATGCGATCGTGACAACTTTGGACAGGTGTTCAAAACAACTCGATATGGAGGAGAGTGTCTGTGAGAAGATGAGATCTAAATATGAAAGTGAATGGACACAACAGCCTAGTTCACGGCTCACAACTACTCTGCGGGGGAATATCCGGAATTACAGGGAAGCCTTGGATGAGGCAGCGAAGAGCGATGCCCAACTTTATACCAAGTTCCGACAAAACGAGGTAGACTTTGAAGAAATGCGGAATGCTGCTCAAACTGGCGAAGTCGACTCCCTATTCCAAATAGCTCTTAGCAAAATCCGCTCGAAGTCGAGCAGTTCGACAAGCCCTGCAAGTGCTGAGGCCAATTTGCTAGATGCCGATTTTGAGGACGATAGTCCGAGTGTGGCGGAGCAAATAACCAGAGTTGAGGATATTCTCAAGAAGTTGAACTTGGTGAAGAGGGAACGAGCTCAGGTTCTAAAGGATCTCAAGGAAAAGGTGAGCATGAAAATTTCCATTTACGTCAATGTTGACATACTAACAAGATTTAGGTACACAACGACGACATATCACAAATTCTCATTTTGAACAAGAAATCAATACCGAACTATGAAAAAGAACTATTCCAATCCGAATTAGAAAAGTTTCGCCCCCACCAGAACCGGATATTACAGGCGAACCACAAACAAGCTTCGTTAATGAAGGAGCTTCAAGCATCATTTGGCCACCTCCTTCAGGATAAGCGCGTACAATCAGAACGTAGCAAGTACGAGGTCAAACAACGGCAGAGGAACTCGGTAGTCAACAAATATAAGAGGGCGTACCAAGAGTTCCTGGATCTCGAATCTGGGTTACAGAGTGCAAAGAACTGGTATACTGAGATGAAGGAGACGGTTGACAGCCTTGAGAAGAACGTGGAGACTTTTGTTAACAACAGGAGGTCAGAAGGCGCCCAATTGCTCGGCCAAATAGAGCAAGAGATAGCTGCAAACAAGAGCACACAAGCTGAGGCTGAGCGAGAACGACTTCGCGGACTTATGGAGCGCATGTCAATGGATCCTAATGCATCACCGTCGCCAAAGCCGGGCTCAACACGGCCCGTGCCAACACCACTTTCCTTCTCAAATGCACCTCGCTACCCACAGACCAACATCACCGGTCAGTACCAGATGCCAACTTCTCCGCCACCAAATCAGGCCAATTATCCCGGATATTCTAGTCCTCCACCTAGCAATACTTATGCTTCAACGCCGCAGCAGTCTTATACGCCTAACCCACAACATCAACAACAACAGTCATTTGGTCAAGGAGGCTATAATCCTAGTAATTGGGGTCGAAATCCTGGTCCCGTCTCGCCGCCGCCAAATCAAACCACTTTCGGTCTGGGTGTTAGCGGAAGAGGTCCTGCTTCGCCTCCACCAACACAAACTTCATTTACGTCAAATCAATATAGCACATATGGGAACCCACAGGCTCAAGCGACGCAACAGTATATGCCTCCTGGATTCGTACCGCCTCCGCCACCTCCCGGACCTCCGCCGCTAGGACCACAGCAGACTATCCATTATTCACAGCAACAACAGGACTACCCGTACGGTGTCCCCCAAAGTGCTATTACACCGCATAGCGCAGCCCCTCGGTCGGCACAACCGCAGCAGCAACCACAACAAAACGACCCGTGGGCAGGACTAAACGCTTGGAGATAAAGATGGTATAGAGTTACGATGGCGACGAAGGAAATGAAAGCAATGGAACTAGGACTTGAAAAAAGCTAGTTGGTTACCCTTGGAGATTACTGTTAAATAACAACTCAAAATACCGATTACTTGTTAGGCTCCGAGTTGAATTATTTATTTCGAATGGAATATGAGATAAAAGCATGCTAGAGCCGCGAGGTTTCTTAGATGGTTACTTATTTACTAAGTTAAAACTGGGATATCCCTTTCGATATGAGCTCGAGTCTACTACTTTAGCATCACCTAAAAGCCAATAGTTTCTGGGAATTCAAAATGTTCATAAACATGTGGTTCCCTCGATTAGATGCCATTTTAGTATTCATTTTAATCAAATACCTAGAATGGACTTCACTTCCGTGGTGTTGATCCGTGATCGACTAAACGTGGGAGTCTCGGCAACCCGCATTGTATAAGGGCGGCAAGCAGAAATCTATCATTTTTTCTAGGATCTAGCAAACATGGGATTGGACTAAAATCGAATGAGGCGAGCTTCATTGCCTACATGTGGTAAATGTTTGGCTATGTCGGATAGGGGAAAAAAAAAAGAAAAGAAAGGGAAGATATCATCTCATTCGTACGGATGAGAGAAATATGCAAGTCGGTCTCTTATAGTAAGTGGTAACCGAGATTTCCTAGTAAGGCCATATGGACATTGTTATATATAGGAGGGTGAGGGATCTAAATTGCCGGTCGATGTTTTGATATGCTATCACGTAAAGAGGTGGCAGTGGCATATTCCGTCAAGCCTGCAGGATCTTGTAACGAGATTAGAGATAGAAGGAAGGGGGAAAGGAGAGAAGGAAAAAAAAAAATTAAGAGGTCGGGGACTTGGCAAAAAAAATGGTTGTTGATGTTGCGATGCGGGAAGAGCTATGATATGTTGAGATGGTCGTTTATGCAATGCAAGACAGTTGGCATGACATATCGCCACATATCGAGTAGCACCTAAGCAGGGGGGGGTAGGAAACGCGGTTACGGGAATTCGGAGCTGATGATAATGAGAGGAGGAAATTGGGGGTGATGGACAAAGAAATAAAAAGAAGAGTAAAATAACATGAGATGATCTTCATTAGTGGCGTCGGTATTTCTATAGATTGACGGTATATCTGTATGCATTACTATATGTACCCAGGTAGTTATTTTGTTCTTATGAAGATATTCCGGCGGTATCCAGCTGAATGGATACTTAGATACTGAGTGAGACAATTGGAGGAGAGCATGTTCATGCTAAAGAAACAGCCAATTAAAGGTTGAAACATCTATAATTGTACTAGTCGCATCGCAAAGTTACAATAATCGCACGTGATTGGATGATCGGCATTATACATACATAAATTTTCCTACTTGGACTTATACAGATTAGGTAGTAGGTATGCCGACCTTAGCCATCGGCGCTGAAAGTAATCAATTCACCGATACCTGTACTTAATTGTAGAAAAAAAAAAGTTGATACGGAGTAATGGCGGGCAAGTGGGGTCCCCCCAATTCCTCCCACGTCGCTATCCATGTACCTAGGTAGCTTTATGTAGCGCTGACATCGCTAAATCATTGGCGGGGGACCGCCTGAAAGAAATTCGATATTATCCAATCTTTCCAGAATTTCTCCATGGTTCGTCCTAGCAGCCTAGGAAAAGCGAAACTAACTAAAGCTAACACTCTAAATCTACTATTATTCCACTATTCTTGCTTGGTCTGCTTGGTCGAACAAAATAAAATCATACCTCTTCTTCCCTCTAATCTACAACTAACTACATGATAATATCCTCGATGCCGCAGGAGGCATTGAATGAATATCATGTATATTCTTCCACCAATGGCACTTGTGTGACCTAGATTGAACGACCCTCTGGTTTCTTTTATCATTCTTGACCAAGTTGCATCTATCTACAGTACATGCTCACCCACTCTCTTGGCCGTCGATGGGAACCACCGTCAGACCTCTGGAACCTGCTTACACTTACACTTCGACTGGCACCGGCCATTGACATCACTACATTCACTTCTAGCTTGGTCAGATTGTAAATCAGCCTTGATACCTTAACTAGACATCGCTTTAGAGGACTTACATGCTATTCCGTTCTTGAATAGCCTTGGACTATTCTCCCATCTCCTTGGCTAGTGGTCCTATCTTTCCGGAGACTAAAGGTTGACCAGCTCACCGCTTGTATCCGTTCCGCTTGAGATTTTTAACTAGGCCGAAGCCCACCTATATGGAACCCTGAACCGCCTCGGATAGACGTATGCCACTTGGCCGTTCTCACTTGGGCGGCTAACAACGAACATTACCGGTAGCCTTGCATTATCCACGACCCACCTCCAAAGTATTCACCGTCGATAACGACATACCCTCCCGAGTCTGCGCGTACACGTTCCCCCGATCGTAACTTTCCTTGCCCTCCCGGGCGTGTAGAACATCATGGCTCTTCCGGCTTCAGGTGCCACCGCTGGAGAAAATGGAGAAGGCAGTAAACCAGGCTTCATCCCCCTGGTGACAGTTGTAGATTTCCACCATCACAGAGGTCCTGAAGTAGAAAGATGGTTCGGCGTGGAAGAAGGACAGGATCCCGCGGCCGACTATGACTGGGCGTTACTCCCGTTCATGGCTTTAAGTGACGGGGCTCACGCGTGAGTTTAGCTTTTTGGTATAGCCATGGGTATTCGATGCTGACCCTGGCCAATTGGTGTACGCAGATCGACCGAAGACTTCTCGTACTTTACTCTCCTTCGACCGGCTACGGACGATTCCCCCGCTACATCTCTTTTTGGTATATCGTGTACAAGACAGTTAGACGCCTCACAATTACTCGTTCGGCCGTCCGATGTGACGCGTTCGACAGTTCAAAAGGCGGTCGTGGTAATAGCAGACAGCCCGCAGTTTTTTGGTATGCTGAGGGAACGATTATCTGTTGTCACCAACGCATGGTTCGCCCAGCGTGAGTTCAGTGACACCGAGATCCTACGAAGATTTCAGGAGAGCCTTGCGGACGAAAAGGCTCGCGGTCAGCTCAACGAGGAGGTAGACCGGGATCAATACTTAGGAATGAGTCTCCGGGAACTTGTACGGGAATTCCGCTGGCAGACTCTTGTGCTTTTGAAATGCTGCCTCTTGCAGCCGAAGGTAGGTGCCCTATTACAATTAAATATTGACCCCAGCCCGGACTTACGAGAAATCCAGATGCTTTTCTTCGGCTCGCGATGTGAACGCCTATGCATGATGCAATTTTCTCTCATATCCTTAATACCTGGTTTACTTAGAAATCTTCAGGATTGTGCAGGGCCGGACCTAAACAATTATGAGAAGAATCTAAGCCAACCTACGAGTCTGAGGACTAGTGACCGAAACTCGCTGCTCTCATATATGGGGTTACCCCTCCAAATATTTGGCAAGGTATGCTATGCTAGCTTGCCCCCTTGATCAGAAACATGTGTTGACTAGATATATAGGGGAGTCTATTCGGGCCGTACACACCCTTACAGCAATTAGATATCCTTGCGGACTTCGGTACCAAATCATACATAGTTGGCAGCACAAACTCATTATTATTACAGCAAAGGGATCGATACAGCGATATACTAATCAACCTGGACGAAAATATGATTAATATTACTTCTACTTCACTTCGCACGGCATTGGTACTTTCCCATTCTGATCGACGGTGGATTGATTTCATCACACAGGAAGTCAATGACACCTGGGATGAGTCCAATCCAGGCCGTCCGAAGACGATGGGGTACCGCGGTAGCGAAGAATTCATCCGACTTCAATTTGAAGAATACCTCCTATCTCTCATCTCATCTGTCAAATACCACAACCATCTCACCAAGAATGCCCACAATCCCAAGGCACTCCTTCCTTACATTGAGGGAGACCCATCTCTAGATTTTAGTAGCGAATGGGTTGAATATTGGATGAGAACCGAAAATTACCGACTATGGGACTCACATACTGATGGGCACTTGTTTGATATTGTTGAGCCAAGACATCCCTGTGCTGGTGGACTTACGATGGAAGATGTTCAACGTCGGATCCAGCAACAAGTACAAGACTTACATCTTGATGAAAGATTTGCTGTCGGCCGCGAGGTGTTGGGTAGAAATCTGGCGGCAGGACGCGACAAGGCAAGCCTTATCTTCAATAAACTATACGCTGATATGGAAGCTCTTCGTGAAGCGCAAAGGAAACGCGCCGAAGAAGCTCAATTGGCGCAAAGTGCTGCAGAGAAGAATGGTTCTGCGACACCTAGCGTGGATGGGTCAAAACCGCAACCGGCGGCCAGTTCTGTTGGTGCAAGAGCCGGTGCATACATCGGAAGTTGGACTTCATGGGCCGACCAAAAGCGGAAGCAAGGCTGGGGTCGATCCAGTGCTAGTTCTACTGCAACAGGAGGCGGTGGATGGGGTTTTGGTGGTAATCGTAAATCGAGATCCGGTAATACGGATTCTAGCAGCGAGAAGAACGGCACACCACTCAGCAGCCCTGCTCTTTCCTCACCAGGATTCCCCACAACCGAGAAGATTCAGATGTCAAGTGTACACCGAGCCAGTGAAGGAGCTGATAGGCCAGTTACACAAGATAGCTTTGATGAGAGCGTATTAGACGCCGCTGGGTCAACGGACGAAAGTGGACCTTCTAGCCCAGAAAGCCCCCGGAAGAAAACGTTCCCAGGAGAGCATAGCAAGAATATAGAGGCGAGATTAGACGAAGATGGGCATGATGATGTCGTTGGGGTAGCTCCCAACGGCAAAGCCGAATCCAAACCAGAGGAGCCGAAGGTAGCCGAACCTGCTACGTAGTATGTGCTACCAGCATGGCACGGAATGCGATCGCGTGGGACGATGGGGGAGCACAATGTACGACAAGCATTGATTGGATGAGAAATGTATATACCTAACACAGCAGTCAACAGAAAGCTTAACGGGGCGGTAAGGATAGGAGCATGATACGACATTACACAGCTAGTACTAGCTACACGAGCAATGACAAGGGAGACAGGATATGATGTGTGTATATTATACTATACCATACCTCTCTTTCGATAATAAGGAGAGACAGAAATGAAGAAATTCTCACGAATGATTAAAGTAGTTTAACGTTAGGATAGAATTGGGATCTGGAGAGTGAATCCTACTTAACTACCTACCTAAGGTAGCTACAGCTAGATGAAAAATATAAATACTTGTTTAGATAAGAACTAATATTAACATTTTGTACGTTTGTTGGATTCCAGAAGGAATTGATACATCGTTGTTGTACTCGCTTAATTTCTCGTGGGAATGAAGGGAATCTATAATTGAAAATTATAGTTTTAATAGGACTAAATGAATTAAGTTTCTTTGAAAGTTAAATTGCTTGTCCCGATATTCATGCTCGAGTCACACGACGCCCAATTTTACTCGAGATCTAGCAAACTAGAAGTAGCGCAATATCATTGCCCATTTGGTTAAAATGAAGAAACATATTCACGTCGAACCATTCATATAAATATCATCATAAAAGTATTTCTCTAGAGTAATTTATTCGGATCTATTGAGCTTTTGCGATTGTTCATTCCGAAAATACCTACGCGGGGGTATAGCAAGACCAAACTGACCACCGCACACGCCACCATACACATAAGGTCTTATAGCCTAAACCTTTTGGTGTATCGTCGGAGAGCCTGATGTAGGGGGTCAAGTAAGGGTGTGTGGTTTTTGTGTGTGGGTACAAGACGGGAGAGAAACAATTACGTTCGTCGTGAGCAAAGCCGCCAGCGCTCGCCATAATAGGGACATTGAGCGCCGTGACTAGGTATGAAGGCCCCTTTACTCCTCCGCCATCTACTAGCCGCCAACGTTCAGGTTGCCAATTTCGTCCTTCATCGTTCGTTCGTCCTTCAGTTGACAACGTATGCAATAGCCATCCTATTAACCCTCTCCCTTCGTAGAACTCGCGGTTGCAGACTCGATTATGCCTGAGCTCCAGCTCCGTCTCCCTCAAATGCATAATTCTAATAATCGTCCGAACCTTCCATGCGTCAGAACCTCCCTAACCAGGATGCTCCTTTCCGAGTTCATGTAGAAAACCCAACCTCGGGGTTTTGATATCGTCTGTCGTTGCAATGTGAGACATGACGAAGAACACAATCGTCATCGGCGGATGCTAAAAGAGGAAATGATATTGGGGATATATGCGCGTGAGTATTAAAGTAGTGCTAGGAGTAATGTCAACCTCCTCGGATTAAGCCAGATAACCAAGCTCATCGTCATCCAAGCGTTCAAGGTACTCCTTGTCGAGCAAAACCTCAATGCACTTCTTGATATCGGCAATCTTAGGAAGGAAGCGAGACTTGATCTGGTTAATACATTCACCAACCAGCTGGTTGTGCTTCATCTTCTTTCGTGCCTTCATAATTCGTACGATGGCAGACTAAATCTTGGTTAGCACTACAAATAACACGACAATGGTGACAAGTGATTAAAAGGTGCGTAAAATAAGGCACAACGGTACCATCAAATTATTTCTTGAATGAAGGAAAATCGAATGGAAATATAGAAAAAAAAAACTTACTTGTAAGACGAGCTGTCGGTCCTCTTCGATGGTCTTGTTGGTATCCGCTTCCTCTTGCTTCTGTTCCGTCTTGGTACCAACGTTGAGGTTGACGCGGATTTTCTTACTCTTAAAGTCATAGTTAAGATCAAATGTTTTACCAGGGGCGGGCTTATCGCCATCTGGCTTCATTGTGAGTATCTTAGCCTTGACGAGAATCCCAAGAGCAGGATCCAAGACCTCATTATTTAATTGAGTGACTGATGAGATGTCATCGTATGAATGGGAATCACTAGAGTTAAACAACAAAAGGATAGCCATCTGATAGACGCTGACCTGTAGTGTGTAAGGTGTCTTTGAAGATTTGCAGTATCCAGTCTTGAGTTCACCTTTGCAGAGTTGCCAAAGCCAGGTTAGCTTTCGACCTTCATGTTTATTCTTATAGAAGAGGGTAAACCGATCGATGTCGGTCTGAATCTCAGCAGGCGGGTTGAACGTCGTGTTGGGAGCCGTCAGGGGCCAGAAGCTTGTTCCTAAAATTGAGTAGGTAGAGTCGAGTGGTTGCTTCTCTAATTGTAAACCCTTAGTGTGTTCTCGGAATCCAGTGTTGAGATCCTTGGAAATTTGCATGTCTTGGAACATGCGCTGAAGCTTGTTGGTGTACTCGAAACCGCATGCTTCCTTTAGTTTGCTTATCATACTTGTTTCGGCGTCGTCCGACGAGGAGTTGCTGTGCACAAGACGTCTTGCCAACATCCTCGAGTAGAATTTCTGGAAAACATCCTTATCCTCGATGTATTTGAAGACAGTCATGATCTGCGTCAAAGTAGCATCAAGCTCGGCCTCTTCCACACCAGCTCCACTCTTACGTAACAGCACATCGGTGTACTTGGCAAGAAGTTCAGGAGACTTGCTACTCCCTGCCTTACAGATTTCGTTGCGGTTGACAAATTCCCGGCAGGCGTTATCTAAGGATCTCGTGAACTCCGGCTCGTCGGCAAATGCTCGCTTGACTAGACCCTGGTATCGTGTGTGCGTCTCAAGTAAAGCTTCAACGTAAACCTTGGGTTCAAGTTTCTCCGCGTCAGAAGCAACCTTGGCCACCGCAGCAAGACCCGCATTGCGAACGTGCGCCTCGAACTTGTTCCTCAACGGATCTAACCCTTCTGGAATTCTGGAGAGAAGGTTGTACATGCGGGCCATATCCTCTTCTCGGTCGTTGTCCAGTAAAACCTGGAACTCATCCCTCAACATTGCGGAGTGATCAGCGATCAATGCCTTATTGCATGTCTTTTTCAACGGCACTGCTATGTCGGTATGAAGATACATACGCACACGCTCCTCCTCCTCGGCCAGTCGAGTCTCGGCCTTCTTCATGTACTCAACGACGCTGTTCTCGGCAACGAATTGCTTGGACTCGGCCTTGTAAAATTCATCTGTCGCTTGAAGGAAGGGCTTCTCGAAATGGAATCTGTAGGTATCGAGGGTCGACTTTGTCGCATCATGCTCGTCGAGACCTAGGGATACGAAGGAATCCACTACCTGCTTGATCTGCCTGTGCTCAATGGTTTCACCATTTCTTTGCTTCTCTACTAGCATAAGTACGGCATCCATAACCTTCTTGTTAACAGGCTCGAAGAATTCGTTACGCCACTGGTAAAGGTGTAGGGTGTACACATCGTAGGTACTCTTTTTTCCTTCGTCCATCTCGCGCTTAACCCAGTGACGGTTGAGGTAACGGAATAAATGGTGGATATATTTCGCGGCCACGGTGTACCGGTTCCATTCTCGGATGTAGAACGCGAGTAAGGCCTCGTCGGTGTGCGCTTTAGACTGCTCGAAGAGATCGTTGAGATGACCGTTGAGGTACTCCTTCAGTTTCTTGTAGAGATCCTCACCGAGAAGATGGGCTAAATTTTGTTTGTTAGCATGTGGCAAAGTCGTTGAGAGATTACGAGATCATGGTTCTTACCTCCTCTATGAGCTTGCCCCACGGCGTTGGAACTGCCCAAACCGACTGCTTTCTGAGCTGTGCAAAAGTTATGGACGGCCGTGTAGATACCCATGTACTAATAAATACAGGTTAGCTATGAGAAATGAAAGCATTCGTGTACGATATCGGAAGACTTACTGCTGTCATGTCTAGCCCATCTTGTAGGTTCATCATAACCTTGGAGATGCCTGCTTGAAGATAATCCCATGTCTGACCGATGTCTTCTCTATTCGGTGCCGGAGGCATAGAAGACGGGGCTTTCGCCGTGGCGGCGGACATGGTGGCGGTATTTCAGAAGAGGTGTCCTCCTCCGAGGATATCGAGTACCAATGATAAGCAACCGAGTGGTTATGTATCATGTGCGACGAGGGGGAAACCGAGTTTCTAGTGATTAAGAATAAGGACGGAATTAGTAATGGTCGGGCGATATGGAATGGAGACTCGCGGGTCCGAGGGTAGTAGGCAAGGCAGAAGGGGGGAAAAGTAAAATAAAAAATAAAGATGAGAGAATATGCAGGTACAAATGCTTGCCTAAATAAATAACTCCGACTATAGGCAACCGAGATCAAAAGGGAAGGAAGGCTGTCCTCAATATGGATGGTACCTGACAAACATACCAGTACAAGTTTCCGCAACCTCGCAACCTCGTGAATCTTCTGAACTCGCGGCGTCAGTTGCGTTCGGTGCAGGGATTCACAGTCGGGCGTATGTTCCGTAGTGCAGGTAAAGGAAAAAAGAAAAACGAGGAGTCCGAAAAAAAATGTAAAACGTGTAGAACGTAGCCGCGTGATAGAGGAGTAGTGGGTAGAAAGGGTAAGACGAGGTTGGAAATTGATGTCACTGGCAAAAGAACGGAACGGATTGGAGGCTGCTTCTCGATTCCAGGCAGGGACGCCGCAATTCACTGGGGGACTAAAAGCACCGGGGTGGTCTAAGCGTTAAGCGTTACCTACCTAAATGTCTGCCTTATCCTTTCCATGTTAGGCCCTAAAACGGTTTAGGACGTGCTGTTTTTTGATAGAAATCTTAAACTGTTAGGCTGTTAAACGCTAAAAGGTTATACTGTACCCGCCCCCACCTGCCGCGAGTACTGAACCTTATTTACTTATATAATCATTTCTTTGCCCCTCCAATGTGGGTACTGCACCAATCAATTGCTTTATTACCTTACACAGTGGACATCCAGGTACTTCGGTATAGTTTCATCGTTTTTCCATCTTTATTATCAATCTCACATACGCCTTGTCTCGTCCACCTCGATCAATCATTTCAAAGAATGTGATTGTTATTTGATAAAGGTTCTCATCAGTATCTAAATATCATGTTTCCACATACACCCATCAGTCTCACTACCTAATATCGTCCGAAACACCTAGCCATCAGAGACTGAAAACCCACAACACTTCTCTTTTCAATCTACTCGAAGTCACTACCAACATAAGATGAAACAGTATCACTTTATGGGTATATTCATTTATTTGTAACCTATTTGCCTGTTTCATTTTTCATGTACATTATCTATCCCTCCCAGCTTCTCTGCGAGCCTGAAGACGTTGATTGTGAAGTTCAGAATCCAGGCGATTAACCCTACCAGCGTCAACGCCGCAAGACCCCTAGCCAGATTCAATGAAGCCCTTTCCGCTGCCTCAGAATTAGGACTCGAGGATAGACCATCACCACTATGATATACCAATGCCTCGAATGCCAATGCCGTACTAGCTGACTTTAGCACGATAAAAACAAGGTCCAATAATGTGAGCGATACTTTCTGCGCCGGAGCTCGGAGCCCTAGGGGTTTTCCCGTATACTCGTCCCACGTCATATACAAAATGTAAGGAATGGCCACTACGTCTATGACTATGGCGACAATCGCTTGCGACGTCTCCGGAGTATTATCATTAGGAACCGCTGGGTCGTTCTCCCTCTCGAATATGTTACAAGCCAAAGCGAGAGCCGAAATCGTAGTTATTAAGACAATCAGGCGAAAGATGAGCGGTGCGATAGGGTGTCGTAATACGAAGTTCGAAATCCGCATAATCCACGTTTCCTTCCTAGACCTCCTCTTGACGACGGGATCTAGTGGATGTAATGGACTCTTGACTGGTTGCGTGAGACCTGGCATCTGCCTTTCGAGAACCTCATATGGCACCACCTCAGCTTCCTCATCCAGATCCCGGCCGTAGGAAGAGGATCGTATGAATTCTCTCCACCTCTCATAAGGGTCTTCATTAGGCGCGCGATACCCAAGTCCCATAATAACAGGCTCTGCTGTGCGCAAATGATCCCATCGCCGCCCCGGCCTATCCGCTCGTTTCCTCAGGAATACTGGAAGTTTAGATACGTGATCATGTTTCTCGTCGACCCAATCCACATAACCATCTTTCGATACCCTTCGTTTCAATTGATGATTCCCTTTACTCTGCTCCGGGTGGACACTCGGTTGGGGAGGTTTGACGTGATCTTTATGTTTTGATCCATGGGCATCTTCATCATACAGCTCCACCCAGGCAGGTACGGTAATCCGCAAGGGATTTCGGGTCATCGCAATATTCTCGAGGATAAAGAAGTCATAGGGATGCGAGATGTTAAGGATAAAAGTGAAGTAGGCCCACGGTCGTCAATTAGACAAAGAGAATTGCTAGTCATCCTCTCTCATGCAATGTTTATGGCGTCAGAACTCGAAATAGGTGGGGGGAATTAACGTTCGACAGGAAAGGAACCACCCAGTATAAAATGTCTGTGATATTCGTGTCTGCGCGTTCTCCGTAGCCGCCAGTTCTTATTCAAGCTTTTGGAATTCCACCGGGAGCCAAAGAAACGTGTGGAGCCCAGCCCATAACCGTCAGAGCAACCACCTGGGAACTAGGCAATAGATAATTATTTTAGTCGAATGGCGAAAACGTGGTGGATAAAGCAAGATTCCAATCTCAATTCAATTCAACGACGCGAGGGATAGATAAGGTGGGTTCGGGTTTGTAAGAATTACTTAAACAAGCAATACTACACAAGAATCACGAGCTTCTCATAACACCTCGAGAAAAACGAACAATGAACAGAAGGAAAAGAAGACTAAGGAAAACGAAAAGGGAAATTATGATATGTGGCGGCACACGGCACGAACGGCTTTTTGTACAAGCAAAAGCTGAGGAGAGGAGGATCAGATGAGAGAGATGATGACAAGACAATATGGTCACGGCGAAAGACAAAAATAAATTACCATAGGTCAGCTAGGCACGCTACCCAGCAGACCTATTGACCTAGGTACAACTTACACCAGGGCATTGGCGCGCGTTGCCTGGGAAAAGTTCAAGGTTCCAGGGGGTTAATCGAAATTATCATATGAATGATGCGCCCATAGCTTCGAGCTAGGGAGAATCGGCTTGGCCTAAAAAGTGGGGTTACGATAGCTGCCCAGCCCTGAAGGTGAAGGCGCTATCAATATGTGCCATATTTCAGCCACAGATACATTGAAATGAAGATGACTTCTAAGAAGGTGCTTACGATTTGAAACTCAATATATATATATATATTCTGTTTCGCCCATATGATAGAGCAAGCTTCCAGAGGTTTTAGTACAAAGTATGAATACTTAAACATCACCTACATACGTATATGTACAGTTGCACTGATACAAACCCACGTGCTATTTCATGTGCATCGGTAGGTACAGAAATACAGTCGGTGCGACCCGAAAGTACTTCGCTACGAGCCACAAGCCTATCCCTGTTCACATGCGTCATCAGAGAATCTTCATTTGCTCAGACCTACGATTAAACTTGCTACCATTTTTGACAAGGGTCCGTGGTTTAGTCCAAAAAGTTACAACTTCAACGTCATCTAAAATTATTTTACCAGTAGGCTCGAAATTATTGAAGCCTCTTCAATGGGGTAAAAATGATTTCTATACAAGTCCCTGAGAGTTGAGGTAGCCCAGTGTATCAACGCGACTCGGCTTCTTCGATTTGTTTTGTACTTTTACCTCCTTCACTCTCACCGCGAAGCTACCGCAATCTAGCAACGGACGCAAGCCTTCGGTCGCAATAATGAGGTTTTTCCTCCTCCCCATTTCGACACGACGAACTTTGCTTTATTGTCAAAAGCTCCAACACCTACCCCCAGAGAAACAGACCTTAGTAGATAAAGCTACGACCCGCGCTGCGAAACTATGGGCCGGTTGGGAGAGAAAAGAAAAAGGCTGGCAGAAAAAGGTAGTCGTCTATGGCAACTACTTGCTAAGAAGGATACCTTACGAAGAATGGGGTCTTAAAACAGTGCCTCCTCTATCTACTAGGAGAAGGGAGGAAGAAATATTAGGAAAGCAAAAAAGCCATCTCATTTTCCCAGAGTCCCTTATACCTACAACCAAAGCGACAAGCGTCCTACAAACGCTAGCCACGGAACGAGAGTCGCTACATAGGACCAGGTTGATGTGGTGTTTTGTCGGAATGCCCATCAGTGCGCCGTTTGCGCTTGTTCCGGTGTAAGTTCTATCCACGCCTGGGTACAAATGCGATTTCGCAGGTCTCTAATGAATACACCGCTAGAATCCCGAATCTCCCTTTCTTTTATCTAGTATACCGAGCTTGGTCGCATTGGCGAGCCCTTGCAGGCGGCAAGCATGTCAAATTCCTTTGCAAAAATAATCTCCTCTCTTTATCGCCTTCTCCGATACTCAACTCGATTTATTCTCCCCTCCTCCCTAGCTCTCCCGCCGCAAAAGAGTCAATAGCAGATACCAACAAGACAGGACCGACCACGGGAAACGAGTCAAAAGAACATGTGGAAGAAACCCTCCTACTTTCCCAAAGTAATGGGAAACAACTCGTGAAAGCATTAGAAATACCAGAATTGGAAGTGGAATTAGAGCGGGCAATATGGCAAGTCGAAATAGCGATACAAAATGAAAAAGAAGAGAAGGTGAAAAATGATAAACCGCCAGATACGACAAAACAAAATAACGATGATACGCCGAGAAGAGAAAAATAGATTTCAAGGTAATATGTGATGATAAGGGTGTGTACGATAATATACGGTCAGTCATGAACAACATATAGAAAGGGGGTGTTTGGTCCTGGATTTTTGAAGATAGACGCATCGGCTTTACTCTCCATTACGATACCTAGGTACCCATCAGAAGGAATTCATCCAAAACTCGCATGGGCAATAAAAATATTCATGTTTGCCATATCTGAATCCTACCAACTGCGCGCATTATTGTCAGAACTCCGAGGGTGACCAATATCCCAACCACAAATGCCAAACGCCTTGTTGTTAACACGTCTAAAAGCAAACATATTTCCGGTGCGTAATTCCCCCTGTAGTCGTTTTCCAGCGATTGCTTCTCCGTATCTCTTTGCCCCCCTCCTGTTTCGGCCTCATGTTGCTTTTCGTCTGCAAGTGTCCTTAGGTGGTGATCCATAGAGGCGCGGACAAGATAGGATTCCACCATCCTCTCAATTGGTTTCATTCTCGCTTCAACTTCGTCATGTATTATTCCGGCATGGTTTATGATAGCGTTGTTATGAGAAGACATCGACCTCCACGCCAATGCCGCTTTATGGCGCATTAATCTCTGTGTCGGACTTTGCTCATGTCTTAACCCTCGGAATTGGTCATTTCGTCTTTGTCGCCTCGGTGACGTCTCAGCATTTATCGGATTTAAAGGCGAAGGTATATATGGCGTGTGTATTTTTTCTCCCGGAGATTGACTCCAGGAAGCCATCGTCATATTATTGCACCAGGCGATCGTATGATAGTCAACCGGATTTCCTCGACCATGAAGCTTGTTCTTTTTATATTCTTTAATCTTTTCAGATAAGAATTCGAAGAAGAGAACTGGTTACTCCAGCATTGCCACGCCCAATCGTGACGCGCTAAGGTGTTACGTAGATTGCATTCTCAAGGCGTCTCACTCCTCGTCTCCCTTGCGTCAAGGTTCGACCTATGATGAAGCAACATCCAAACGCCAACCCAAAATTGGGAGGCATACAAGCCTATTAAATAGATCTTGCTAAAGATAAGCCAGATTTCTTCCCGTCAGTAATGAACTGCATAGGCTTTTTTTAGCCGCCAGCCCCGGGATATCACTTCAAGGCCCAGGCCTTTCTTAAACTCACATTCGCAACTTTCCCTTACTTTGGTACAACTTCGGGAGTTTCTGTCAGACCTCCTTGTTCATTACTATGTTCGTTACATCGTGATGACTAGTCCGAGTCTGCGCAACGTGGTAGCTTACTAAGGCTTTACACCACCACTTACACAATCAGGAACGCGTTGCGATGTGGTAATGATTGGCATCTGAAAATATCTACTAGGCAGGTAGGTATCATTATGGAATTGTAAAATCGTCCTTAAAGATAACAGCACAGCATTGCCCTTGATGATAAACTTCTCCCTTGGGATTTCATGAACAATTTCCCTTTCACATGTCTTCAGCAAGTTCAAACGGCCCTGGTAGGGCACTCATTAATAATAGCTTACATCGAATTTTTTTTACCACCTAAAGTCGGTTTCGTTTGAAATATACCATTTCGCAGACTCCTAGGTACGTAATCAACCGAGTCAATTTGGTGCGATGTCTCCTGTCTAACTGAGTACCTGCTTAGTACGACCAAGCGTACGTTCCATCGCTAAACGGATGGTGGTTTCGAGTATTCCGATACCTTTAGTTAACATACACACCATCTCATCGCAGCTAAGGAGAATCTATTGTGGTATACAGATTAGGGAGAACGAATCAGCCACCTAAAAAGGGAATGATATTTGCGAGTTCTGCGAGCTAGAGTAATGTCCAACAAGGTTACACGAGCTCCTGGATAGGGGCGCCAGGCCGTTCAACCAACACACCAACGATTAAATCCCGTGCGAAACAGCATCTAAATATAATTAGGCGATCAGTCACAAATCGCCGTGTTATAATTATATCATAAACAACAGCTACCTAGTATGAGGTGTCAATTTTACATCAATGCGGCATAGGGATTCTAGAAACCAATTTCCGAACCAGTTCGATCTCTTGGTTCCCTTACTATCGATCTTCTCTGCTAAACTAAGGCCACTACCAGCCTGCAGCGCATGTTATGATAAAATCAAGTTTTACCTGGTTTTAAACTCCTAGATATATTAGAAGACTTGTTGTTCTTCTATTTGGACCTGGGAAAGATGTGTGAGCATAGCGATGCCAACCAACATGTGAAGAATTGCAATATAGGTTTATAGGTAGAGCCAATCATAATGTCTTCTAGCGAGTATAGGACCAAGCGTACGGGATACATTATTGGACAAAACATCGGAACGACGATCTTGCGGTTTTGCGGTGTCAGGATCCCCGGACTCAGGAGGCAGTGGTCAGGGCACGGCATAGACCCGGGAAGAAGGTCTTGGCATCGTGGTAGACCTTGTTCACCAATCCCAAAGCCCTAGAGATACTTAAATATTGTGCCAAACCTCCGGATCGGGACAATATGAAACAATTTCCAAGAGATTGGGCAAGATTAGCTTGCCTCTCAGTCGGATGGCACCATCCCAAGTTTTTCTTCCTTCTATATGCACATACGGCGTAGTCTGGAAATAGCGCCGTCAACACCGCATCCGAGTAGATCAGGAGGCTTGGCATCATCGCCTAGATATCCCATCCATACTCTATCTCTTAACCTAATCGAAAACTCAAAGCAGTCGTATTGTGATAATAGAATTTTAGCTGCCAAGCTATATGAGGTTTCATTTGTGGTGTTTCCGTGTATACCAAGGTCCGCTATGAAGCCTTACGCAAGAAAATGAGCTGTAGCCATGAAGATACAACGGATGTAGGTGTGATCGCTGTTCGTGAGCTCGAAGATATAATGCGCGGGTTCCCCAAGTTGAAAATGCTCTACACATTCCTTTCAATGCAGGTAAACCATTAGATACCCCTCGTTCCTTATTGTGTGATTTAGAGGTATGGTTTCCACCGAAATTGAATACTTTCGGTTCTTCACTAATATATAGTAGCTGCGCTCCTTCAATTCTCTTCCTTTCTTTAACCCCGTTTGAGAGTAAGATATCTTACCTTATCACTAATGTTGATCATACTAATAAGTTCTAGCGGTACATTATTGTAATTTAGTCTTATCACTCATTACGACATCATGAAGTTCACAACAGGACCCCTTTTCGCCACTTTGGCTTTGACCGCCTACTTGCCCAACATCCTTGCTGTCGATGGATTTGCCGCCAGCAGGGGCTCAGTTGCTGTATTCAGGCGTGAGGTAGCCAACAATGGTACCGCCGCTGCCAACGGCACTGAGGCCGTCGATGCTGGCCAGAACAACGAGAATGCCGACGAGAACGCCAATGAGGAAGAGCAAAACCTCGAGGACCAACAGAACGCTGATGAGCAGAACCAAGACCAAAACCAAGATGAGAACCAAAACAATGAGGACCAGAACGTCGAGCAGGGTGTTGACGAGCTCGAGAACCGCTATGGAATCAACCTTGACAACAACAACCTAGAGGCCAGTCTTCTTCAAAACATCGGCGGCGCTATGCTTTCTCTCGGTATCTGCAATTTCAACCTCGGCAGCCTTGGCGATATCGGCGTCAACAACCAGATCCAGCTTCTTCTCCAACTCCAACAACTTGCTCAGCTCCAGCAACTCGGCCTTGTCAGCTCGCGCTCCATTGAGCAACTCCTCCAACAGGAGCTTCTCCTTAACAACTTTAACCTCAGTAAGTTATCTTTAAACAAAGCACATTTGCCAAGAACAATGTACTGATTGTACATAGACATCTTCAAGCGCACCATCAACGCAACTGTCAAGCAAGCTGCTCGTGAGAACAAGCGTAACATTGCGGCCAGGAAGGAGTGCAAGGGTAAATAAAAGGTCAAAGGGTGTAGCATTTAAGGGACGGGGCTAGGTAAGGCGATACCTGCCTCATGTTTTTAGGAATAATAGGTTATCAATGGGATTTTTGTCTAAACCTGCAATTTAGGACCCATCGTTTGTTTCCTTACAACCCTGTACTAGTACTAGGCGTCAACATACGATATGACTAGCTAGAAATAGAGAATCAGCTTGTCGTCAACTTTCGATATCTATTTATTGTGATTAGAATAATTTTGAGTAAACTCGAGATGTATCCATCCTTCGTTCTATACGGTAGGGCTAAGTGGTGATAGACATGGTAAAATTACTAACCTCACGAAATACCAAAGATCAAACATACCTAGGTATCTATATCATTAACCCAAAGAAACTCCGTGATTTTATTTAAAGCCAATACGAAACTGATCTAAATAGTATCGGAGTTGCTGTGTGCTCGATCTAATATCATAAGGTATGGTAGCACCACATATTAGTACCGAGCGCAACAGGGGATGTTATGTGATAGCGCTAACACTGAACATTTTATCAGGTAGATATTCCCAATCAAACCAATTTGTTTATTAAAACCAGATATGATGATCGGATGAACAAGGAGCTTATACCTGGAATACTACCACTTGCTAGGTACGCTCGGATACATCAAGATCCTGGTGTAGCCATGACTTCAGCCCATCCGTGTTAGTTATCAGTGAATATAGTCATGCCTTAGTCTGTGTGTGTCGTATCTGTAACACATCCGATGTCCAGGAATGGGAATTTGGGGTAACGCGAAACCCCGGAACGGACTTCGAATAGATCCTGGTCTAGGCTTTCTTTAGTGCCGGCCCTGCGAGATCTCTTGGATGTGATTGAGACCCTTGTTGATCCGGGGACCGGCGCAGGGCTTAAAGGAAATCAGGATAGGTAATGTATTGATATGATTGGGTCGTTAGCCTGTAATTCTAGGGTTGGTAGACCAGTATGTTGTGAGATCATATCCCCTCAAATGTCGGGATGAGTGTAGGACTTGAATAGCAGATCCCCGAGATAGAATAACTCTTCAGGTGCGGGGCTAGATATTCAAGTCGAGAACCCGAACCCATTGCTATATTGCCGACTAGCCGGCTCCCTAGGACAGATGTACTACCCTGTAAGCAATCCCTGTTCAGTTAAGACTTGCCAAGAATTTGACAGCGCTTTAGCCAAGGAACTGGACTTCCCAACTTCAACTTCTTCAACCCATTTACAATATTGGGCTTAAGTCTACCTACAATATGGGATATGTCTCCTAGTAGTAGTAGGTCACACCTACCTAAGGTATGGTATCATGCTAGTTACTATAGGAGAATATTCCTACTATCAACTTCCTGTTGGTTGATAGTGTACCCTGTTTGGTAGTACTAGGAAACACCATGAAGTGGCATAGCGATCCTGGACGATGATCAAGCGAGTTGATGGATTGGCTTGATGTAACCACGTCAAAGAGACACCAACCATACACGGGAAAAGCCCGTGGCAACCAAAGTATATCTCGTGATATGGTACATGTCAAGCGGCTGGCATAATAAGATCCTGTTCCATCTAAGGTTATTTAGACTACTACTACCCTTGAGATCTACTTCTGATCTACGCTTTGGCCTCGGCCCAAAGGTCTTCCGTGCGTGATCAATCACGTCCGCAAAGCTTTACCCCGTTATACGGCAACAACAAGATGGGATGAGCCGTGTCCAACCCTTTGGCCTCCTCTCTTGTAGTATTCACCCACACAATGATGTGCCAGGGGCCTCTAGTTATTGGGTTCTCGCCCACGCGATGCCATCGCCATTAGGATATATCCATGGGTATTTCTGCCAAGACGGTCCCGCCTCAGGTCGAGCATCTCCGTTCTCGATATGCCCCTAGACACGGCTCGTTTTACCACTCTCACATCCGCCTAATGATGCCTACATCCTGACACGCACCGGAACTCTCCTTCAACCAGCTTCCGAATTATTATTGTCTCTTGAAATTCTTGGCATCGTTTCTAGGCCTCACGCCATCCGATCATCATGGCATCCTGCTTGATATATAATGTGGTGCTGAGTTCATCCAGAAGTGTCTCTTTTTTCTACTCATCCCACTCACCAATTCAAAGACATCTTCAGATCTTCCAACCCATTCTCTCATTCATTTCTTCAGAGGTGAGTTAACAGTTTCCGATGAATCGTCTCATCTGAGAATCTTAGCTAACATTGAAACAGCTGTGCTCGCTGTTCGCTTCACTCTTTACATACACTCATTAGAACTTTCGAGGTAAGCCTACCAATGGTAGCTGGTCATGAGCCAGCAACACAATCAAGACCTCAGCTAACGGATACAACTAGCTGTGCTCATATTATCTAATATTTTAATACCCAAAACACTCCCTACACTTATTCAAAATGAAGTTCTCCACCATCTTCGTCGGTGCTCTTGCCGCTGTTGCCTCCGCTGCTCCTACCAGCACCGCTACCGAGAAGCGCGCTTCAGTCGACATCGCCGCCTTCAACAACTTCGGCTTCGCCAACCAGGACCTCCAGTACCTGCTCGCCATCAACGGCTTCAACCTCCAGGCTTTCGCTCAGCTTGCCGCCTTCAACAACCTTAACATCGGCGGCTTCCAGAGCCTGTTCTCCAACAACGTCTTTGACGTCAACGCTCTGCTCCAGCTACAACAGATTGCCCTTCTGTCCCAGCTTGGTGGCCTCGGCATCTTCGGTAACTTCGACCTTGGCGCTCTTCAGCTCAACGTCTTTGACCTTGGTCTCATTGGTGGTGTCGGTGGCTTCGATATCAGCTCCATCATCGACCAGGCCCTGGTTCCTCAAATCCAGACCGTCATCCAGCAGACACGTAAGTACCCCCTTAGTTTACATAATAGGCATACATGGCACTGACACATTCTGTAGAAATAAGCGCTGTCGTCCTCAAGGAATAAATGGGCTGTGACATCATGGAACACATCTCATCCCATTACTCCTAATGGAGTGAGAGTCTACCTTATGAGTCTACAGACAGACAGCGAGGGGAAGTCACGAGAAGGAGCGAAGTGGATATATCCATGACTTTTATTTGTTTTCTTTAATGTAAGCTGCCGTTGTTCCTTACCGGCCAGATAATATCACGGATCAGTGGGCTTCATTTTTCAAATATTCTACCTGCATTGACAGAGAATGCTACGCGGAAAAGCCGGGTGGGGGTCTTCGGTGGTCAGAGCGAATGAGAGAACACACAGCATAGCAAGGGTAGAGTGAATGAGAAGTGGGATTCATTGGGTTTTCTGAGATGATTCTTCTTAAGTTTATTGCTCATTGAAGTGATCCATGTGAATGATTTGAAATCCTCTGATAATAATACTTACAATTCCTCAGCAATTTTTGAATTCAACTGATGGCAACTCTGATAGGAACCAGACAAATGAATGATGTCGGCGTTTGATCGCTCGGAGGTGAAACATCGGATGCGCCCATCAAACGCAACGCAACTATTCCATCATCCTAAAATATAGGAACGATCATTCAATGCACTTCTTAATTGTATGCGACCACACTAAAGTATCGTTTATAGTCTATAGGATTAGCGCCTTTAAATGCGCACTTAGCCGTTGTTGTGGCATGTGCATAACGGTGCCTGTGTCGCGACGATGATATCCCTCTACGATGAACCCTTACATGAGCATAGATGATTCGGATATCCCCAGAAGCCTTCGTAACACCTCGACGTTGCCACAGGTATAATTATTTATTGACTAGAGCCTACCTCGAATGAACGCCAACGACGCAATCTTAAGACTCTCAGCGTTATAACAGTTTTACATCCATCAATCATAGTTCTAAGGTGACAACCTCGACGAGATTAACCAATCACTTATTCACGGTTAACGGATCTCAGACACTGCATCGATCGCAGCTCGATACCAAGTATGCAAGCCTCGCGGACTACCAGCATCGATTGTACTTAACATTTAGTAGATGTACCAACTCGGTAACCCGGAATCCTTCCCATCCAATTTATTCCGGATGATTATTTATAGTATAATCTATGCCTTTGACCGGCCTCACGATTAAACTGTTATTGACCGAATAAAATGGTAAACTGATTTAGTAAATTTGTAGATCGAAGATGTCCGAAATCGACGAATACCAACGCTTACATTTCTTACTCAGATCGGGTAGATTCTTTGGGCTAAGGTAATACATGAAATAAGCATCGCTTCATAATTCTGTTCTCGTCGTCGTCAGTGGCTTGGTGCAAAGCTCGGGGTACAGAGGTGGTGGCGTCAGCCTCGCTGCTGTAATTAACACGAAACTCCATAATATATTAGGAGTATTTTCGAGACTATTGGCAAGCAGTGACGGCATCGGAGCTCAAGATGTCCGTTGATTGAAGCACTCCGGGTACTTACACGTTCATTAACTCACCATTGCCACATTCAATTATTGTCGTGGCCTAATGCACTACTAGGTGCCCAACACACTTAGCCATCCACTCAGCGTTTTGTTACACGATCGTTATGATTCTGATTCGATGATTCGCAGCCCAGTCAAATATCTCGACCGGAGTTACAATGGAGGCGAGCGTCATAAGAGCAAGAAAACGCAAGATGAATTAGGAACGTGTTCGACCATTGCAAAATTGGTGGAAACCGGTCTAGCTAATGATATTCTTGGCCCCTCCGCTTTGTCATGGAGGGGGCTGATGTCGGGGGGTCTTAGGGCGCCAGATGGTCATAGTTGAACGGGGAAACGATCTACGAAGCCAAGAAAAAAAGGCAATCCGATATGTTTTGATAAACCTTTTATTATTGGAGCTTCTGCATGGTGGTGCCCCTTGGCTGTCCGAGAGGATCTCGCTCTGCATGAGCGCGAGGGGAGACGGAGGTAGGCAACTGAATAACTGAGGCATTCATTAGCGGATAAGATGGGATTTTTCTTTTTGAGGGTGCTGCAGTGTAAGGTCTCAGCCACTGGTTGCGGGCGCTTCGGGTTTTTAATCGGTTGGAGAGTGCCGTCCCTTTGCATATAGACACATATAGACAGCCATTTGTGATTGAGCTGGTGATATGTAGTTTGCTTGGATAGATGAAAGAGAGGGTTGGTAGCATTTTGATAATCATCCCACTTGGGAATACCAAGACCCTTAAACAACTGACTAAGAGGTAGAAATCAGTTTGCCATCATGGTAAAATTTTCGGTTCCTGGTAGGATTTATACGTCTCGGCATCGATTTTCAACTTTGACCGCCCGTACCCCGGTATGGGAAAAGAATAGATTAATACTCGGACACCGTAAGCAATCCCGCGCGCCAATAGTTACCATCCTTCGAGACCAAGTAACTCGGGAATAAGTCGATCAACTCCAAGGTGGAAACCCGCGTAAGACGTGTCACTTTATTCGAGTAGATTCGCAGTTCGGACTTTGCATGCTACACCACTCGGGGCAGTGCAGTTCAGCTCGCAATAATTGGCTGTGCATACATTTATTAGCCCTATGGCGGAGTGGAGGGCTAACATAATTCATGAAATCACCGCAGCAAGTCGTTATGGTTCGTGGTCTTGGTGGCTGGAACAGCACATCTTGGCAAAACAAGTCCTTTTGTGGTTGCACAACTCCGTCTAGGGCATGCCGATTTCCTGCTCGAATTTGAGAAACCGATATCTCTCCCTCATCATACCGTACACGTAGTATACCCCAGAAGTTAGCTTCATGCCTCGCTTCAGGTTTCTAACTATGATAAGCTCGAGGCCTTGAACTCATAGCGCTCTCTTACTATCTTATTCGCCATGCGGTCATCTTCACTTTTACTGGCGCTCGTAGCTGGCGCGGCTGCGAACGACTCTACGCAGCTAAGACAACCGACTGAGAGAGATTTAACTCTATCATCGAGAGAACCCACAAGGCCCGCCTCAATCAAACTGGGTCAAAGAGAAACGTCTCCATATGCGCATGCCAAGCGTGACGACGATGACCCTCATAATCCCTTCTATTATCTCCACGACATTCCCAATGGGAAGGACCCTAAGAACGACGACGACGACGACGATGACGACGATGATGATAATGACGATGACAAGCACAATCCCAACCCCGGGTATTATATGAATGGTGGAGCTATAGCGGGCGCCGTGGTCGGTGCTGTTTTCGGGCTCTTCATACTAGTGGGGCTCTGCTATTGCCTCTGCATCCGACCGAGAAGAAGACAGGAACAACATATGGAGGCCGCGAGGAAAGACGTCGAAGTCGAAAGCACACATCCTCCAACCACACCACCAAGATCCCCGGGTAACGACAGTAGTAGCTCATCCGAGCATATTCACTGGGTGCGCACACCGTACCCTAGAAACGTCCCATCCGTCCAGACCACATCCACGATATCCGGTCTGGCTCTACCGACGCCGGCGATGGGTAACTCCCCCTCTATCGCCGCCGTTTCACCTCCCTTATCTCCCACTTATCACCATACCATGAGTGACAAGCCCCCCGCGTATGCGGCGGTGATCGCTCTTCAATCTTCTGAGCCGCAGCCCGAAGCTACGGCGTATCAGATGGGACAAGTTCCCGTACCTACAGAACCACCCATGTACCAGTTACCCATAATACCGGCACCTGGTGTGTCGGATATGAAAGGAGAACCTATTTCGCGGTATTAAGGAAAACCGTAATTTGATAGGGATATTGATGCATTTGAATGCTACGCTGTTTATGAGGTATTTAGGCATTTTGGTACTTAGGTAGTTAGAAAGGGAAGAGGGGTGACAGGTGGAGTTTGAGGTTTTAGCGATAGATATACTAGAATCTCTTAAAAAGTCACTGCTACTTAATGCCTTACTATCTGAGCGAGAGTTGGTGATATGACATTGCTGGAAGCATGATCATGATACAGGGGGTTTGATTGTTTTTTGCGTTTTTCTATGTCTGTGGAGGATAAAAAGCGACAGTTCTGTTTCTCCTTATAAAATGCCTGTAGAAAAAAAACCCTTAATAATATTAACGATGGTTATCCTCAACTCCTGTACAAAAAAGCCAAACCAGAATTTGAAATACATGTTTGTCCTGAGACACTGAACCATATCCCAGTTAATCTGAAGTACTAGCCAGCCGCTCGAGAACATCGTGTGATATGCTAGTGTATGAAAACGTAGTAGGTATTTGATATGAATGGTGATACAACTTCTGCGCAAAAGAGATATTCCTCGGGACACAAAAAGACTCCTAGCAACCAACGTCCATAGATCGTAGACATCGTCAAAAACATAGACCAACGTGGATAAAAGCTCTCAACAAGGAAACTCGTATTCGGTGGTATGATGTTGCCTAAGTGGCGGGTACAGCTCCCTCGACGTGATTAACCCACTCGTAAACGCGATGCATCCCACGCCCGGGACCAGTGAGACCGGCGAGAACCGAATCTTTAGGTGATGTAGAATGTGCTCGCTCTCGGCGACGGATTCGGGGACCGGCTTCATAATATGTCGGTTCTTCGACATAGCTGCGGGTCGAAGCTCTCCTCGGAAGTCGACCGATTCGCGGAGCCTCGTATAGATCTTCATCGGCAGTATGTCTCCGCATGTAAGTGGGCGGTCCTCCGAGGGGTACTTGTTGCATCGGCGGCGGCGGCGGACCCATAGCATGTGGAGGAGCGGGAGGGGGTGGAATAGGCTGTCCAAATGAATGGCGGGCAGGGGCGTTATCCTGACGCTGTTCGAATCGATCCGCGAGGCGACGTTCCATCGAGTTGGCACGGACACCTCGAGCCCTGTTCACTCCAGTGACGTAGTCTATAACTGAGTTTGTTCTTTCGAATGGTGCCGGGGGTACTGGCGGTGCAGGGGCTGGTGGTGCGATCACGGTCTTAGCTCGACGTCTGTAACCCGGATTCATGAAGTGCTCTGTGCTGTTCCTCATAGGAACTATGTCTTCGGCAGGATCCATATAGTCGTCTTCGTCATCCTCGTATTGAAGGCGTCGTGCAAATTCCTCATCTCGTTGTACTTGCATACGTCTAGCAAGTAGTTCCTCATCGTAGCCTGCTGCGCTTGGTCGAATCCGTAACCCAGTACCAGGTGATACTCGCCTAGCATCCATGCCCACGGCCGCGGCTGGAGTACTCCTGCGACTAAGCCTCTCGCGGTCTATTATCGGTTCTGGGATCTGCATATGATCAAAATGATCTAAATCGGCACCGTCGTAATTAAACCATGGGCATTCACAAGTCTTCCACTTCAACCCACATATCATACAGAATTCGGCACCACAACGACTAGATTGTTTGTTAGACATTCACCGTAGCATAGGCCATGTAAGTCAATGATGACATACCAAGTCATGTGGTTGCAGCCTTCTTTCAACTCAACCATATTCCTGCAATTGTAACAACGCTGCCATCCTTCTTCTTTGGCCTGCTGTAAAATCTGGTTCGTTTCCTCGTCCACAGGGCATGCAGTAGAGCCGTGCCATCTATTATTGCAGTCACAGCAAACTCGAGTATCACAGCTGCCACAACGGCCTATCTTACGACCGTTTCGGTGGCGAGTAATCTGGTCGGGTCTGATCCACTGCCCACACCTCTTGCCGGGACAGTAGAGGCGGTTCCGGGTAGAAAATTCATGGAACTTCCGGTTCCAGGTCCTCTTGAAGTCAATGTCGAATAAGTTCTCGACGTGCTTCAACGGGATGCAATCGGCTGTGCAGCACCTCGGCGGCATCTGTGCTGGGTCTTTGACGGAGAGCTTGAAGCTGCGCTTGAGGCATGACTTGCACATGCGGTGTCCACACTTCAGCTTGGCCATCTTGCTCGCTGGGAGGTCATCGAGGCAGACGACACATTCACCCCTACATAGATATGGTTAATTAAATTCATATGTATCACCCACAAGGGTTCATGAAATTTGTTATACACTTACATCTTGGCATGTTTATCGGGCGGCGATGAAAGTCCTGGACCCGTAAACCTATTTAGAAAAGGTGATGAATGTGTTGAGGAGGAACTCATACTTTCAGCAGTCCCACGTGGGATGGGAACAGTGTTTGCCCGTGGAAGCGAGGGTTTCTCAACGTATACCGTGTCAGAGTCATAATACCTCCTCCGTTGTGGTCTAATAGAACTATTAGCATGAGAGACCCTTTTGTGTCTCGCCTTGTCTACGTACCTTTTCGTCGAGGTACTAGGGCCTGCTTCATCAAGTCGCTCTCGAGGTGCACGCACCCGAGAGTTACTTCGTGATGTTAAGTTGTTCCTTGAGTTTCTTGCCGAACGCGGCAGCGACTTGGATCTCTCTCGCAAACGGAGTGTAGTGTCGTACACGGGTACGGGTACTTCATCATCGTCGGAATCGGTGTCGGGGGTCCTGTACGCGGATCTATCTCGATGTCTACGCCGATGCCGTCGACGGTCGGCCCGGTCGGCGGGGGGTGCAGGTGGAGGCGGCGGTGGTGGTGTGACCGGTACACTCACCCTTCCTCTGCGAGTTCGACGCTTTAATCGGTCTTCCTGTGTAGACGTGGTTGAATCGGAATCGACACTTGAACTCCTGGAGGTTGATGGCGATGGAAGTCTCGAAGTTGGCCTGGAACGATACAGAGGGGTCGATCGCGGGGGTGAAAGCTCGTAGGTTTCATCGTCCCCGCTGCTACTTGTGCTTCTAGCCTTCGATCGCGCCCTTGATTGCCTCCTCGATATGGTTCTGGACCGTGACTGTGTCCGGGGTCTAGATCTAGATCGAAGTCTCGATATCATTTGTTCGTTATCATCTTCATCGTCGTCCTCTTCCACTTCGAGATATACGGCACGGCCCTTGCCGTTCCGGGGGGCGACGGCAGCTGGCCGAGCGAGTTGCTGCTGGGGGTGAGGCATTGGGTCGTCGTCGGAATCGTCGTCAATGTTTTCTTCGGGCAGTGGTGCACCTCGATGGGAATAAATTTTTAGGTTGGTACCGGCGAGCCTCCGTATTTCAGGTTCTCGGGATCGGTAAGGCAGCGAATGGGGAAGGGGAACATGTCGTGAGTCCCAATCAGTGTGGCGAGATGGGGAGGGACTGCGTGTCTGGTGTCGACGTCTGGACCGGTGCTTGGCTGCGGCATACTGGGATCGTGCCATTCGTCCGTTATGTCAGCCCCGTACCTATGGATTCGTAGAGGAGGCCGTCCTTGCTCTATTGTTTCGGTTGGTTGAGAAGTCCTGCCGGTATCGTGGGAAATGAACAGCTGGTTACTCCTGAATGGCTCACTTGCATGCACTCAATTCGGTGCTGATTGGGCTGGGTGGTTGCACTTGTGCATTAGGAGTGGGATGTGCAGTATCGGGCGAAAACATCCCCAATAGACGTCAAAGTCGCAGGACAATGATGTGTGATCGCACCTAATTACGACTTAATCGTCTTAATCGTCTCTCGATTCCCACATCACAATTGGCTCGTGTTGCCCTAGAGTGAGATAGGAGATGGGGAAGATTACGAGACGTGAAGTACTGTACCCAAAAAGCAAAGCAAGCTATGGGGAGAGGTGAGGGTGAGACAGGGAGAGTGAAAGTGGACACCAGGTATCCTTACTAGGTACGGAGTAGGAATAGGGTCTGTAAGCTGGTTGCTAAATCAATCTTTTACCCGCTGAAGATGATACATTCTGATACATAATACTGTGTGTATATACGACAGTACGTAGTGGGTGGAAAGGATACCTGTCGCTCTCCGCCTTCCCCTATTCCCCTATCCCCTGCTTTTCTCTTTCTGCTCTGACCCTCACCTGTGATCTTCACCTGGGGGTCCCTGGGGGTGGCCCGAATGGCTGTAAGAGTGGGTAGAAAGTGGCCGGGAACCCCTGAAGAGAGACAATCTGTTGGTTGAACGGTGATTCTGGCGGCACAAGCGCGACTAAAACCCTGGCCTCTTAGTGGTGCCTTTCTGGGCCAAATAACCCCCCCAAATGCCCCTCACATGTCAAGCCTAGGCCGTTTGTCACGCTGGAAAATAAACACAAATAGAGGTCTGACCTCTCTGGTCGCACGTAGGTCGTGTCAATATTAGAAGAATTAGGGCATTTCCTAGGATGGATAGCACCCTCGTCAAGTGACTTGAGATAAATACCACTGAAGAGGAACAATATTTCGTCACGAGTTGTGCTGACTCCTCCTGATCGTCGTCAGCCCTCGCAAGGAACCAACCTTAGAATGCTAAAATGCCCGGAATTAAAAAAGGGGTGGTTGGATGATCAGTCATCAGCATCAGGCAGGCAAGCAGGAAAAGTTACACAGGAACACTGCGTCCTGCGATAGATCACTACCTAGAAATATATATTAAATGATCATCATGGTTCCTGAAATCTAACCCGTGCGGTAAGCCTTTTTCGCTACGCAGCCTGCCTAGCTTGCAATGCATTGCTGTGCAAAGTATCACCGGAGCTAGGTTGCCAATGTGTTACAGCAGTGCCTATTCGATCAGCTAAGTAGTATTACTACATCAGGCCGCAGCGCTGAAGGATGCTGCTGTGGAACAAGCAAGTTTCGAATGTTCTAACGTACATATTTACGTATGTTGACGAACTTCGCAACCCAACCAGTCCAATACAGCCTCAGGCTTAATTTCCTAATGTTTATGGAATTGAAATGAGCCTTCACCGAAAGAATTCTGCAGGGAGAATATATTGCGAGGCTCTCATTGCCGGTCGATTGTTATGGTACTGATTTCTAGGAATACTTGGCCTCGATCGCTGCCTAGGTACCTCCCCACAAGTTCTACGAAAATATCCAAAAAGAGCTCCGGTTGCCGGATAACCGTAGAAATAAAATATTAATTACATTAGGTAGAAATATCTCCGTATATAGCGGCGATGAGTAGAATATTATTTCTCGCCCTCTCCGAAAGTACTCAGGTTTAAGAGAGAAAAAATCTGTTTCTTTCACGGTTTCAGTGCATACCAAGTTTCAGTTATGTATTCACCCCCATCCAAAGACAATAAACGGTGATGCCCAATGAGCTCAAACCCGGCGAAAACCATGACTTACAATATACAAGTTTAGTGCCGGTCCCTTTAGTCCCTCAATCTTGCCGCCACAAAGCGGAAGGAATATGATTAGTCGCAAATGAGATAGCATGGCATGACATCGGATCGCATGAAATAAATATTTTCTCGAGAATTTAGACGATGATATCCGATGCCTCTAGACTTGACCCTCGTGTGGGGGTCGAGTCAATTTACAACACTGGTCCTCAAAAGCGTCCCATTCTCCGTAGCCGATACCCACGACCCGTAAAGAAACCAAATATTCCAAGTTTAGATATATACGAGAAAGCTAAGAAGTTTTATGATGAAATTGAAACATGCTGGCTGGTAGAAAGCCCCCTGTCCCGAGTTGCTGCTCCAGATCTTGTGATCGAGGCATGTTTCATCGGGTGGACTTCTAGAAGGGCAACATCAAGATATGGCTGTTCCCTATTAGGCGACCGCACGTGAATGGCTTCGGGGGGACCCGCGCGATCCGACTTGTCGCTTCTTTATTGATAGGGAGATCATTGTAACCATATTCGGCCATATGATGGTCATCGCTGTCGAATTACGTCTAGATGCTCCAGAATGCCAGAATCGATCAGCTCACATTCCCTTTTTCTGATCTGATAATCAAAGTCGGGACACAATAATCGACTATCTACGTCTTTCACTGGTTAATTCGAGGGCATAGCTAGATTGTGGGGGTTGAATTGTTTATCAACCGGGGGGTACCATATTAGTATATTGGTGGAAAGCATGAATACTTAAGCAACTCAACCAAGCCAGAGCGATGATATGTTATTACGGTAAAGCCACATTGATGAAGCTAAACTTGGAATAGCTATGACATACATTTGATAAGAGGCCATAGCCAAACAAAGGGAGAGGGAGACGAGAGCTTCTTGAGGAAGATGTTTGGTTCTTAGCTCTGAGCATGTAGGAAACACCCCACGTGCTTTATACTAGTCGATTTAGGTATTCGTAGGAAACCGCAATTCCCGAAACAGTAGATGATATCTCGACGCGAAGTCTTAGAAGCCTCTCTTACTCGTAAATGCGCGAGGGTAAAACTGAATCAAAGTCGGAAACTTAGCGATCAAGATCAGGGCTTATAGAGTACGTCAGTACATATAATAATGAATATAGTCTATGTATTGGATTTAATTGATCTTTTAGTGACGAAGAGTAGAGAATAATCACTACTCATATCCCTTTTGGTATTCAGAGTATAGAAAGTTGTACTTAAAAGGAAAGGAAAGGAAAGGAAATGCGAAATAGTACCCCGATACAAGAAAACGTGGCGGCGCTATTTTAGTGTATCTTAGCCCGGTGCAGTACCAAACGTTGTGACGTCGGGGCTGCATTAGGCGGCACTGTAACATTCAAAGTTTACATATAGCGGAAGCGGGCTGCGGGTTCTGCCCGACACAGTGGATCTTGGTGGATCTTTGTTTAACCTGTCCGCGTGCTCCTTTTTGGTCTGGTCTTCAATCTCGAGTTTTACATAATGTTCGATAGTTTTATTTTAATTATGTCAGACTTTAATTGGCACACGATCTTCTTCTATCTCATACATTCACTTTCACTTTCACTATTTTATACCTACGTTTTACATATGTCCAATACCAATTCAGATTTATAATAATACCCTACAGAAACTACTGTTATGGAACCTATGATTGTATTCTAAAAAAAATCCGTTAATTTGCTTTGCCTAGACCCGTTTATACCTATCTGATCCTAACCCATGAATACCTAATATCCGCGTACCCTTGCCGATCCTATAATCCACGATCTCGCCTACCATGTGCTCCTATTAACGAATTCTCTACCTTTTTCTCCATCGACCGTCGCTGCAACTAGTTGCTACTGGGTTAAGAGTAGTGACATTCGTGCTGTCATAGGCGCCGATCGCTCCGACAAAATATGCTTCTCCTTCACCAGGTTGGCAGTGTCAAGATCGGTGAAGTCGTCCGCTATACCGTCACCTATTCGCCCTCCCACGACCGAATCCTACCTTCACCTGACGTCCTTCACCTACGAATCCGCAATACTTCTCCTATACCCCTGCGAGCTGCCTTCGTCCACGGCCCATATACCCTTAGCGTTTCCGCGTTTCCCGCTCACTACGATCCTAATGTTAAATTCGAAAATCCTCGCCGGTATGGAGTTCCTGAATTCGAACCTATGCTCAAGGCCGGAGGCACGTGGACATGCCAGTTAATAGTACCTGATGATATTCGCGAGAGTGCCGGGACCGGTGCTGCGAAGGGTAATTTCGGCCATGGTGCTGCAGATGAAGATGCTCCAAAAAGCGCAAGTTGGGTCGTAGAAATTTCAAGTCAGGTCATATTCTCCGCCAGCGCCGATGTAGGCTATGAGGTCTTGCTCGGACGAGATGAGAAGAGTCTAAACCTTGGTGGCGTGCCGGTGATTGGGGGCCAGGCTCAGGTTCCACAACCTGGGAAAGTGACTGATTTCCAACAAAGCGTAGGCGCAAAGGATGGCCATCACCCAGCTCAACCCAAGGGGGTTTTCTCACGAGCCCTCTCCTTGAAGGTTGAGGACACAGCAAGTCTATGGAATACACCACCGTTACCAGGCTTAAACGAATGGGACCATGGGAGAGCTAAACCATCTGGTATGGAAAAGGCGATTAACAGTGTCACGGAACCAGCGGATGCTAAGGAATATAACGCACAAACACGTCACCCGAAGAAAGTCCATTTGGTCGTTTTAACACATGGTCTGCATAGTAACCTCGGTTCTGATATGCTGTATATGAAAGAGAGTATCGACGCTGCCGCAAAGCAAGCTAAGATCAATGCGAGGGCAAGAAAAGCACGAGAGAAGGCCGAGAAGGACGATGCGCAAGAAGGCAACGAATCAAAGACTGCCGGGAAGCAACCTGAAAATAATAATGATAATGACGAATATGATGACGAAGAAGTCGTAGTACGAGGCTTCTCGGGAAATGCTACTCGGACAGAAAGAGGTATCAAGTTTTTAGGAAAGCGTTTGGCACGTTGGGTGCTGTCTATAACATATCCAGATCAGCCATTTCTACCATCTCTAAAGAAAGCGGCAAGTGGTGGTATTACTAATGCCTTTAAGAGCGACAATGGAAATGACAACATAGAAGGGAAGCCCGCACATAAACACAGTACTATACACAAGACTCATCACGACGGCGACGATCGCGAATTTCAGATTACTAGCATCAGTTTTATCGGTCATTCTTTAGGAGGTCTTGTTCAGGTTTACGCTATCGCCTACATTCAAAAGCACTCACCCCGTTTCTTCGACTTAATTCGGCCGATAAACTTCATTACGCTTGCATCTCCATTATTAGGTCTAAGCAACGAAAATCCATTATACGTCAAATTTGCTCTCGACTTTGGTCTCGTTGGAAGAACCGGGCAAGATTTGGGTCTTACGTGGCGAGCACCGACTATCGCCAGAAGTGGCTGGGGCGCATTAGTTGGGACACTCGGAGAAAGTGCTCATAAAAAAGTAATAGGAGAGGTTCAACCAGAGTCGAAACCCCTTCTACGTATTCTGCCTACTGGCCCGGCACACCGAGCCTTGAAGAAGTTTCGTAATCGGACAGTTTATTCTAACGTGGTCAACGATGGGATTGTACCACTACGCACAAGCTGCTTGCTATTTCTAGACTGGCAAGGGCTCGGTCGAGTGGAGAAGGCTCGACGAGAGGCCGGCTTGGTTGAAACGGTCGTTGGCTTCGGATGGGCAGAATTGACAGGTGCTAATGTGACATCGCGAAGAGGGCCATGGTCACCTACCAGTGAAGAAGTCCCATCATTGTCGCAGTCCGGCGTTGAGTCCGAATCTTCCCGCGATGACTCGCATGAAGTGCCACAGCCATCTACTAATGCCACTGTTGAGGATGATACACGCAGTTTAAATCTAGCGACACCTCATTCGGAGACAGGAGCTACAGGTCAACACTCGCAGACGAACAATGATTTTCCGTTTTCCGGATTTTTTAATTTCTTCAAGTCTGGCGAGTCGTCGAAAGCAGCAGCAGCTCATAAAACGCCTCCCCATTCTCCCAGGGAACATAAAATCTACCAACGGAGCCAGACCTTGAAGATAGATGCTGCCACTGATTCAGCATCTTCAAGTCGATCCAAAGTATCTTCTGGCCACGAACTCGGCGAAGATGCGGTATCCGCCCCGCCAAAGACAACTTTCTTCGAGTCAGCAGGCGATCTTCTTAATCCCACCTTACCAACAGTAGAATACCTCATAGACCCTTCAAAACGCCCGCGAACCATATTCCATGATCGTGTTTATCATCCGACCGATATTCCTCCACCACCGCTCAAGAAACGTCCAACCAGATCACTCACTTTCCGGCATAAATCAAATGGGGGAGGTAGCGGGACATCATCTCCTAAAGGGAATGGAAAGTCCCCTACACCAAGCCAGTCAATTGACCATGCCACCTCCGAACTCTCGACTCATGATTATGACGACCTTACGCATACGGATCCTAATAGAGACGCTGACGACATCATCGACACATCTAATATGAAGGTCGAGGAGAAAATCGCCCGAGCATATCATCGTGATATGAGTTGGCGGAAAGTCTTAGTGAAGCTCGAGCCAGATGCACACAACAATATCATTGTACGTCGTGCATTTGCCAATGCCTTCGGTTGGCCTGTTGTGAAGCATGTGGTAGACGCCCACTTCAGTGACAGTGCAGCTGCACGCACTCGAGATGAAACTGAGCAAAGTAACGATCGTGCCAAATCAATGAACCAAGCACCAGATGAGACCGGGGCTGAGACTTATACACAAGAAGATGCTCAACAAGGAAAGGGAAAAAGTGCTCAAGATGGTACGAGTCATAAGCACACTACGAGTGAGGCACTTGAGGCTACGGACGCGGTATCAGATCTTCCATCGCGAGAAAAGAAAACGGGCCACTACAATACGAGAGAATCACCTCCACGCTCATCTTACGAAAGAGGCGATTCCATCAGTTGGAGTGATCGAGAATTCGCTGACAGTGGTGATGAGAGCGAAATCGATATTGGAATGGCATATGGTAAACATTCTAAGATTGACACATCTCATGATGGTGACCCGCCGAGATCTGCTAGTCCGGGCTGGAATTGGACGGAGAAAATCGTGGGGAAAGGGGCTGCGAAGAAGGGTAAGAGCCCTCAGAGTCCTACGAGTCCTGAGTTTCCGCAGCAGGGGGAGGGGAGTGGGAGTACACCTGCCTCTTGAGTCTTTCTTGATGATGTGTATTTGGAAATTCATAAGACTTGGGACAGACATCTTTGATAGAAGCGTATAAGCATAAGCATGGCGGCATCTTAGAATTCTAGCACAGCACTTGGGAATGGCAGGATCAGACCTTATTCCGAGATAGCATAAGAATTGTGCGTTCATACCTATTGGTGAGCGGTGTTCATAGCCTTACTGCTCAATACGAACTCAGGGATATACTTGGTACGGGGTCGACTATGACCACAATATAATAATACATCTGTAACTAAACCTTCAACTGAGTACCTACTTAGGTGGGTACTTTTGCGGCCGATCGACACTAGTAACATGAGCTTGTGGGCGATATACGAAGATTACTTGCAGCCGTGTCGTTGTGTATGGCTCGTCGATACATCGTAAGGTCTGGATTGTGTTGACTAAATCTGAACGAATGTCAAGGAATGCCAAGTGTATGGTAATCTATGAGAGTCTGGGGATGGCCTCATTGCTGCTTGGACACTAGGAATGAGACCGGGCCTCTACAGCAGCTGTTTCGATATTCTATAGTTCCAAGTAATGTCTTGAGACGCCTAAATATATCTAACTAGCTTCTATGTCTCAGAACGTACATCGGTAATATATTTCAATTCTTGTTAATACCTTCAATCTGGGCCAAGGAGGCAGCCGAAAGGTGGACTCCTCAGCCTTATATTGTCGTTCAAATCGAAGACATCCGGGATTTGTGACTGGTTCGGTAGATTGAGTCTATTTACTTCGTGTAGCTCATTTTCTATTATCTCATCAACTGCCTGCGTTGGCTTAGTCGTTCACCGAGGTATTTGGGCCATTGCCGCTGCAGGTAGAAGGCCAGAAGATGCGGCAGTTGAAAAATGGCCGCCACACCTAGGCGTTTTAGTTTTGTAAGGTCTTGTTGGTGTTTAATGTGTGTATTTTCTATGGAATGATCATGAATTGATTAAGAAATGCAAAATAAGGTACGTAATGTCAATTAAGTGACGAAGTGACAAGAGTACCTACCTAGGTAATGTAACTCGTAAGCCGACTAGCAACCTATTAATCTGTGCCCGAAATGCTTAGGAGACCACAGCACCAACGGGCTATGGCGATTTTGAAAGTATATACCCGTAGGAACCTAAACCTGTCCTCGGGTTATTGTCTCAAGGAGGCCTGAGAACAGACTTAATGCAGTAGCTTTGACATTAAGACATTAAGACATTGTAAGCTCAAGAAGACAGTTATGTCAGAGCAATTAAGGTACACCATGATCTACAGAATATACATGCTTAAAAGTCGTAATCTACCTAATAGTAGTCACTGAAAATCATTGTGTTTCTTCCTTCAAGACTTTACTGAACAAATCTAAGGATAGTTGATATTATTTGCTATCTTGGGATAAGCCTAGGGCCTTTAGGAGTGCCCTTTACCAGCTTTTGGAGGCATAGTTTCATATTGTTCGCATCTTAGAAGAAACGATTTCTTCTGTCAAGAGGTAGACTACCCCAGTAGGTACGCTCCTCACCTTGCTTTCCTGTACTTGTTCCAAGACCTCCTAATCATGTCGAGATCCGCCTTCTGGTTCTTCCATCTCTAAAGACACACCCCGATCCCCAAAGCTAGGCACTTCCAAAGGTGTATAATGTAGATAGGGGGGTAGAGGGCGCTGTCCCCGCCGAGCGAAATAACGCTTAGGGGATGAAAGCCCGCGGAGATACACAACGAAGGAACCTCTTGATCCTAGGTAGAGCTATCCTCACTACCAGAGCCTTCTTCAGACTGCGTCGACTGCTCATATCTCAGTTTCGTTGTTTAATAGGCTATTAGTCAATGAATGTCACCAACCTCCATCTCAACAGGATACTCGTTGACGCCCTCTGTCAGGAACTTGTCGATGTCGCTAGAATTCAATGTTTGTATCAACTACTTCGTAGCAAGTATATTCGCACAGTATGGCTCTTCGTCCGGACAGATTCTCATCATCATGATCTCTGAATGAAGGCTTCATGTCCTCGGTCCCGACGTCCCGCCTCGAATTTCATGACTCGGACACTTACCGCTAGAGCCGGTTCGCCAAGTCCCCCTTTCCTCGATGTGACGGTTATCAACTATTCCGGTTCCCTCGTGCTCACGCGAAATTGAGAGCAACCCAAACTCATATGGCGGCTATGAGCTAGATGAAACCTTGGAACGGCTGCTTGGTGGCTAGAAGGCTAGACATAGTAAACCGGACTCTTAGGCGAGTCATGCTCGTTTGCTACTGAGAGCCAGAACCCGTGATTAGGAGTAGCTGGTGTTGAGCCGACGACGTAATTTGACAATTTCTTCATACCCTCGGGCTGTATCCTCCTATGCGGGCCGGTGTTCCAGCGGCTGACGCGGGCCATTCTCTATGGATGTAGATATTCAGCCAAGAGAATGGCACTCGGTGGACTAGACGGAACGCGTAAGATGGGGAAATGAATGATTCTCAGCTGTGACGGCGCAGACTCATCGGTCAGCAACGTGAGTAAATAGAGGGACAACGGTCTGGACACTAGATTGGTGTCTCCTCCTGGAGCCACATTCGGTGCGAGCCGAGATCACATATCACTTGCATAATTACTTGGCTCGCTACTCGCGCCGTGCAACGCTAAGCACTACTCCGGCCGCCGAGATGGAAGGTGGGATACTTCCGGTCATACAGGTATCCGCCTAGATGCAAGCCGACGCGTACCGGCCTGTATCATCATTAAACCATCGGGCTAGTAAGGGTCTTCCCCCTACTAGTATCTCACTTCTTGGATTCGGATAGCATCGCTGGATCTTCCGCTTACGAAGACAAGCATTCCGCCCCTGACTAGACTCGAGTAGCAACGGCGGCAGCTACAAATCCAAGGAAGTACGGCACGTCAAATTGGAAAGGTTACACAGCAGAGGGAGAACCAGAAAGCTATATATGTATGTAATAGAACAACCCGGTGGCGACAAAAGATCAGTCCACCCGGCATACAGAGTGAGGAGAAGGGGCATGGATACCACGTCGAACAGGCTTCCCCTCAGGAAATCTTGAACAAAGACCGAATCAGCCGTCTGCGGAGATAAATTCTGGTAGGCTCGTCGCCTCCAGGGCTAGCATGTGAGATAGATTGCGGCTCGGTCTTAAACAAGTATCTACCTGGGGATTGGGTGCGTGGTTATATTCAATCCATTTGAGTCCGCGACTGCGTATTGGTTTATTGCTGGATTATGTCGGTCGTACCTTGTCGCCTTGCAGCGTCAATGCAACGGAATTGGGATGTATTGGAGGGCAAGAAGAAGTAAGGAGATAAAGCAAGTAAATCAGATAACACTTAGTCTTTGCACTGACCGAATGCAAGCCGACGAATTGGGTCGTCTACTTGGCATTCAGCATGTGAAGCCGATAGGCGCAAATTTTACTTGAACCGAGGACCAGAACGGCTTCATCATCTTGATTCCTATCGAGGAAAGTAAGGGCAACCGAGTTCGACAACTTATTTTTCCAGTTCCCGAAATACATATCCGAAAGATAGAAATGGGAAGCTGAACCTGTAAGGGTGATGCTGCTTTTCCTTTCGGATAAGGTAGTTCGCGCCGATCCGGATTCCAAGCCATGCAGCCAAGGACAGGGTTAAGCTGAACAGCCTGGGAAATCCTTCAAAGTACCTGTTCCGAACCAATTCTGCCTGCAGGACCAACTTTGATTGCCGGCGGGCATTTTTCTTTCACATCGACGATCTTGGCTCGACGACAAGGCTACGACTTCACGAATGTTGATGTCATAAACACCTATAGGATCTATTCCTTGATCGGGAACGAAGCCAAGGACAAATCATCGATCTAGCCCCTTACTCCCTAGTTAGTTCTATGCTACGAGAAGATACTCCAATAGGCTTGGCATTGATAAAGGACGATCTAGCTCGATGATGAAAGTGGATTTGTGGAAAAGAAACAAGGTACCCCGTAGGATTAGGTGCTATCAAGGAAGTGATCTTTCCGCGCGCTTGAAGGGATCCTTCTTTATTGGTATAAGCGCGCCATATGCTGAATTCGGTCTTGTTGACTGGGATGGGCCAATGACAAGGGGCGATGGCGACATGGCCGACATGATCGTCGACGATACCTGGCCGCGGAGAGGGTTCCCTTTTAGCCCGGCTGCTACCGTAGCGTATGGGGTTTGTTACACCCTGTCCGGTACGATGATACGATACCCAAGGACTGGGCTCAATGATGGTCTATCTCGTTCGAGAATTTCTTCTCTTTTACCTACCTAGTTAAGCTCTAACATTTCGTCAGAGCGATGGTGAGTACCGGAATAATATGCGCATTGGTTCCAGGAAGGCTTTAGGCTCCAGAGGAACGGCGTGCGCCGTTGGTCTACTCGAGCAATTTCGCTTCTTCCGTTCCGAAGATCTCTCTTAAAGATTGTACCCCGTGTGAGGAGTGATGATCTAATGGCAAGGTGATGTTTTTCCGGGCAAACCACGAGTTTAGGAAATCGCTTGGACTTACTATTCTCTCATGGCTTCATCCAGCCTCCGACATTGTATCATCGTATGGTCCACCAACTGCAAGTAAGGGGCTAGTAATAACACCTTCCCCCGGAACGCGCAGCTAAATCCAACAATTAATATCCAGAGTTAGTGATGAACCATTGATAAGTGGCATAATTCCCCCCACAACTTCTCAATGGGCGAGCCGAGATCTCCCGCCCCCAAGCGACCCCCATTCGCTAATGTGGTATCGAGATTCGAGATAGGATGAACTTCTACTATTACGTCGGCACCCCTAAGTCACCGGACGCCGATAGGTTGCGATATGCCCATCCTTACTATTCAGTGATGGTGGCCAGGCGAGCTCCGCGCTCGAAATAGTATCTACAATTCAGGGAATCATCAGATTCCTTTATCGTGTAGGATCTGCGAGATGACTCGCTAATGAATATCCTTGCGATCTCATCACCTCGCCAATCTATCTCACACTAAAAAGAAAAACTGCAACGCATGCAGTTGTACCATCGCAAGATTTTATTAGGAGGCGGTACAGCAATGGAATTCGTGGGCAAAGGCGAGCACACCCCAATATTACAATAATTCTTGCAGACGCCACGATGCGGAACAACCAATAGGATTAGTCCCTCTCGGCACCGACAATAACAAAAGCAAGCTGTCTAATCCACGAATTATCCCGGTGTCGATGAATGTCAGAATCTGAAGTTTGGCGACCCGGGACGTTGAGCCGAAAACACCAGCCAGGGGTTCCGATGAGATATGATACCTAGAGGATAAAGTATTTCCATATGTAGGCTTAGGGCGTAGCAGCTGAATACCTACCGAGCCTTGAGGGAATCTCTAGATAGGCGGCATTTACGTTACACGGGGACAGAAGCCAGTTGGGTTTATGTAAAAAATCATCGTCCGACCGCGCCTAGCTGTCCTGGAGTTGGTCGGCTTTTTACACACCGAGATGGCCGTAGGTACATGTGATCCCCCCTTTTTAACCCCTGGCCATGGTGTGTCACAGTCCGTGGCCCTGGAAAAATATCGGCAGAGATGCCCTGACCCTGACCCTAGTTGCCCTGGCTGGACCTCTGTACTCCGTACGAACTCGAGAGAAGGTTTCTGTGGGGATTTGGGGTACATACATGAAAACAGGGATTCAACCCCGTGGAGTGGAACAGTTGAAAGCAACCCCCACGCCCCCGTCAATAATAGCCCAGTGGAGATTCGTAAATGTCATTACGGAGACTAGGAGACCAGACTAGACTCTTGGTACCTGCTGTTTAAGTACCTAGAGCCATTGCCTAGTACCGGCAGCTAAGACAGAAGTCTAAGACTCTACGTGTAACAACTACACATGACCTTGCAACTCCTGACGAACTTTCGTAGTAACATTACAGCATATCTTCTCCTTTTATTCCCGAAAAGTGACAATGGCTGGCTGACTGTACCCACGACAACGCTGTAAGTTTAGAAATAGCCGAACTTCCCAACTTCCCTACACTCAACACTACACTCAACACGTCGATATTACAAATCCGAAAATCTGTCCTGACAATCCATCTAGTGGCTTCTAACGTTTATTATATTATGTACGTGGACTCTCATATGGGAAGTCAAAACAAAAAGACTAATGACACATGGCATATGACCATCCCTATTCTGGCTGGTAACCCCCTCTACTCACCCATGTAAAGTGCCTTCTTATTAGATCGCGATTGAGTCCCAAACGTATGTCTCAGTTGCTATGTAAATCGGGTTGGCTGTTCCAATGCAAGGATCTTCTTTTACCCCACGCGCCTCCCTCATTCTCGTTGGTAACGTAAGTGGCCGTGCTATTGGACTTGATAATTCCATTATTAGGGCACCTGTAGCACATGGCTATACGTAGCATGTTAGCTGTTATCCAATGGAACGTAGGAGCAATACCAACCCTCTAGTTCTATTTGCGCTTACCGTATATGATACGCTAAACCCCAAGGTGACCGCGCTCCTAGGGGTGCCTAGTCCAATAAATTATATCACCTACGCTATCAAATCAGGGGGCCGAATGATCACTTCCAAGCAAACAACTCATGAGGCGCAGACGGAAATTCAGTAAGGTCTGGGCTTGTCCAGGTTTCAGAGTAATAAACATTTAATACTCATCGGGCAGAGACTTAGCAAGGATCCTTTACAATCTACATCCCACACTGTCTTCCACATAAGCGGACAACCGTATGCAGTTGTCACACTTGAAAGGAGCGTCACTAATCTTAGCCCCCAACCCCGAATTAGGCAGTGTACATAATCCTCACCTAACCAAGCCGTTGTTCGTTCAATCAGTAGACCGGGTTGCGCAAGAGCACGACTTTCTTACACACTCTATTCGTTCAATCCTGGTCTTGGTAATTTTTCTTCTCCCATGGTTTGCCATACCGCAATCTTTTTATCTTTATAGAAGTTGCGGTGAAGAAGAGATGTTGAGCACAAGGCTCTCGATACTGTTGTAATTGCAACCCCAGTGGGAAATAAACGAACAGATGAAGAAATCAACCCCTCCGCCGCCCAAATTTTTAACCCCTCGAAAACTATATACGGGGAACGAGGCCGGTCGATCATGTTCGATCTGATTCGCGTTTCGTGTTTTCACATGTTTCCGCATTACCCGTTGATTTTCCGACTTCCTCTCAATTTATTTATTATTTTTTTTCTCCTCTTCGTCTCCCCTCTCGGCGGTAACCGCACTCGGCCGGAGGGGCCTCAATTTACATGGTACGCGAAATTCGCTCTCACCATTATCAGGCGCATATCAGCCGATCGGCTTCCGCCTAGGTACCTAGGAAATCGGTACTGTAAAAGAAGAAAAAATTTTGCTCGCTATGGTGAGCGGACCTGTTTCTTGTGTAATATGAAGGCCTGCAGCTAGATCCCATCCTTCGCACGTATCGAGCACGGTGTCCTGTAATCGCCCGTGGCTACATGGGAGGACCTCGTCGGGGGCCAAGGAGTTCGGTCTCACCAAAAAGGCCCCCATATAGCCATGCATCTGGAAGGCAAACACGAGACGAAATGAAAAGTAAGGCTCCTTGTTATTAAATAAGATTGGTCCCTGAGGCTGGCAATAACTCAGCATGCACGCGGGGGGCCAATCATGTGTACCAACAGCCGTTACCCTTTATGAAAGTCCGGAGTACACACCTGTACGCCCATACTTCATTGGATATTGGGAAAATTTGCTTCTCGATAAAATTTACGGAGCAAGGTGTGTACTTTCATAATAATGAAAAAAAAAAAAAAAAAAAAAAATTAGTTGTTTGCTCGAAGGACTCGGAACAGCATTAACAACCAACAAATGTTTCTAAGTTTAGTTCCCCAAGTACGTAAGATACATAAGATAAGTACTATTACCTAGTTTGGAAATATGAAGGTAGCGTTAAAGTTTAGTCTCCAATGACAAATCTGGAGCCCCGCAAGATTCAAAGTTGTTGTACGCGTAATGAAACGATAAAGTCTGGGGTTCAGGGCGCTGCTTTCCCTAGTTATCTTTCATAGTGACATACCTAGGTACCTAAAGGTATAGGTACGTTAATGCCTGCAAACCTTACATTTCTTGCATATCCCTCTACTGTTATTATCACATGATAAATACCTAGGTACTCAGCAGTTCATATAATATCGTAAGAGCATATATGGAATTATATATACTTTTGTGATATTATAGCGTCATGATTTCACTAGGTTGAAGTAAATAAGAAGTCCTGAGAAATGAAATATTACCTCACGATCATCAGGTACCCCCCAACTTGCATTCAGCCGTACCAGCTGTCTCTCAGCATCCTAACGTAATGCGCGCGCACACTATGTAAGACGGGCTACTACCTACCTACTTTACAACAATACAGTGCAAGTTCTTTAATGTATCACGTCAGCGGACGTGGACTTTGCATTACCTATCTAAGCCGTTCTTGGGATCGAGGCTGAGCAATGAAAACATACGCAAACACCCCCAGTAAATTCCTATTCCTCCCTTCCCTTCCTTATCTTGGTACTTGGCTATTGCCTAGGTAGGAAATGACAACAAAAAGGTGCAAAAGAGGCTACGTTATTGCTTACCTTCTTCACTTTAACTTCCGTTTAAACCGTTGTTGTCATTGGAGCTACGCATCTACCGTTGGCAGGTTGCATAAGGAGATGATGCCTTCTCCTCCCACCGCCTCTTCAGCGCTACAACAGGATTGGTCCACAACATCTTCGGGGACGTCCGGTAATAAATTTCTTCTTCTTCCAAGGTTCTCTTGGTCTCGCAGGGCTGATGGCTGACGCACCGCTGCCGTGCTTCCCCTTTGCTGCTTGTCATCCCGCCATCCCGCTAGGAAACAAAGCTTTCGTATCCATTTGTTACAAGCAAAATAATTCCCTAGCACTGTAGCTAGGATAAGGACGAGACCCATCGGAGTCTTTGATAAGTTTTGTGGGGGCGGCTTTTTTTTATTTGACTCATATTTTATGTATTTGACTATTTAGTTATTCTTACGATTTATCGCCTTTTATTTAGCGGTGAGGACATATGTGTTTCTATTAATCATTATTTAGATGAAGTAATGGCAAAGACGAAAATTTTTTTATCACTTTCTTTTTTTCTTCGCTTGTCGGTGTGTCATTTATCATATGCGGGCGCCCTTCTCATATGAACTTGCGTTCATGTATTGAATATTACTACAACTTAGGAACCCTGGAGGTTCATGTAACTCCTGTCCGCCCTATCTCTTGTAATAAGCTGTGATGTACTGTACCATGTCCTAAAAAGATCTGGAGAAGAGATTGCTTGGCAAGGCTCATGTAGCCCGCTCCGAGCCGAATCCCTCCCATCCCCTTAATTTCTCCATGTTCTCGAATTCCGCCCACGTATTTCAGGTAGGGTACATACCTCCCTTTTCGCATTCGGTATGCGGGGTGTTCCAACAAGAGAATGACTACAAGGGGTCCGCCCCCAAGTGATGCTGTGCGTAGTAATCTGCGATACGGACAATGGTAAAGTGACGAGGCATTATTAGTCACCGAGATTTATTGGATGAATTCTTTTTATATACCTACAAAGTCGCAAAATGAATTCCTACTTGTGTTACGATGACACTGGGCAACAAACAGCCTTCTAAGCCTGGATTCGATAGGTACCGTCTCAGGCAACATTAACCCCTTAGCACTATCTTTTTTTAGTTGTGGTGGCGTTGCGGGTGTCAGTACCTATATTGGGTGGTTTTCTTAATCTGGGGTTGGGGCATATGCCGGACGAGGTACCACGGAGCAATTTTTGTTTCCGACGTCCCTGAGGATTTGTCACGATGAGCATAGCAACGATTTAGACGCAACCAGCCTAAGCCTAACTTGAGTGGGAATTATGATTCTTGAGGGGTTCGGAGATCTAGACCGAATTTCATTTGTCTGTGCTTTGTATGTCATTTACCATTATCAACTACCAATATTGTGAACATGTCGCCTGTCTTTTGACCAGAGAACCGCCAAGCCTGTACCAAGATATTGGCCCGATATTGAGCTGAAACGCGCGCACGCAACAAATCGTCCGTTGAACACCCACCCTAGAGACGCTCGTAGTTGAGAAGAGAGGAAGATATAGATAGCTCGCCTGAGGATTTTGACTGCCGATCCGGCTAAGCTTCACAATGCCCAAAACCTGCATCCCGTTGCACTTTCGCCCGTTCCACCGTCTATGAGCAACGAAAATAAAAAAAACCGTCCACCAAATATGCCAACGCTGTGTAATTGAACTGAGAAGGAATAAGAAATGAAAAGGAAAAAAGCGACCATGTTGATCTCGCCATTCTTTTTCCCAATAACTGCCTGATTAACGGAAACTCAGGACTAGAAAAGATATCACCCCGAAACACACTTAATAACACGAGATCTAGCCGCCGATGAGGGTCTCAAAGTCTATAGGTTCATGAATCCACCAGAAATCACGGCAAGCCCAAACGTAAATCGGCCGTCCCATCATTGCATTGTAAACCACCAGGGGTAAAGGTAATCTTATTAAATAAGCCGAATAAGCAACCGCCGTGCCGTTCTCGCAAAACGTCGCCTTAGGAACGCCGCCTCTTGTCTATTTATCCTCTATAATTAATTTCGTTATTCATGTCGTAGTAAATGTAGTACCGTGCTTGTTTCTTTGGTCTACATTCGATCCATGAGATCGCCACCTGCTAAACTGCCGCTCGTTGAACTTCGGCCACTGGTGTTGTATCCATCGTTGGACAGAAGATCGTGAACTGCGACCTTGGGAACTTGTGGAACAGGGAGTTTTCTACTACTGTCGGGTCGGCTGATAATATCCGTTAGTGATAGACCACTAGGACGAGGACCGTTGCTAGCCGGTTGCGAAGTTGGCGGGTAGTTTCCCTCGAGATGCGGCTCCATTGGCGCTAGAGCTGGAGTGTGTCCCAAAGTCAGATTGCGCAGAGTAGGCAGTTCAATACCAGCGTAAGGCCGAAGACGCGGAGAGTGAGCTGGCGTAGCAAGCGGCGTGTGGTCGGGTGTAGGCGAAAGAGAATCATGAGAGAAGGTAGGCGATGACGGAGCAGTAGAGTTAGGCGAGTTAGGTCTTGATCGCTTAGCATGACGGAGAGCGTGAGCATAGTGGTCATCGTGTTCGTCATTAGAGTGCGATCTTGACATATGGTAGGCAGATAGAGAAGGGAGGTGACCGCGCGAGTTGTGGATACTGTTAGAATAATACGGGTGGGCTCTTGCCGAATGGTGGTGAGCTGCCATGTTCTGCTGCTCGAGTTGGTTCGTAGCGTTTGCCAGGATACCAATATCCATGCTGTGACCAGGCATTGGGCTGTTACCGCTCATATTGCGGCCATAGTGATGTAGAGGACCCGGATGCGGAATAACGTATTGAGAGAACGAGTGAGGCGGGGAAACGTTAGGCGAGACAAGCGTAGAATTAGGTGCAGATTTGATAGATCTCGGGTTTGAGGGAGGAGGCATCATAGAGTCCGGAGTCAAGGCATGGCCCAATCCGTGATGCGTCGCTTGTCCGGCCTTGTTTCCTCTTCGCGAGTTAGGGTTATTATGTATTCTCGAGTGACGGGTGAGTTCATCCGAGCGAGAAAACTTCTTGCTGCAACCGGGAAACTGGCAAGCGTGAGGCTTTTCGCCAGTATGCGTTCTAATATGCCTAGTCTGGTGCTCTAGACGGTGAAACGCCTTGTCACAGAGAGGGCACTTGTACGGTCGTGGGAGTTCATTGCTGTTTTCAGCGGGCTGGCCACCAGGTAGAGGCCCATTAGGCCTAATAACGGTAACTGTAGCCATATCGATGTCTCCCTTAGAATTGTTGTCGTTGGTTGTAGCGGTAGGTTCGGGGTTCAGCAGGTTGGAAAAATCCACCGCTGACTGTGAGCGTTGCATGTGATCGTCAGCCAGCCAAGTGGGCACCGCCTTTCTTTCTTTTTTTTTTTCCTTGCTGAACTATAATTTCTTAGGAGTGGAAAATAAACGGCGGGGTTGTTGAGGAGAAATCGGTGTCGCAATTCCTCTATTTGTTTTATTATTTTTGCCCCTTCTTTCTTCGTCGCTCCTTTGTATCTTGGTTATTATGAGTAATAGTAGTGTGTCTTGTTGTGTTGCCGTACTACAGCGAGGAGGGTGTTAGCGGCGTTTAGTCGAGAAGCTGGGGGGAAGGTTGTTGCAGGTATGATATTGGTGCGGTAGAATTTCGAAGGGAAGGCCGTTTTGGGGGAATGGGGGCACTGGTACGATTTAAATGAACTGTGAGAGAGCGGGCGGGTCGGAAAAGTTGCAAGGGTTGCGAGGTGCCAAAACGTGCTACACTGGGGCGGTGGGTGAACGGGGTGGGCAAGTTTTTTAGGGAAGTGGGAAAGCAAAGAAGTAGAAAAGTAGAAAGAAGTGCGCGCGCACTTGCGGGTTTACTAAGGGAAGGCACACGGTATTTGCACCTAACAAGGTGTACTGTACAGTGTGCTTTGTAGGTACCTTAGGTACCTGGGGACTTGTAACAATTTCACCCTCACCCCTCCGGGGCCCTGCCTTACAGAATCCCCTAGTGTGGGGGGAACCAGTAGACGGACGAAAATGGCCTGGGGGAGTTGGAACCCTGGGCATCCATTCTGAAGGAGGCGCACCTGCGTCTTCTGGTTGGTCGGTTAGCTTACTTTAGTTGGTTTAGGTCACTCGGTTGGGCAGTCCTGAAAAAAGGGAACCCCCTGAATACATAGGTACGCGGTACGTACCTGCCTACAGATGTAGATACCTAAAGTACCTAGGTACCTAGGTAATTGGGGAAGGGGGAAGAAACGTGGAGGCCGCTGAACCTACTGGGAAGGATTTGCACAAGGGGTAAGAACAGGAGAGAGAAAGTGTGTTTTTTTCTCTTCATATTAGGAAAGAGTCAAGTCATAATTGTGCTACTTTCTACCTTTTTGTTACCAACTTTGAAATATCGGTATTAAAATTATTTCTTCCCCAAAATATAATTCAACGGATGGCCTGGATCTAATGCCTTTAAAAATATGCATTTCCTACGAAAGCTATTATATGCTATCCCAGGCCTCGCTACTGCAAGTTCCTCTCCGGCTTTCAGGGCTATGAGGTGTTCGTGGAGAGAATGATGGTGTGTGAGATTATTGCGCGTGTCGAGGTCAGAGGGATTTGCTGGGGCAGGCATGGCAGGCATGTGCTTAGGACTCCCGTCATTAGGGCCTAGCTTTCTACGAGGGAGAAGAGCAGAGGGGGTAAAAAAGGAGTCCAGACAGCCTACAGCATGGAACTAGGTACCTTAAAGGACTAGGGGCGGACGAGGGGGTGAAATTAACAAAGAGCAATCAGCCACGAATAATGCTCAATGAACACAACACATGTTCTTCTATTCCCTCACTTTCAGTTAGGTGGTTAGGTGGGATGAGGTAGGCATTTTCAGAAATATTCGCTACTGCCAACGGCGTTTCTTTCATGGTTGAGTGTACTGACCTGATTGGTACTTATATTTTTCATATAATTACTTTTTATCATTCCCCGTTCCCCGTTCCTATTCCCTTTTTATTTAATCATTTATCTACTTTATCCTTACATCCCTCCGGGACTCTAATAGACGACCTCGTTATGAAAGACCTTGCTTGCGCCATTCGGATTACTTCATATAAGCGCATGTGCCGCAAGCAAAATCCCATCCGAACGGATCAGTAGACCATCGTACCAAGCTCATACTATTCATTCTCGTCTTACTAGCTTCATGTAAGTCATCCACCTGGATGGCCTGGATAGTAACATAGTACCACCGAGATATGTGTGGGGATAATAGCGCGGCTGTACGGCAACAAAGTACTTACACTACTTTACACAACCGCTTCCACAACCCTTCTCGCCCCGTATCTCGCGCCCCGAATAACTGCCTCGGTTTCGGTTTCTTCTTTCCTTTTCCTTTTTATTATTTTTCACAGTTCTTTTTCTTTTTCTTCGAGAAGAATAAAATTTCAGATATATAACAAACAAGACTAAGTAATAGACCCGCCTTTTTAGGTATATTATTTTTTTTTTCCTATTTTATTTGCTTTCTTATTCCAAGTGCTTAATTTTCTCAACCGGAGCCACTTGCCATAACGCCCCGTCCGGGGTCTAAGAAGAAAGAAAAAGAAGAAAAAAAATTATTGAAAAGGCCCACGGCAAAAAGACTGGAGAATATGGGGCCGAGCTCGGCCGCACTCAAGAGCGTATTCTTTTTTAGCACCGTTGGTACTAGGTACTAGTAGCAGATAAGGGCCAAATTTTGCCATGGTCAACTCGGCAGTATAATTTTCAACTCTAACAGACAATGGAACAGATGGAGTCCGATAAGTGGTCCGTAGAGCGCACTAGAATTCTGAACGGAACAATACATGCTGACATAAGAATCTGTGTAGTACCTATGTCAACTTGACAGCTGAACTATTTGTAAAAAAAAAAAAAAAAGAAAAAAAAAAAACCAGCTCAGCTCAGCCCCTGAGCGTGTACACATCAGCCAACCAACTAGCAAGAAAATCCGGCGATTGTAGCTTACTTCATATTCGAACGAGAAAGTTTCTTAGAAGAACAAGCATATACCATAGCTACATGAATAATACAGGCTTGATCTTCACATATGCCTCCATTCTGGGTTTCTTAACTCGTTTTAAATCTGGGGTAATATTTGCTACAATGGTTGGCTCGAATACATAGATGTATCTACTCCCCAGAGTTTCTCTCCACAGACTATACCTCTAACTTGACGCTACCTAATCTTTACACGCGTACTCGGGTTTCATGGCATTGTTCATGCTTGCTTAATACATTTCCCGCTTACGATCTAGCTATCTTGTTCCGAATGTCCACGTACTCTTTCCGGCTAACTAGGGTTTCTCGAATCGACGATTAGCGTGGCTCAGTTTATTGGAATTGGCTTGATTTTATTGCCGCCGGATTCAGGTTTAGCACATGCTTATACCTACCTTTCCCTATATAATGAAATGAATGACGATAGAGTCTTGCACATGCTCACAACAATTTTATCGACGTCAATATGCTACCAATATTCTCCAAGCCTCGGTGAGGATCGAGAACTGTTGAGAAGCATATTTCGTTGTTGTATGGCAACTCTCGGTAAGGAGCAAAGTATTGATGTAATGATGCTTGGATCCCCATACCCGTTTACCGAAAGCCCCGGTTCATAATGCCAAGCTTTCCCAAAACGTGGGGGTCCGCCCGGATTATGAGAAGACAGCGACAATGAGGCTTGAACATCTTCGTAATGCGTACTAGCAGGAATATGTCCATTTACATATAAATCGGCATTAGGTAGCTCGGATTATAGATGAATGCGCAATTTATATTTACATATATTTATACATAATACCCCAGGGTCAAAGACAGCCTGCAGAATATGGATCTGGGGCGCTTTGCATGTGTCATGTCAAGCACGAAGGGGCTGCGAAACCCCCTGAGTGAAGTCTAAGGCGGAATCCTGTTTAATTATTATTTGATTATCATCGCTCTGATCAACCTTACAATAAATACCTATGTGATACCCATATAGGCGTTCTGGGGCGCCTCCTGAACCGACTGCTACGAAATTATGTATGGTGCCAGGCCCGTCAACAATGGGCAAATGTGAGCCCTGGAATTTAAATTATTACCGGGCATTTCGCCAATCTATGTGGTACATACTAGTGACCCAAGGACGCAGGGCGTACATCCGGGGAAAGGCGGAGGGGCCTCAAAAATTCAATAATGCACTGTGGACTGGGCAATTATCCAGGAGGAATAGCCTCAACTCCTGACTCCTAATCAGCAATAAGGATTGGCGTCAGAAATACGAAAGGCCGGACCACGACAGCAGCTTAAATGCACCACTTTCAAGTATAAACCACCAAGATAAGAGATATTCCTATGGACCCATTACATCGCTACGGTATGAAATGTGTCTAACTGAATCCATAAACTTCCCCACAAAGATAACACTTACACTTTCCACTGATCCGGGGTCCAAGATCCACAGATAGACTGAGATTTATACCTCATTCGGTTTAGACACCTTAAAGTCCAGACACATGTTCTCATCTTCCCAAATAGGTATACCGAAGCACCTCTTTGTCTATCGTAATTGCGCAAACGAGCTCTAATTATTGCCAAGTTAATTTGGGATCTGGGGCAAAACATCATGAACCGTCATGAGCAACATATCATAAAAGCAATGTGTAGCAAACTACCATAATATTTGGGTTTTCCTATTGCTTGCACAAGGAAGCACTTTACACACTAGTTACCTCGATGCAGAATGCACGTTACCGCCGTCTGCATTAAAATTCTAACAATCGAATGGCGCGCCTAAATCAATATTCTCCGAGTATATCGGTTCATGTGATGATCATAGCAATAGCTACGACACTACCGTAGTGGATACTTATGATGGTAGATTATCTGATATGGGCTCCATAGTTACGTAGGAGATATCCGTATTTCTATGCACGTATGTGCTAGCTAACAGGCGTATGGCTCAGTGCATAGCGGCGCAGGAACACTTTGTGGATAACAGATGGAACTCCTCCCCCTTGTCTCCGTACGTATCTACGAATATCGTGATTTACCTGTAAGCGAGTTTCCGCTCCTCCTCCTCCTCCTCTTCCTCTTCCTCTTCCTACGTACGTGTTCGCAGCCATGGCGGAGAGTCGCGGCAAGCTCTCTCCGCACCTCAATATCTGTTAAAGATTCTGGAGCACATTCTGGAACAAAAAATAAAGTAAGTGCCAGCAAACGCACATAGGGTCCAGCAACGTCTTGGCAAGGCAAGATTAATCAACGACCGGACGAGCTTCCTGACAATCGGGCCATCCTCTGCTGTTCAAATCGGGCCTTAGCTGCTACATAGGACGCAACAAGAGAAAGGGACTGGGCCCCTCGAGCTTGTTAGATGTTTCCACCCCTACGTCCGAGAATCCAAGTAAGCCACGAGTCAGGCAGGTTGCATCCAGCACACTGTGTCTCAACACAATAACACCAATAACACCCAAGTCTGGATTGTGTGTGTCCTGCTTAGATAAGCCAAGGAACTCCGACAGAGGTCCGTCTTTTCGTCACAGAAAAATTCCTATCAATAGGTCTGCCGAGAATCCTAACGCTCGGCATTACACAATGCGACCCTGTCTGACAAGAATATGTATATGTTCCTCTGCAAACTCCGCGGATCATTTGTCAATCAGATAAGAATTAACACACTAGACAAGCATCTCTGAATGAAAACCGCGCCAGAAACAGATTCACGGAATTCTTGCAGCCGCAACGGCAATGGCGTAAGGCTTGTTGTATTGAATGGTTTCTCTTAGTGGGGGGTTCATCCCCCTGAGATCCATCTTTTTGATCCTGGACCAGGATTGCCTACGGGCGAATCGCTCCCCAATCATCTTTTCCTTCTCGGTCGCTCCGAAGTTGTCCGAGGTACGCTGTGGCTTACTCCGCTTGCCATTAAGCCGAGATGAGCCCCTTGACTCGTAGATTTAAACACATAGCGAATTTACTACATGCAGTACATATTCACTCACGATGGCACATCCTATGCAGCTCGGGCCATCTACGTGTCAGGTAGAGTTTTACGAGGCTGTTTAAAGAGGCGCATTGACTATAGCATATTCGCGTACATAAACGATAGAGCTACTGCCGCATAAGCGTTATATTGCGCTGGCCTCGCTCAGGAGATAGGAAGGCCGTCCCATGTTTCCGGAGCAAAGTGTACTTCCTGGGGACCCCGGACTCTGGCATCGATAGGCCCAGGCTTTAGGAACCGGTCCGAGTTGAAACTTTTCCCCGACACAAGACGTACGTACCTGCAGCAGGACCCTGCCTGAGATCTAAGATAACATTGAACACTGAAGACTGTGTACGCGAACCAATGAAGAGACGTTATTGGCTCTCCGCATTAAAGAACTACCTAGTTTCATTAATGCGAAAATAGTCCCCTGATAAGGATCTTGTTTAGGAAGGCTTGTCTTCATTTCCAATATGTTGGTACGGCTCTCATAACCGGTTACTCAAATACAACTTTCCGTACCTAAGTATTATACGTACAATGGCAAAATGGGCTTTGGCCTTTCCACTTGTCCCATCTACTACTGACTAGGTAGGCAAGTCCGCACTGGAATGAGATGCTCTTGGTATCAGACTGCTTTCAACCAGCCCAAGGGCATTACTTAGGTAGCTCTTAATTCATGCTCCGATACTACATTCGGATTTAGAAGCGAGTTCGTCACTTGTCGGAATATTCCATCATTATAGCTAAGCAATCGACTACGGCAACTATAATACCTCATCTCGCTAACGATAGTTCACCGTGGGGTGTTGATTAATGAGCTCAAGTCGGGGTCCGCCTAAGTCTGGTCTAGAACCACCTAAAGTACGGGAGGACGTTAAGAGCGATACTGAAATAGCCATAATGGGAGTACCTTTTTTCAGCCTCTGTGCGCTTCAAGCGTTAGCGAGTTGCATATAATATGTAGTGGATCGAGTACGCCCGATCGAACTTTTAGTGAAGCCATTAAGGCCGAGACGATCTCTGGATACTAGTTACATCCCCCAGATCTAATACCTAAATCAAAGCCCCCTAATAGACTATTAAACATACTAACTCATCTGAACCGAGAGACAATTCTCACCACCACGTGGATTATCGGCGTAACTGAGTGGATGGTAGGTAGTGGCTTAGACTTCGTTATCGTATGGGAAGACCCGATGTAAGTCAATCCGCTTCGGGACGTGCCAGTCTTTTCAGCTCATATTTGCTCAGCTTAGACATGGGATTACACGTGAATGGCATACGAGTACGAGACCAACTACCTAGGTATCTACTTGAACGAGATAGTATGTACCCCTAGTTTCATGTTTTTCTGAAAACTATGTCTTTGAGAATTTATAGAGTAATTCCAGCGAGAGGAATGCACTATGAGAAGGATGTCTTCAATAGTAACGGTAGGAATGGTATCTAAGTAGGTCTGGAATTTCGGAATCGGAAACGACAAGGCTAATGACGATTTTCTAGGCATTAATAGGTATGTCTAGGTACTGTCTAAGGGTTCTATAAGACATGCTGTGTTAGTTGTCTTACTGGGAGAAATCAGACATTGGCGTTTCTTTGTCGCTTGTTAATGTAGTCGTGGTCCTAATTTTTTTAAATTAATGCATATTCCATATGCAAGTATCATTTTCTACAATGAATTGAGGGTGTATTAATATTTATAATCAGAATACTGAGAATAGTTTGTACGTGCTAAGGTTGTCAGTATTTATTGATTGAGAGTGAAATTAATTCGGGATTGAATTTTTAGAGCCTTCGATGTACCTAAATGTTTATGGGGGAAACCCCACCATCACGTGTATTGGTTGCCCGACGGGCTGTTGCTTCAGGGAACCTAGGGGAGGATCAGCGCTGATCTGCAGGCTGCCACTGCCGCTGCCGGGCGAAAAAAATGAGGCTCAACCCAACATAACCCCAATCTTCAAATGACTAACTGAACCTAAACCATTTTCTTTCCTCTTTCCTCTTTCCTCCTTCATCATTTATTATTTGCTATCTAGATTTAACGGAAGTCGAGGTAACATAAAACAGATGACGAATTGAATCAATAATCGCATATACGAACTCATGAATTGCACTCCTGCCTCCCGGTTTTTACCATGGATTACCAATCCATCCATGGTCAAGATGTATCAAGTTTCGATCTGAGCACAACCCGTAAGATACACAGGCCATCGTATGCGAATTATCGCTAATTATTTCATAGACCGATTGCCAACCGTTTCGGCGGCACAGGCACTTGAAGATCTCGGTACTGATCCTCGACGGTTTCTCTCAACCAGTCTTGAAGCCTTTGATCAAGCCCTCAATGATATCATTGGTGATAGCGGTAGTGCCTCACCTCGTCCCGGAGGTTTACAGAAGGGCCAAGTCGTAGAAATATGGGGGCCTCCGGGTTCGGGCAAGACCACCTTTGGGTAACAGACACCCTATTAGGAAATGTTATAATTTGTTTCGTATGCTGAATATCGGCTGTAGGATCCAACTCGCCGCAAACGCCTTGCGGCTAGGCGATAATGTCCTCTGGGTAGGTTCGTATCGCTTGTCCCATCTCTGCCTAGCGAACCTAGACATATTTTCTTTAAGGCATCATCGGACGGTTAACTCAGTTTACAGATGGGTTTCATCCGCTGTCTGCCCACAGGTTACACAGCATAATAGACTCCTCCCAGAATCTACCAGCACCAGTTGAGGAGGTACCCCCATTTGCAGATCAAATGGCCAATGTTCGCCATTTCCGAACCCCGACCCTGGCTCATCTAATCGCACTTCTCTGCAAGCCTGCTGCAAATACTTTACCGCATGGTACATCTCTCGTCGTAATCGATAACTTATCTAGTTTAGTAAATCATGCTTTCCCCAAGAACCACGAAGCTAGGCAGGCTCAGAGAGGTATTGTTTCATAATTAATATTCCAGATTTAGTTTAAGTCATTCACTTATATCGTAAACAGGACCTGGACCGGGACCTTCAGCTAGAAGATTGCAGGTTCTCCAGTTTTTGATTTCGACACTGCAGAAGCTCGCCGCCACCAGAGATCTATGTATTATCATTCTATCTCAGTGTGCTACTAGAATGCAATTTGAGCGTGGTGCTACGCTCATCCCTGCTATTAATGCTAATACTTGGGAGCAAGGAATTTCTACTCGACTGGTTCTGTTCAAAGATTGGGTAGCGGGAAGTGACACAGTGCACGGTGCCCACTTTGTTGGCATCCAGAAATTGAACGGTAAAACGATTCCAGGAGGCATTAGTCAAGTTTTTGCTTTCAATATTCGGGGCGTAAGTCAATCCGTGACACATAACCTTACGTAACGTGACAAAATATTAACTCACTCAGGACGGCCTTATTGCCCTTGACCTAGATGAGGGTCAACCAACCTTGCCTCTATCACCGAATGCACGTCTCAAACGAAAGTTAAGCCAAACTGACTTCGATATTGCTGATAGCGAAGGCGAAGATTATGGCTGGGAAGTTGACGATGAATTGGAAATGCCTAACTTGCCGCCACAGTGGCAAGGTAGTGAAGACATTCTCCTTGGACAAGTAGAAGATGACGAGGTCCACACCGAGGAGGGATCAGAAGACCAAGTGGTGCAACTAGAAGAGACTACGGCACCTTTAGAATCGGATCTTGCCGACCTTAGTGGGGACGACTCTATTTGACATCGATGTATGCGGGTCTTTGATGGTCTCGTCTCGTCTGTTTTAAATTTGAGACGGGCACACTCACGATCGGTTCCATTCGAAAAAAAAATTCTGTGGGCAATTCTTATGTGGTTCCACTGGGGCTCAACGTCCTATTATGAACGATGGACCACGAAGAATCGGCCAAATGTCGGCGGCTTGTTACATCTCTAGCCTCAACAATGCCGGCCACCGCCACTCCACACCTCGGTCTTTCGCGGCTTAATTCTACGCTGTAAGTCAGTCCTATACATCTCGGAGCAGCCGGGCTACCATTATGAGAAAAGGTGAAAAGGGATACAAGTTGCCCTTGCGTTAAATAAAAAAAAATTCTCACATGCTAACGCTTTTCTCTCGTAGTAGAGTGTGGGACTGGCAGAATCGTACATGTCTACCTAACTTACATGCTATTCAGTACCTAATCAATACAGAAAATTTTGTTGATAGAGACACGCCTGCTAATGGCCAGCCAGGATCGAACCGCCTTAGTACTGCGAATAGCCTCTGACCTGGCTTCATTTGATCCATAATCCCGCCAAGCGATGCTCTCCGAGGTGAAACGGCTGCGGAGCTGTATCCAATACGCAAGGACAACGAGCGGAATTCCGATTCATTAAAGCCCTCGCACAGATTTTTAGCCGGTTGCGGCATGAGGTCGCAGCACAGTGGCCAAAGACCGTTACATTGTGCCGCTGCAACTCAATATAATCCTACCGCCAAGGGTCCTGTAGAATTGCCCCCCGCGCTCCGCTACTTCTACAATTTTTGAGTATGAGCATTTAGGGGTCTGGTCCTTCGCTTGCATCCAACCGTACCGCTTACCTTACTAATGGTTCCATTATCATTATCAATCATACGTACCTACTAATTGCCGTTGAGATCACTCCCGAATTCCTGGCTTTACGACCGTACGATGGTAAACTCGCAAGTGTAACCCACCCGATCGACTGTATCATTGACCTAGCTAGCGGGCAGTAGCGCGATCAGACTTCAGCCGCAGGGGATTTAATCGCTGGCCCGCGTCTAAAGAGGGATACGATGACTCGCCTATTAGCATGCGTGTTAGCGTTCCAGAGCCGCCCGAGTCATTTTACATCGCATTTATTAGATTCTCGAATACGCTTACTAGATGACTACAAACATGGGCCTGGCGAAGCGTATCCGGCATATTCTGCCGCGTAGATCGAATCTATACTATATTTAAGACTTAATGTGTCCAATTTCGGCAAGGCTTGTAGATCATTCGAGGAGCCTTGGCTTTATCTCTCAGATTTTCGATATTGTATATTGGGGTTGAATGCGGAGAAACGGCCGTTGTGTATGCACGCTGCTACCTACTTTGCGGGCGAACCTGGTTCCACGAGAATAACTTGCAGCGGGAATGCAACCGGATATGCATTACGCGCAGCCCGGCCTGCTCATAAACTCACCGGTGTGCGGACTTAGGAGTACCTCCCATACCCCCTCGGAAGAGTGTGCCGTGGTTCCTGGGGACTCTCAACTCCGCCATTTTGGCCACAGACTAGGAAAGTACTTATCATCTTGCAGTTCAAAACCCGATTTCCCTAGCGACAGTTGTACAAGAAATCGTATTGTCTAGACTCCGCCGTCTAGTTGTCTTGCACTGCGTTATGCATATCGCAAACGACATATGTGATCCAGTTATAGAAGCTTGGAACCTACCTAGGTAGGGTCTTCAGGGTATAATGCCCAATATAGGATAACTATCTCGTGCAAGTTACGGTATCTCGGTGGATAAGAGTTGCGGTTGGGCATAAACCAACACGTCAGCACAGCATGAAAGCGGATCTTGATCGCAGGACACAAGCAAAGCGCCCCGGATCTACATGTGGGCGTGAGTCGACCTAACCCTGCCATGACTCGAGGCGTCACGGTATCCTTCGTCTCCGTTTCCGATGTATAGTAAGCTCTCGATCGGGGCGGGACTTCCTCGATCTATCTCGCAACGGCCCTTAAAAAACTTGTTTACCATTCACTAGGCATCAGGTATCTACCAACCACCTAATCAATTAAGATACATACCTATATAGTATAGCCTAGCAAATATGCGACCTGCAAGTGTCCTCGATTACGAAGCGACCTATCTCTGCACGACTAACTCCTGAGTACGGCCGTTTCATTTATTTTACCCCTTTAATATTTCTTTCTTTTTTTCTTTCTTTGTCGCTCGAGCGATCGGGATGCGCCGCCTGGATATTTTACCCCTTCCGTATTCGCTTCGTGCCGGTATGATAGGTGACGTACATATTTAGATATCCGGAGAGTAGCAAATGTGATAGCTCACTCGTATGGACATCGTTCGCACGCAACCAACATATGATGCCGTTCGGGGCGGTTCGTTCCACAGCGGCAAACTTACCTATCTTACCTACCTAGACGCGCAATCGCACGATCTGGATCGGGGATGTGCGTAACGTGAGGAGTTACTTTTTATTTTTATTTTCATTTTCTACTTTTTGGGGTCTGTGATCGTCGTAGGTCCGACTAACCGGGCGGAAGGACACGCAGGAACTTAGCATTTAACACGGAGATGGGGAGGTGATGGATGGAAATAGGAGGAGGGTTGTTGCCACTGGTGGGAGAGCCGCCGGTTATTGGCCCGCGAGTATGTAGATGGGCGATCGTATACTGGTTCCGGGGATTGGATGGTGATGGTTGAGTTTAGGCGTGTTGGGTTTGTCGTCGTGTGCGGGCGAATGGGTGTAATAGGTATGCCCTCATCGAGTGATTAGATTACTTGTCGGGACCGAGAGTACTGTTGATTCTTTGGCGGGGTGTATTGCTATGTTACATGTCGACGTGGGGGTGGAGTGAAGTGAAGGCATAGCTGTACAGACAAGTGTATGGCGGAGGCGGAGATGAGAATGTAAGTCAAGTGTAAGTTATCACTCATACCTAGGAACTTATGGTTGAAACAACAAATTATACTATGTAGTATGGATAATCTGTGAGGTCGGGTTACCCAAGTGGGAATCATGATGACGATATCATCGAGCAATTTAACCTCACGATGGATGACACATAGGTAGAGGGATTTAGTGTCTGATTTTGGATATTATCTATGTTTATGATATGAGAATGGATGTTAGTGTATCATAACCGAATCAAGAGCTGGTAATCAACCATTGAGGTGCGGACGAGAGTTCAGGGTACCTAGGTATTTGCTTTTTATGTTTGTTCGTGAATATAATGACTAGTAAACTATCTCAACAAATGTAGGGATACTATGGCAGGTATTGACTATAATATGTACATATATGTTGATAAAATCTTTTGAATCACAGTGAGGCACTTATAAATGTAGATTATTACTCATATAGATAGTTATTTATGAAGTTCATATAATGAATTACTTCCGAGGGTCTCAGTGAGTGCGTACCTAGGTAGCTAGACCTAGGTGAAGCTTCGGTGGGTACAGTACTAATAATAAAGTACCTAGGTACATAGTGCGGAGGCTGATGGAGGGGCGTGTCACCCCTGACTGGAGCTCTCTCACCTCACTAGCTTTTTTTTTTTCTTCGGCGACAAGCTTTGAAACTAACCTCATACCAAGCAACTCATTCGACGCGCATCTCATCCAATCAATTCCAACACCCAATTTGATTATTTCTTTTGCTAAAGTCTTAATAATTCTTATCGACTCAATTGAATGGAACCAATCATTTCTTAAAAAGAAGTTTGGCTGTGGTGGGACCAGTGAAAGGTATACTCAACTTTGGACTGTGGTCTGAGCTCCGCTATCAAATTGGTGTCTTGGCACTTGTTCCTTCTGATGATTTCCTCAAAAGGTGAACAATAAGAGTCGAGGTGAACATCAAGTAATTCGCTCGCGCGTTGGGTATCATTTGAATATTTTTTTTATTGATGACAAGCTCTATTTTCTAACGCCGCGGAACTACCATCGGACATCAACTCACATCTGGTACGTACATGCATCTCAATCCCTTCCATTATATTTCCCGATACTATAATCCAAACTTGATCCATTGTTCATCAACCATTTTCAACATTGCCGACGCGTTCTTAAATAATGTAGCCGTCGTCCGTTTATTTTGATTTCATTTTCCCACTTCTATTTTTTTTCTTCCCCACGAATCGTCGCTTGCAACAATCAATACGATTATTAACATTTCGAATCTAACATTGCCTTCTCAACTTAGGTGTGACAATATGTCGACGGAAGCTGTAACAGCGCCCGAGGTGTCCGCCGAAGCGCCGATGGAAAATGAGGCCGTCACTAATTTTTCCTGGCTGTAAGTCCGTCGCAATTTTTTTCTACTTGCTACTATCACTACTAATTTATTTACCAAGACAACCTCATGTTTTCTTTGTTATCATCCTCGTTGGAGAAGATGAGACCCCCTTTGGTATTCAAAAGGACTTCATATGTTCTAAGTCTACTCACTTCCGCAACATTTTTACTCAAAAACCCGGCGACGCGCCTCCGGACGAGAAGCTCGAAAACATTGTGAAACTGCCGAATACCACACCTAAGGTTTTTGGATTCGTCCAGAACTTCTTGTATACGGGCAGAGTCTTCACCGACGTCAATTCGCTTCCTGGCTATGAAGTTCTGATTTCGACTTGGAAGCTTGGACATGAGTTGGGTATTGAAGGTCTATGTGATGAGGTTCTTGAAGCCATGGCTGAGTGTAGACGACTCACTCAGCACATCCCCGCAACCCCGCTACTTGTACAAGCATGGAAAGATGCGCCGGAAGGTTCTTCTATTCGCAAGCTCCTTCTCAATTGGGCTGCCGAGTATATTAGATCGTCAGAATCCCGCCAGGAGTTTACGAAGTCCCTGCCGCAAGAGGTATTGAGCGAGCTTGTCATCGCCATGAGCCACCTCAATTCTTCCCCAGTCATACAGGTCAATGCCGTATCATCGCCCGCTAGCCAGACCCAACGAAAGAACGTCCACTACTTGGAAGCTGAGGACAGCGACGGCGAGATGTATCACAAGACACAGAAGCATCGCCACTCTGATGTCATTCACAGCCGACCAACTCAGACTGAACGAAAGGTTGCGGTCAAGAAACCCGCCTCCAGACCGTCGCTTCCTAATAACCCGAAGCCAATCAAGGTCAAGCGATCCAGCCTGACCAACGCGGACGGGCAGCAGTATTCATCGGACCAGAAGCTGAATTTCTGTGCCGACTTATTGGGTAGGATGCTGTCTGGCCCAGGTAAGTTTCCCCTTCCCCTAATGCTTATGTCCGTCTATAATAATACAAATCCTAATATGATTTTTAGGCTTCTGGACTCGCCTAGTTGGCCCCTTCCGTGAACCCGTTCGACCAGTCGAGGATGGCGTGCCGGATTACCTAGAGAAGATCAAGACGCCGATGGATCTTAGCACGATCAAGGACAAGATGGACCGTCGGGAGTACAAGGACGACCAAGAATTCTTGACCGACGTCCGTCAGATCTTCGCCAACTGCTTCACCTATCACCAACCGGGCTCGCCAATGTGGGCGAATTGCGAGAAGTTCCAAAAGACATTCGAGGAGAAGTACTCCACGATGCCGAAATGGATCGCAAAGTTGGAGGGTGATGAGGCCGCCTAATTTCTTTTCTTAACGACACGATGACGAGGATATACCTAGCCTGAAAACGCCGACGAACTCGCCGGCATACCTAGCCTTAAGACATGGCTTGTACTAATATTAACATTCTGCACATACTAGTGCGGTTGGGCGTAAGGCGAGACGCTCCTACTTAAATGGATGGTGTTCATAATCATGGTGCCTACAAAGGGCATTTTTATAGGGACGGGGGCTGGGATTGATATCAGCAGCTGGTCCTATGCCCTTTTTCAAGGATACTATCTTCGTTGCTGAGTCGGTACTAGGCGTGAAGGAGCAACGGCCACGACTTATTGCATTTTGCTTCGTCCATAGGGGTTTATAGGGTCCAGGGACACAGAACCGGAAAAGGGTTGGCTGAGATCAATTTGATATCCTAATTGCTTTTATGAAAAATCTGTCCCGTGCCTCCATTTAGTGGCCACTCAAGTGTTAGTAGCGTAATTATGAATTATTTAGGGCCGACAACTTCGTATTCCTAATTCTTACCTTCGCATATAGATTTGAATGGCTGGAGTCGTCTTTACTTCGATAAATGGCGTTGTACTGGTTTACACAGCTCAACAAGAAAACCAAATCATTACGTATCTCTTAACGTGGTTTTTCGTATTAAGTAGTAACCTATAACGGCGTGGCCGATGCTATAATGACAAAGTATCATAACCCATACACAGAACGCCACCAACCCTCATCATCTACTCTTCGTGGAATCATCTTCCATAGTCGTCGTAACCTAATACTCGTTCGATTGTGTGTTTAGATCTTGTATACGAGATTGCCATCCGTGTACCTGTAATTTTATGTTAGCACTTGTTTACGCTGTTGTTTGGGGATAGTAACAATCAGTCACAACTTACATGATCTGGTTCGCATCATCCATCTTCTTAAGCGCCTTAACAGCCTCTTCATGCGAGAAAGCCGCGCCTCTGCCTTCCATACGTCGGTTTACTGCCTCAATGACATCGCCGACATCAGCTGCGTCATCTTCGAATAAGCTTGTGTTGAGTAGCTGTCCTAGCGCGGTTCGGAACGCTGCGAGACGCTCGGGTGTGATCGGTGTGTCGATGCTTAAGCTCGCCGCGCCCGATGCTAGGGCCGTGTCTTCCTGCGTTTCTTCCTCTTCCTCTTGTGTCTCGAGCTGGGAGGCGGGTACCGAAGAAGCAAAAGAAATTTGTGATGTCGCGGGTGCGTTTGATGAGGAAGCACCACCGGTTCGGTTTGAGCGACGTGGTGTGGCGTTATACAAATCTTCATCCTCTTCATCGTTTTCTGCTGCGGGTGAAGCTGGCGTGCGACCATTAGTCCCATTCGCACGGCGGCTGCCGTTAGTCGAGGGTTGGCCTCGGGCAGTTGTTCGGGTCGAAGGTGCGGTTCTACCGCGCGCTGTCGAACCTCTGTAACTGCTATCGCCACGGTCTTCATCGTCGTCGTCACTATCGCCGTCCTCCTCCTCCTCAGGTCGTTGTGTCCGTCTGCGCTTCCTCTTCGACTCGTCTTCTACGACTTCCTTGAACAAGGCAAAACGAAGAATGGCTTCGGCTGCTAAGGCATCCCGCTCATCTACTCTGTTTGAAAGCCTCGATTTGGCGTGCGCGGTTGCCAGACGAATGAGTGTTTCTAAAGTACGCACTGTTAGGGGAGACGTTCTTCTCTGGTTACCCTCCATTTCGTCGTTACGTAGACCGACGTATATCTCCGCAATACGCTCTGATGCGTCTTGTGTGAGTACCGGCTTGACTCTTGTCTTCGCGTACTGGATGTACTTCTTCATAAATGGAATGCTTAGGACTTCGCGTCGCTTGTTGGCGCCACGACCAGAGGTCACAGTAACACCTGCATGCAACATGGCATCATATTTTTCGTAAACTTCAGTGGGTTTCTGGGTAGCGTCCTGGCTTTGCAGTGCAACACCAAGAGCTTGTTGGGTGTTTTCGCGAACCGGAGCGCCTTCGTCGGTGCCGGGCTGTCGGTAGCGGTGCATACGTAGGACGTGCTCGGAGACTCGACGATCGCGGGTATCCTCGATGTCGTCAGTAACGACAAACAGAAGATCGAAACGCGACAAGAGAGAATCCGGAAGAGCGATGTTCTTGTGAGGATCTTTATGTGTGTCGTATTGCCCAAAGATAGGGTTGGCCGCCGCAATAACACTGCAACGGGCGTTGAGCGATGTATGGATACCGGCTTTGGCAATGGTGACGGTTTGTTGTTCCATAACTTCGTGGATAGCAACTCGATCGATATCTGACATCTTATCAAACTCATCAATACAGACAACACCTCTATCTGCCATAACCATAGCACCGGCCTCCAATCTTCTTTCACCCGTTTCCTTGTCTGTTGTGACGGCCGCTGTTAGACCGACACCTGAAGAACCACGTCCAGTTGTGGCGATAGCTAATGGTGCTGTGTTGAGTACGAATCGCAGAAGTTGAGATTTGGCTGTCGAAGGATCACCAACCATGAGGATGTTGATATCTCCTCTCAAATGTGTACCATTTTCTAAATTCTTCTCCATACCACCTAGTAACATGAGCAAAATTGCCTTCTTGATGTAGTCGTGACCGAAGATACTAGGCGCTAGCGATTGCGATAGGAGTTCGAAGAGGTTCTTCTTCTTGGCGACTTTGTTAATATTTCGAATATCGGTATCCGTAATTGTAGCTGTTGCTACGCCTCCGCTTGCCTTGGACGAAAGAAGGACAATATTGTTCGCTAGGATTATCGTCTTGAAAAGTGCGCTGTTATGATTCGTATTTCGGTTTCCGAGCGTTCGGAAGATACCAACGAGTTGGACTCTGTCACCGGGCTTCACTTTGTCGACTAGGTCGTCGTCTAGAATAACATCAACACCACGAGGGAGTTGTCCAGCAGGTGCTCTCTCGGGCATTTCTTGTATCGATATGGTCTGGTGATCTCTGTATGTACAGAAACCGTATTCTGTGAGAAGTGGGTTACCTTCCTCGTCTTCTTGAGGGTAGACACTGGATGTGGTGACTCCATTGGTCATGGTTTGATCGCGATACTCGCGGAAATGGAATATGTTCTTCTTTTCGTTATAATGCACACTTTTGACAACCTTTGGTCTAATGAGCGAGCATCTTGTGACAATACCTTCGATCGACACCATATGGTTTAAGTGATTGGATGATAATGTTCTCGGGTTGCAAGCATTGAGACCAAAGCTGCCTGCCCAGGCGCAGTAGTATAGTACATCTTGATCGGTCTGATCGGGTCGTGCTTGTGGAATGGTCTGCACGATCTCCTTAAGCGCATGGTTGAAGGCTAGGGTGTAGTCGAATGGATCGAATAGTAAACCATCTGCTAGTTCGGTATTGTGGTCACGAACGTGGTCTAAGTTGACTACTAGTCGCCTTTGGTTCTTCTGAAGCATTAATATGATATCGGATCGGTAACTCCTCGCATGTTGGTCATCTGTCCAAACACATATTTATCAACGAAAGTTCGATATGATGTTAAGTTATAGGTGAACTTACGAGGGTCAAGGAACTCCGCGGCCAAGCGAATGCGTTCCTTGGCCGCTTCATCTCGAAGCATAAAAGTATCCATGATGCCTTAATTCTCGTCTTGGATTGCTTAAGTGGTAAATCAAGGCAGTTGATCACAAAAGCATATGATGTAATTGAATAGTGAGGCGAATGTTAGCGGTTGAGTATAGAGGCACAGGGCACAAGTGGGGGGAAGTTTTAAAGATTGTGACTGAATGAATTGTTTAGGGAAAGGGGTCGGAGGGGAACTGAAAATCCATATCGCGCGTCCTTGACCGCGTTTTTCGCGTTCCTGCGTTAAAGTGGTTGCATGAGGCCCATTTTAATCAAGCCTATTACAGCAAATCATTTACCCCGACTATCTCCGCCGTCTCAACTAGCCCTATTACCTAAGCTCCTAAGCTGCTAAGCTACTGGAATCATCAACTAAATTGTTCTCGGAGAGTTAGTACGTTTGCATTGTTCCTTTCTAGAAGATGTTATGAGAAATTTTGATAGTACAATAATTATTAAGAGACAGGAAAACATATTATTAATAAATATCTATTTTAAAGATAAGCGAATCTATTATCATTATCATATGTAATTTTTTAAGTGCTAGGTTTCGATTTCAAGGTGAGATCGGTCTGGTAAATCTGGTGGTTTAGCGTCAAACGATTGGTGTGATGAACTAAACCGGTGAAGCGTTATCAGTACGCCGATGCACTGTAGCATAATTCAGTGGCCTAAGCACAGCGGAATCAGCCGAAGGGGATACCTAGACGAACCTAGACGAACCTTAACTGGCCCCCAAATCTACTAAAACCCACCTACAAGACACCCACCCCGTTCTTTCTGTAGTCTGTAGCCTGTAGCGCGGTTGCTGTTGCCGTCATCCTTACGACTACCTACTTCCTTCCCCTACATTGGATCTTGGTTGGGTACCTTGGTTTATTTCTGTGCGGCGACGGACCCGAGCACTACCTTAGAAACTTAAACTGAACATCAACTTTCCCGCCGTAACCGTATTTTGCGATCGCGACGCTCGTTATTCTCCGATCTTTGGGCACCACGCACGAGTGACGATTTAGTCACACCCTCGACGAAGCGACCGAGTAACCAAGTAAGGGAATATGGCTGTAGGACTTGTTAACGGCCGTCATGCGGCTGACGAAGAAGCTCGCGCCGAGGTCGACGTACTTAACTCGAGACTAGAAAAGACGACTCAATTGACCAAAAAGATTCAAGCATGTCTGGGGAGATTGGAAGCTACTGGGAAGAGTGTGCGGGATGTTTCAGGTCCTCTTAATGGCGAGACGAAGACATTGCAAACACTGGGGAATAGTGAGTCCCATTTCTGCCTACCTCGCTCCCCATTGACCTATACCCTTCGATGCTGATTTCGCGAAAAACATTTAGACATAGAAGCTGTTATTGGAGCTATAGAGCGCCTTCGCCAACCTGCGGATTCAAAAAGCGACGAAGAAGCGATTATTCGACAGGGCCCTGAAAAGGCTGGCCTTTCCAACTACCTGAACTCGATCAAACGATTAAACAAGGCCTTTACGGATATGAAAGCTTCGAACCTACGTGCGAATCAGCAGACTATGGCTGACCTCCAACGATTAATCAAGTCTGGTAACACCCAACTTGAAAATTCGTTCGACAAGATGCTACGAGCGGAGACGCCGCGCTCGATTGAACCGCTGCAATACACAACCAAAAATACGCCATTCCCCCTGCTGACCCAGGACAAGATTTCGCGGTTAAGCCTAATGAATTCCTACGTAGCCGGCAACTCGTTATCCGAGAACCCGCTAATCAAAATCTATGCCGACGTAAGAGGGCAATATCTATCGCAGACTCTAGTCAACCTTGCATATGCAAGTATCAATACGGCGAGGAAAAAGAGCTCCGATACCATCTACCGGGCCGGTACCAATGGGATTGGCATGTACGCTCAAGCGATGGAAGGCTTGTTCGTTGCCGAATACGACAACATCTGCAACATATTTATGCGACAAGACTGGGGCCCGGCTTTTCAGATGACCTGTCAAGCCCCGCTGGCTGAATTGGCTCGAACGATCCGCGAAATCAACAATCACATCAAAAACCATCTTAACACCGATTGTTATCTTGCATATGAGGTCACCGAGATAATGTCCAATCTGTCTAATAATATCGAGGAACGCACGGGTGAGCTCAAATCTACCTTGGCTGCTGCGCTAAAACCTGTTCGCGAGACAGGCAAGTCTTCACTTGCCGAGCTACTCGAGGACACGAAGCGGAAGGTGGGGGGAATGCAAGCCCTCCCTTCGGACGGTTCTCCAGTACCCATTGTCTCAGAGACGATGCAACGTTTGCAGACCATGGTTGACTTCCTCCGCCCAATATCCAGCATTATGATATCGTTAGGCGACGGTGGCTGGAAGTCGGCTGCGGCGGCGAATACTAGTACGGATGGCATCCCTAGCTTGGCGTCGTTCGATATCGGCGCGGATGGCAAGGAGATATTCGCGCATTATTGCACTGACACGATAGATGCATTAATGTCGGCGCTCGAGCAGAAGGCGAGGATGTTGCTAAAAGGGAAATCCGTCTGGGGTGTCTTTTTAGCTAACAGTGTTACCATTATCGAACGTATGATTCGGACTTCTGATCTCAAACCACTCTTGGAGGGCAGGCTAAGCGGCTTGGAGGTCTGGCGGAAAAAGGCAAAAGCATACTATACTGACGCGTTCAAAGACGTCTCAATGCATCTGCTTGACGTGATCCACACGAGCCGGTCTCAACGACCACCCTCTGGATCTTCAGAATCGGCATCGATTCTGAAGGGACTCAGCAGCAAGGATAAGGACAGCATCAAGGGCAAGTTCCAACTCTTCAACTCATCTTTCGATGAGCTAGTATCTCGGCATAAGTCGTATAGTATGGAACGCGAAGTGAGGCAAATGTTCGCCAAGGATATGCAACAGATGTTGGAGCCTCTTTACAATCGGTTCTGGGATCGGTACCACGAAATAGACAAAGGCAAGGGCAAGTACGTCAAGTACGACAAGTCGTCCATCGCTGCAGTTTTCTTGAGCCTCTATTGATAGGCTGCCGAGACATCTGCCGACTGCTGGAACATGCTGGAACACATAATTGAGCTGAACCATTTGAACGTCGCAAAATGTCCCAGGCAGATCCTACACAAGTCTCGTATGCGGCGATCATCAGATGATTTCTCCGGGTATGCCACAATATAACCCAGGATCGCAGCTGTGAGTTAATATCTATTATTTCCGGACAGGTGTCCTATGTGTGGCAGCTAATATTTGAAAGTGAAGCTTGGATATGAGTGGGGGTCACTGGGGTTAAGGTGACCGAATCTAGAAATGATTCCCCCGTGAAGCTCCGTTGCGTTACCAACGATTTGGACGTACTACGCATCGCGAAGGGCGACATGTTTATTGTTTAGAAGTGATACCCTTTCGGCCCGGCAATGGAGTTAACAGGAAGCATGTTGCATAGAGGATCATCTGCCGGACCTGGTCGTCATTCAAGCACCCTATTGTCGAAGGTGGCCTGATGAGCGGTATCCGACGTAAGACGACTGTACTTGTCGTGGGGACAAGCTCCACTAGGCTGAAATTCCCCAGGGAAGATGAGATATCAAAATGTGATATGTGACTAATGGATGCTGGGTCAGACAAAAGATACGTGCCTGCATCGACGATCGAAGGAACATCAAGGTCATGGGGAATCCCGTCCCAAAGTACCTAAGTAACGCCTATTATTTTTTTCCAAGAGAATACTTGTTCGCCAACCTGTCCCCAAATGCTGGGTATTCTTGTGGGCCTGGCTATCTGCGTTGCTATCGCTTGGCGTGTGTTGCTTAAGTAATGTCTTCCCTTCTCGGTCGACCTGCATGCAGGAATCGATACTTGCTAGCAGGGCCTTGCTAGCGCCCTCAAGGTGAGGTGAGGTCGGTGTACTCTGGGTTCTTCGTCTCGAGGTTCATGTACAAAGAAAGCAAGCGGCGACTAGTAGAAACCGTTGCTATTCGCGTGCTCCGCCCGTTCTAAATCCCACATGACGGGATTCCAAGGGAAAGCTCACCTTACCTTAGTTATTATTATGATTGATCCCTCATTGCCATATTCGTCATTCATTCCCAGCCAAGTGGACCACCAAGTAGCAATGTGGCTTCGGCCCCAGGCCCTCCCTGCGCGCTGAACAAATGTACCCCTCTTTGAAAAGATATGCCGGTTTAGGTATTGCTTCCAAATCAGCATTTTTAAAGGTCCTCCGCGACATTGACATGACATCGACCTTGACCTAGGTATGCCACATAACCCACACACGTATATCTGGCTAATAACCTGCGGCCACTCAGTTCGCTCGAATCTTGGACGATGTGCTCGTTACACAGCAGGTGAGAGAACAGCGCAGCGATGCCCAATTCGCACCCCCTGGATCCACATGATCCGTCGATGCCTCGAACTTGGGAGACTGGCAATGACCGCTGCGAGCTAGTTAAGCCAGCCACCCTGGACTGCTTCGCTTGGTTGGACACACACTACAGACGCACACGTACGCATACTTCTTTCGCATACCTAAGTACATTATTGTTGTCCGACGGAAAGCAGGTGAAGGGGGTTTGGGGGAGCACGGACTGTCAATCCTATTCCCCAAGAACCTAGTTCGCCCGGGCGGCCGTAGCCTAGTAGATTATTGCAGCCAGTTCGCTGGTAGCTAGGAACAAAATGCAATCGTGGCGAATGAGAGACGGTGTACATTACGCTCTCCTGCAACCCGCCCCATGCAGGACCGGACAGGACAGGAACGATTCACGCTGCACTGACCATACGCACACTACACCCTGTCTTACCCGTACTCCACTGAACTGGTCGGGGACCCTCGTCTCCTTCCAACGCGACATCGCCAAGTCTGCTTGCTTCGCTGCCAATGCATGCTGCAGAGTGTCCGCTAGCGCCGTTCCTACAGGGCTGGGACTACCTAATCGCTGCAGGCTGGCGGAGTGCATTTCTTTCTCGATGTACATTTGCTTATTTACCTCCTACTAGATGAAGCGGACGAAAGTTTGGTTGGAATCCATTTGCAGCCGAAGCATGTACGTACAGTATGTACCTACGTACGGATGTATGTATGAACATGTGTATGTACGTGTAAGCCCACCCGTCCTATCGGCCGACCAATTCCCTTTACAGAAAGAAGCCGAAAAGAAATAACAGCGATAGTAGCATTAACAATATAGGGTCCTGTAACTGGAGTGGCAGAGTAAGCCGATCCGAAGCTTCCATGATAACAAGGAGAACACGCGGCATGCCTCTTCACCTTGTTTAGGTGGACCAGCGAAGCCTTGTTGGATGAATGATGATTCACTGCGCGCCTCTGTAGGGTTTCATTACTATCGAGTAAAGAGTATATCAGTTATCAGAATACACATCGATGATTCGATATTCTCCCCGCAGAACCCTGACAACCAATAAGTCGGTTTCGCCTCCGTGTTCGGGCTGATTGGATCTCGGCCGTTGATGAGCGGACGGGTTTATTCTAGTGGTAGCTGTTAGGGGGGTGACCAGTAAGGCATACCATTGATGCTACTTTGTTAATCCCCGGGATTGATGGGGCTACGATGTCCTTCCCGTTAATCAGTTCCGTCTTGTCCGCTTTGGTCTGCCTGCCTAGGTACCTTTGCCATCGAGAGAGATCCTTGCCTCTATTCACGTAACCTTCGAGGTCTTTCCGTTCCATCAATGGCACGGAAGGGCGAAATAATGACGACGGGCAGCATCATGTAGCTTGCTGCTGCCCCCATGGTCCACCCCGGTTCGTGGGTTAATAGCTCATGTATAGGATGATGTATGAATGTGTAATCGTATGTCAAGGAGCGGCGTGTGAGAATCCTGTTCGCCTATAACATTCATCCCATAGCGAGATATTATATCACTCTTGTAATCCTTGGTGTAGTATTGTATAGCGCCGCTGAACGTATATCCCCGAATGGGGAAGCAGAATGCGGTATGGGATTTCAATAAACTCGCAGGGCGTGTGGGCATCATCGGAAAAAGCATGGAGGTTTTTTCTTTTTTTGCCTTTTTCCCTCCCCTCATTAGCTATAGCTTATAGTGCTGCAAGCCTCAATGCGGGCGTAAGCACGTTACACACGTATACGGTAACCCGTCAGCAGGATCGAGAGTAGTAGTCATCGACGAAACCGAGACGCGTGTCAGACAAGAAACCCCATATTAGGAGTAATCAGCATTAACAAATATCATGATTTATATCCATGTTCAATGCCCAGGGACTCCGATAGGATTTGCTTGCCACTGCCGTGCCCTACAGTCGCCGAATGGACCGAGCAGGCTGCGGCGCCGATGGTGGATGGGGGCCGTCAAGAATTATCTATATTTGGGGGTTGGGCGAGACCATTGCCATGCAAGAACGGACGGGGATTCGCAGGCTTGGATCGCAGGGGGTGGGTCACGGAAGAAAGAACAGACTAGAAGACAGGATTCTGGGGTATGATAAAGCGTATCATGACTTATGCATTCATTTATTGATTTGGTTCTCATAGCATGCCTTGGTATCATCGAGAGTAAGCACAATCATCCCAAAATTGCCCGCGTGACAAGGTATCGATATAAGAAAATAGATGGAAATCACATGTTCTCGATGTCATTTCTCCTCCGAAACAAATCAATTTCCCTTCCTAGCCTTTCCTTTCCCCATGTTAAGTTGAACATTCCCGGTGGGCGTAGTAGTCGTTTGCCCCCCTGGCCCATTGTCCATTACCCATTGCCCAATTCTTCCGCAGGGACGCACCAAAAGCCCCATGGGCCAATTCGCCATTCCTAAACAAGTCCCCCCGGTGTGTCCTTATTTTCCCCAGTTTGCGGGTATCTGATTGACTTTCTTATCCGGTCCAGGGGGGGTATATCCATTACCTGGGTACAACCACCACGATTCCTGACTAAGGAAAGGAAAGAGGAAAACCAGCAAGGGAAATCCCGCCACGCTTCGGGCCCGTCCGGCACTATAGTTAGGTGGAGTAGCAGTAGCAGTAGTAGTCTCTTTTCCCTCTTTCTGACGGACAGGACTTTTGACAGCTAGCGAGCCAGCCCAGGCCAGCCAGCTTCCCGGGGAGCGGTTGGAGAGATTGGGAAATATTGGTGGGGGAACAAAATCCACCCGAAAATATTCGAAAAAGCAGCAAGCAGCAATAAAACACCGTTAAACCTAGCGCCCCATTACATGATGATGTTCAGTTCCTTGCTCCTTGCAGCGCCCGCCCAAGAAAAAATCCAAGTGAAAATCATGAACAATAAAAAAATGACGAAACATAAAACTGTCGCACGAATCCTTGCGCGCGCTGCTTCCCATATGAACTCCAGTTCGCATCCATAAGTAGGTGTGTGTCAATGATGTGTGTGCGTGTCCCAAACCAACGAGAAAGAGGGAATACCAAATCAGGACGCACGTAAAAATGGGAAAAATGAGATGGGGAAAAAAGGGTAAGAAACAACCAACGCAGAAAGACGCACGGCTATGCTATGCAGCAAAAAGAGAGAGAAAGAGTAGAGCAGTAGCAGAGTAGTAGAGTGGTACAAGAGGGGTTGGCAGGGTATATTCGAAGAGTTGCGTCGAGGTGAGCCATAATGAACAAGGTGCGTGCTTTGGTGGGAGGGAGGAGGGGAAGCCCAACATGTGGTAACGAGGAGTTGCAGTGCAGTTTGCAGCATGCAGCATACGTGATACAACCAACGCAGGCAGCGCTGCTTTGCTTTGCTTTGCCTGCCCTGCTTTCTCTTTCGTCTCCTTGTCTCTTCGCTTTCGCCCCGGCGCAAGGACGGTCAATCCTTGGGTGAATGGTAACGAGAGCCAAGTGTCATACATGCTAGACCGTCTCATCGTCAGCCTTGCATGCGGGGGCGACCCAGATATGAATTTTGGGTACTCTGTAAGGACAGTAGTAGTAGAGCATATTGTGTGGTTTTTTGGGTCAGGGAGTGACCATAGTGCTTTTTACGGCACTTAAAGGAGGGAAAAAAAAACGAGTAGCCGGGTTGCGTTTTCTTGATTTCTGTCGTCTTAGGAATTTTTTTTTTAATTATATTCCTTCGTGGGGTGTTGATTCCGCTCCGCGCAGCCTACACGACTAATAATTGTTGCTTTGTTGAAGAATTAAAAACGCGAAAAAAAGAGCTCTTCCTCTCAGAAGTAGGTATATTCGTCGTTGCGGTGTAGGTTTTGTAGGGGGGTAGCAAAATAGATTGGGGATGGGTTTATTTTTTTTTTTTTTCATATTAATGGACAGTAGCCGGAGGGGAACCGCTCAGACGGTGTTCGCGAGTATGGGTCTTCCCCCCCGTGGCTTGCATCCGAGGGGAGGACGAGGCTCCTAATCGGGACACCGTGGGCAAGCATAGTTGTTACCGCAGTAGTCGTGGGTGCCGAAGTCGACCGCCTTGCAGCAAAACGTGCAGCATTGGTTGACGAGAGGTTGATCCTCCTTGACGCACATGGTGACGGACAGGTAGCCGAAAGAGGCTTAGAGTAGAAGAGTGTAGGAGTCGTGGTGTTGAGGGTGTTTTAATAAACAAGTCGCGTCACTTCAATGAAGGAGGGCGAGTTTCTATTCGAGAGGAGTATAGAGTCTCGAGTCTTGTTATAAGATTGGTGAAGCAGTAGATAAGTAGTATAGTATAGTGTAGTATAATATAGTATGTTCTGTCTTTGAGATAGTCTCTGACAAGTGGATAGGACAACTTCAAGAGGTTACGATAGAGTGGGAATCAGAGTCGTTTAAGTATGTCTTGAGTATAGGTTGAGTATAATGTTATGTTATGTCATGTATATATGTTACTGAGTATGTAATTTGGTTTGATGCCCGTTGAGACCGTTGATCTCTCTAGGAAAGGGTGGGCTATTTAAGTTGGGATGGGACCAACTTTATATATGTGCCCATCATGGACACCATGGGACACCCGGGTAGGTAGTTGAACATATTTTTTTTGTGATGATGGGAGATAATGACAAGGCCATCCACTCAACTGTCAAGGCACCTGGACCGGGGGGTGCAGTCTAAGCTAAGCCCAGGGGTAGGGGGTGTGGGCTACGGAGAAGGAGGAAAGAAGAAGAAAAGAATTGCAAAAAATAAAAAAATAAAAAAATTAATATTATGGAAAAGCTAAAAATACAAAAATCGATAAATTAGTTGATTGACACTTTACCATCGTAGGTAGGTAGGCAACTATAAAGCTGCCCAATCTTGTCCAAGGGAAGCCCAAGATCACGTAGGTGGGTTTTGCATAACCTCACTAAAAAGAGGGGAAGTGGTATAGAGGGAAAAAAATAAAATAAAATAAAATAAAGGAGGGGTGGTAAAGAATATTGAAGAAGAAGAAAAAGAATATTAAAAATGCAAAATGCCAAAAAACCGCTAAAGAGAGGTATTCAAAATGGGTACCTAGATACCGTTGCATTCAGCGGTGTGGCATGATTTAGGGTCACGAGGCACTGGGAATTATTAGGGGATTATTAGGGAACGGGATTTTTTTCTGCTGACTGCAAATTGTAAATTGTGCCTGCAGACAGATCACTATAATGTACATTTGTATCGCAGCACCACTAAACACCCTAACCCTGACCTTGGTACGGCACTTAGGTCTTTTTCCTCTTTTCACTTCCTTTCACTACTTTGTTACTTTGCTACTTTCACTATAGTATCTTTTTTCTCTCGCAACCTTGAGGGTCGATCTATCCCCCCTACTTTACCTGCTTTACTCTACTTTACTTTAGGTACTTTCAATACTTCCAATTGATCTTCAATGCAGTTCAATTCCAACTCAAGACATGTCATGAGTTTACCAAGACTATGTATCTATCGCTGGAACGGACCGAATGGCGTCAACAGTTAGTTGTAAGTTAAGTCCATTACGAAGACTTACTAACCCAATGCGGCTCTTATAAACTTGTCATCATACTGGGTAACACCTTAGGTGAGAAGAACTAGAAAAGAACTAGAAATACGTAGGGTCTATTTGACATGTCAATTCCTTACCCCTCTATTGTAGCCTTATGTCCTGCAAGGTACCTTATCATGTTGCCTTGTACACGACAAATCGCGAGGGGATTGGATGGAGGGGGGAAATGAATGGCGACTAGAACCAACGGAGGGGAGCGCCGACGGCAATTCTAACCTTGGTATGTACATACAAGAGAAAAAAGAGACAGAGTGAGGCTATGGGATATGGAGACCGGCGAAATGAATTGAGAGGAAAGGATCATGAATGCCCATGCATCATGCTTCCATCAATATTAGAATATCGATACGAGCGAAAAGAGGATCGTGGATATGTAGGCGTGGAGGCGTGGAGGCATGTAGGCACGTAGGCACGTAAGGTCAGTAGGTACTCTGACAGGTAACATGTAGGGGTCCAGCTCGGGAAGCTTAGCCCAGGCTGCCCAGCCCAACGGATCTGGTTCGATAACGTATAGAAAACATACATGGTGTGCTTCTAATATGTATAATATGTGTGATATGTCTTCATATATGCATGTATAATACCTACATCAATACATCCCATCCACATCCACATCCACATTCATATCCCATGCCAATGTCTATTCTTAGCTTATCGTACATGATTATATAGCCTGTTTTGCGCGAAAGATAATACAAGGTATACAAGGTATACACATCCCCCCAAGGTCAAGTCAGGTCCTTGCGACTATGGACCATGAAGGTATGATCTCGGGACTGAAAAAAGCAGCTATCTACACAGTAGATAGGTAGACATTTTCCGAATATAGAGACCTATGCTACATTGGGGGCATGACTGCATGCATAGGGTATTGTTCTTGGCGCAAGAATTGCTTATAGAGCCGGTACCTCGTCATGGAGTTTGCATACATACAGGTCATCAGTCTAAGTGTAAGATAAGCCCATTTCTGTAAATGCCATTCAGAACGCGCGAAGATCCGAACTTGCTTGCTGCGTGCTGCGGTCTCTTTACGCATGCTGCTGCTTTTCAAAAAGGTGCTGAATTCTCTCGACATGACAGCCTGCACTGCACGTTCTCGCAGCAGATCCTAGCTAGCTGAGTTTTTATTCGGTATATAGCCTGTACCTGTGGGCTCCGTAGGCATGTCTAGCCAATTGAACACCGTCAAAGCGGCCACAAGGCAACCCGAAAAGCTGCACTTCGCGATTGATTAGTTAAGTGATTTGCTGTTTGCATACAAGTTGGCAGTAAGCGGCCATTGGGAGGAGCCAGCTGTTCCTGAGTCACAATCACAGACCACAACTCAGGCATGGATATGGAGCTTTTTCAGCGCGGCCCCCTCCCTCTCTTCAATTTCGTTGAACGAGAGAGGTCACCGACTTAGCTAGCTGACATCACCTCAACGAACGTCATCTCGGCATATTGATTGATTGATTGATGATAACAGCATTCAATCCCTTCGAACCCCCATGCCTACCAATGCCTATCAGGAAAGTTCCAATCATGCCGGTAACGTAGGACTTCACATCGTTAACGTCAACGATTATGAATACCTACCTAGGTAGATACCTACTAGTAGACGTTCAGTAAGCTCCCACCCTGACGGACCGACGCGTCCGAAGTTCGGTATGGTACCTTATGCTTATCTTATCCCGTGCGCTTTGTAAGGATTTCGCAATCTCACCAGGTTGACGGTGCGAGGTGAGCAGAGCACGTGGGTAGGGAAACCGAGTTTGGGGTCACTGGTAACTACTGTGCTGCAGATGATGGTAAGCCCTACCTTGCGATATCTACATACATGCCTACAGTACCTACCTACCTACCCACATACGTCAATCCAAGCAACCGTCCTACCGTCCCCCAGGCTGTTTTTTTTAGGTGGCTTGGCTCGGTTCCATCGGCATTCGCGGTCACTATCATATGTTATGTATGTATGTATATGCAATCCCTTGGCCCCCTTGGGAATACAGGATACATACATAATCCCCTTCCTACCTAGTTGCCTAGGTTAGGTATGTACATTACATACATTGCATTATACCTGGTAGGGCGCGCGCCTCTCCCCTTCGGCACCGTTGTGCGACTGTCGAATCTTTGGCGATGGGCTTTGTTTCAGAAATGCATGCGATAGGCGATGTTGCCGATCAAGCTTGTCTGTTTGTCCCGAAGATCATCGCGAAAAGTGGATTCAGGGTTTTGGCCTCTTCGGTCTTTCGCAAAAAGAATGACCAAAGATTGACAATACCCACACCGACGAGGCCAAGGGATCGCGATTTCTGCTAGTGTCGTTGCCAAAAAGTCAACGTTGTATTCCTTCGTGCCGTACCATCTGCCTTTTCTTTGTTGCGCCAACTTTCGTAAACCCACTTTGTTCGGAACGTGGATAGTAAGCGGGGGAAACGATGGAGTCCTGGTGTTGTTGTTCATACCTACACACCGTCGAAAATGCGACTAAGAAAAATACCTACACAGACGGCGCTCCGTATCTGACGGGAGAGGCCCTGGCTAATCATCCACACACGTTTGCCCGCCCATTGAGGCCGACGGCGATCATACACAGAAATTACTGTTGCCGGACATGCAATGGTGCTTAAATCCCATCTCAACGGCATCCAATCAACTCCTTGTCTCTTCGGAGTGAACAAGACGGGCTACCTACTCACCCACCCATTGCCCCCCTCTCCGCATATGGAGAGTCATGATAAGTTCCTAAATAGGTAACTCCTGCCTACGTAATAGGCTAGGCTGAGTACCTAGCGAGGAGAAATTGTCTTAAAGTAGAAATATGGTAAGAACGAAGGTGCAAAGGAGGCTTTTTGGGGGCTTCGGGATGTATGTAAGCACTTGAGCAGCATGGTGGCTAAGTATTGGTTTTTCTCCAACTCTTCGTTCTCGCGGCGATTTATTGCAATGAGTAAAAAACCATTGATCCTATCCAACGATGGAGAATGAATGAGCATATTGTTGAAAACCAACAATTCGCAAAATCCACTGCCGTGACGCTATGTGACGGTTAGCGCTCTAGGTATCCAATCAACGGGCTGGGGCCGAGATAGCGAAATCAGGAGACTCATCAGTGACGGCGTCATCCCCCAGAGCGGTGAACGTGAATAACGACGAGCCAGAGACGGGATTGCTGGCAAAGGGATGCCGAGTAGCCTGAAATCACGGACATTGAGGAGGGGGAAGAGCGTGCTGATCATGATCCTAATTTCAGATCTGCTGTTGACGGCGCGACTTCGAGGTGATTTTCCCAATTGCAATTGCATGTGATTGGACTATGCAGAAAAGTCTTGGTCTGGAAGAGGGTATGTTACCTAAAGATATTGGGGATGTAAGTACATAAGAAAGGAGATATTCCAATACATTGTCTCATATGGATGGTTTGTACGAGTACATATCTATATGCAGTGTATGTGTGTGTGTATCTATATGTGTATATGTATATGTAATGTGTATGGGTATGGTTATAGGTATGGTTATAGGTATGGTTATAGGTATGGCTGAATGATGGATGAGGGTATGGTGTAATGTAATGTAAGTGGCATGTAAG